CTCAAGAATGCTCCATCATTAATAAAATAGCAATCCTTAAATTGCACATTCTTCACATAAATCTTGCTATTCCACTCTGGGGCTGTCACTAAGGTCATGTCTAGCAACTCAAAAACAGCTTAATCTTCAACTGCGAAGTCCTAAAATACCACATCTTCCAATCTTATGTTCAGGTATTAGAATGTTACATTATTCTCGTACACCAACCCGAAAGGCTTAGCTTAATAGGATAAATCTGTTCCCATCAAATAGTTTTGGGATTGAAAGATGACATTCTTCAACGTAATGCTGTATGTATTCAATAGCACTGTGAAAAATGGCTTATACTTTTTAAGGGATTATGCAGTGTCACTATATGGAGTTGTATAATCGTTTGATTTATAATGAGCTTCAGCAAACCCATTATTGATTTTGACATTCTCCAACTAGAACTTGGATCCCTCATTTTTCAAAAATTCAAAACCAAAAGGTTTATCATACCTTTCGACATTATTGTAGAGACCCAAAGTATTTAAATCAGTTGCTGGCAATATTTCTATATCTCTTATTATAACTGAAGTGAAATATTCGAAGTAAATAGTATTCATGATGTACCATTAAACTCTTTGCCCAGCAGGAATGCCAGGTACACTAATTACAAGTTCTAGATCCTTCAAAGCAAAGATGTTTTTCCTTAGATTAGTTGAAATGAAAGTGTCCTTCTAGAAGTAACAACGATTGTTATTTTGATCACCATTGTAATTAAAATTTAGATTAATTATGAGTTTACTTAGAGATTTCTTATTATAATCTTTTAATTTTTCAGAGTCAATATTTGGTAGAGATGTGGCATCTTCAAGAATTAAGGTTGCTGTCTTTTTGGTTATATCTGAATATTAGGAATTTAATCTCCAAACTGAGTCAACATGTGCCAAATTTTAAACGCAATCAGCAGTGATTATGATAGTATCTTCATACAAATACGCATTGCCATCTTTTGGTGTTTAACATCTCCCTATATTAGCATCAAGATAAGAAATAGTTGAATCGCATTTAAATGCTAAGTAAGAAAATAAAGTAAGACCATCTTCAGTAGGAGCGAAGTATTTATTTGTAGACAAAATTTCAGTTGAATCTCTCTCTCTGCATCCTACAGTGTTTTCTGGACAGAGTATACAATCAGTTCCATCAAGAGAGGCTGATCTTGAAATTTTAAATATATCTGGATCGAGCACTACACAGCTATCACAATATCCTCTTGTTCCTTTGGCTTAGAAATCACCGCAATTATCTTTCCCTTTTTCGCATATTCTCAAATCCTCATTGAATTTAGGTCCTATAGCTGGGTTAGTAGTCGCTGTACAGGCATAACAATAAGGTCCCAATATTTCAGTTTCTCCATCATATTCATAAAGATAATAATCAGTCCGATGAATGCTTTTCAGGGACAAGGTATAACAATTCTTACAATAGCTATTATTATTCTAGCAAGGTTTGCACGTGCCTAGTTTAACATCAACGTAATATCCATCTAGACATTAAAGACATCTGTATGTAGCCCCTTATTTGACACATGTTTGGCATAAGAAATCTTAAATGTATTGTTAACAATCAAAACTGCATTTCCAAATTCCATCTCCTGCATCTTTGTATAGAGTGTAACCAGTTGTACATCTCTTGCAATCCTTAGTGACAAAATCATAAGTTAAACACCCTGTTGAAACTGACACATCTTAAACTAGTATGGCTTAACAGGATGATGTAGCCTTATTATAATAATATCCATCCTGACAAACCAAACATTTTTGAATAGATAATTCCTCTTTATCAAGAGGTGTGAAATCTGGAGTCAAAGTTGAAAATGTCGCATCACCTCCTGAGGTAGTGTCTCCTTATTTATGACACAATTTGCAATTTAACAAATTAGAGCAATCCATACAAGCATTTCCTAAAGCCACAAATGTTTATGTATAATCGTCACATTCTCGACATCGAAAGACATATGGAGCTTCAGCTGTTTAAACTTCATCTGGTGGCAATTCTGGGTTTGGTGGTTCTATAACAATATTTTAAACTCGAGTTGGACTATATAATTATTATTAATTTTACTATTATTTCTCAGTTAGAGTATATGAAACATATTCACACCTCCTACAATTTGTTCCACATCTTACACATGTCTTTTTATTAAGGGCAGGAATAAAGGTACTCTAAGAAGTACTTGTACAAACACTACACCTCTATGTTATTAGATGTGGATCCCACAATTTTTCAAAAAAAAAGTCACCAGGAGGATTATTTTCAGGATCATCAATAAACACTTTATCCTATTCAGTAGGATCAGTTACTGAGTCAAAAGTATTATAGGAATCCCAAGGATCTTGGTTTAAATTTACTTAATCCTTCCCATAGTAACATTCACTACATCCAGTGATGCAAGCCATGCATAATGTTTACATAATATTTTTATTACTTTTCATTCTTATACTCAATAAACTGAAACCTTTATTACATATTAGACACTTCTTTTTTGTATTTACAATTATTTTTCCTGCGCTATCCTATGTTCTCACTATATTAATCTAACAGGATTAACAATTGTCTGGACATGAATCACATCCTTAAATAGCATCGTTGAATGCATATCCTAAAATCTCATCATAAATTACCCTATGCACATTAAATGTACGGATTGTTCAAATCATATTAAAATTACTAAGAAACTGCAAAACATGTTTGGCTCTTTGATTTGCAAAAGGTGGAACACCCATCGCACATTATTGAATTGAACTAAATAAAATTTGGATTATACATCATTAGCGCCAGATTACACAATATAAAATAACTGTTTTGCAGGTCTATCTACTTTATGAAAAATGGAATTAGATTTAGAGGATTTTGTTTTGAAATCGTAAGTGCAAAGTCTATTCTAATCCCAAGTTTGACTATTGTCAATACAATCTCCGCAATACAGGTTATTCTCATCCAAATAACCAAAGTAAGGGCTAAGAGATAGTTGTTAATTTTACCATTTCACGCAAACTCTAGTTCCTGCCTTGAAACCTAAATTTTCATGATCACGAGGCAAAGTAAACAAAAAATGTAAAGCTTCACATTATTAACAATTTCCCTTTTCTACATGTAAGCAATTTTGGAATTGAGTATTTTTAGATAGTTTCGTTGGGGTTATCGCCAACACTAAGTTAACAAGGCCCAAAGTGATACTCACTTGAAAAAAACTCATTTTATTTAATTATTTATGATCTGTAGTTAAAAAATATAAGTTAACATTCACCGAAAACTCATGAAATTTAATATCTATATACAAAGTATCAATCTCAAACGGTTTATGGTGTTATTGATTACCTATTTATTTACTTCAGCTGAAAAAAATCGTTATATTTGAAAATATCGTTTTTAGTTCCTAGGAATAGTCCTTCAAATTAACTTCTAGACATTATTCAATATTTTAAACGAATAAACGGAACCAGTCTGTTAAATCTCTCCACTCTGCTCTCATTGATAATTCCAATCATTAAATAAATATGTTACTATATCTCAAAGAGTTTGAATTAAATATTTAAAGTTATTTTTTAATAATTCTTTAAATAAAAATGATTAAGAAAATAAATTACAAGAATTTTTAATGATTCTTTCATTCCAAAACCAGAATTACTTAAGTATTTTCATTTTGTTTAATCTTAAGAAAAGTGTATTTCTACATTAATATTTGTAAAAGTATGATCAATTATTTAATTACCTATAATATGTTATTAATTATATACATGATACCCTAAAATAATATAATAAATTAAACTGGTTTGTTCATTTGTGATGTAGAAAAGACATAAGGGAGGCGAGGTGCATTTCATAGGCCAATTTTCATTCATTCCTATATTTAATAAATTCAATTATGCAAATATGACGACTGTAAAATAATCATGCAGTTTAAGTTATGAATTATTTTGTAACACTAGGGAATTGAGTGTTTATACTAGTTGCACAAAACCTTGTGTTTATATCGAAAATTAAAATAATTTTGAAATAGGTTGGATGAGTCAACAGAATTTAAAGCCCTTAATGGTATTTTAAATTGATAAGGGAACCATAATACATTTTGGAAGCATATCCTAGTACAAAAATATGCTATTAAATGTTTTTATAGATTTCAAGCATTAATATAAAATAATAAAATCAAGGATGCTGAAATTAGCTTACATGAACTGCTAAATTTTAGAACTGTAGTTGCAGTTATTCTTCGGCAATTTAATCCAAATTGTCAAATTCTCGAAATTGCATATATTGAACTTGTTTTTTCTACATTGAGACACTTCTTAGTTTAATTCTATTTTTATGATTAATTAGTTTGCTTGCTTCAGAAGTTCCAATTTAGAGAAAGCAATCTCTGCTCGATTTCATGTCTTCCTCATCGGTTTCATCTGATTTATCATTCTTTTATATTTAAACACCTATTTATTATTTTCTGGGTTAAGTCTAATAAATATGAGGGTAATTAGAAGGAGACTAATTTTAAGATCTTGTTTGTTGTAATGGAGGTCTTTTACGATCTAGTCTATTTTTACTTGAATAAAAAAAGGAAAATATCATATAATAAAATTAATCAAATATTGTTGTGATGTGGATATATGAAATAGCTTAGCAGCTACAATAACATTTAGTCTTCCAAGTCTTTCAAGTGTGCAGTTTAAATTAAAAGAGTCACCTTTTTACTATTTTTAATAGTGGTGTTTCTTCATGGAAGGCTGAATTTATAAATAGCTAAAAATTGAGTTTTGACAAGCAATTGTATTCATATCATCAAAGTCATTATGATCATTATAAATTATTATAATTATAAAGTATCAATACTTTATGATGGATGATCAGATGGTAGTTTATACTGAGAAATAGTGGATTATATTTTAATCTTAAGATATGATAGGAAGTAGATTGCTTAAATTTTGGGAATAACTTTAAACTTCCAATCCAATTTGATTTAGAATTATAAATTTAATGACTTCACAAATTTATTACAAATAGAAGATGTAATCAATTCTCATAATGTGACATCTTCTTATAGAAATCCTGATCTTTATTAACTGGATGGAAACATAAACAGCAGGTAAGAGTAATTAAAACAAGCATTACTGCAGTGACTCCTGCCGCTATGTCTCCCATCAATTGTCCCATCTCTGTTAATTTGTTAATTACAACATACTGGCAATACAACCTAATTTATATATATTCTATACTAGTCATCTTCAACCTTCACATTAATATCATAAAATATTTGCATTTAATACGGCACACACCATCCAGTACATCCTGTCTCTTTCTGGATATCTCCAAGGTAATTTGAAAAATATTTGACTGTTGTATTTTGGGTTTTTTAATAGATTTCACAGTCTTACACTCTTGTAGGCTAATCTTAAATGTTTATTCATTACTCTTGTAGAATCTTTATCATCTGCCCATTTAGTTTTGTTTTTAGCCAACGCTCCATTCACTTACGTATAGTAACATGGGCATTCTATAGAACATAAAAGGTCTTTGCTTTCCCAATCCAAAGTATTTAATTAAAACCTATGATCAAGACATGTATTTTCATTTTATTAGTAATCTTGGTCGGTAAGTTTGCGAGTCTCATCTGCCAACACATAACCTATCACCATAAGAAGAATAAATGCAATAATGATTATGATATTTCCAACATTGAACACTAACAACAAACATGGTTTTTTGTGTTAACCGCCAACAATGCCGCATACTCCATTGATTATTATATACGATGAAAACAACCAGAAGGCAGTAAGCATTCCCTGTCCGAAAAGCATCCACTAATTAAATATTAAATGATCTATATACAGATTCTCCCTCATATGCTTATAGCATTAAACTATAATGTATTTACATAATCATTGTGAATATAAAGGCTGCTATTCCACAAATCATTACAATCCAAGCCTCTAAGGACACTACACATCTCAAAATTCCGATTGGCATGCACATTAGTTGATTACGTAAATATATCTAAAAAATAATGAAAATAATATGCTAAACAAATTTTATAAATTAAAGTTCATTAAATATAATTATCATTAGTAAACAAACCAAAAAGTAGGAATGAATTGCGTTCAATCTGATGTTTTCCATTTATCACTGACTTATAGAAGTTATCTAATAATTGAAAAATCACCCATAAAAATTATGATAAACCAAAATTATTCTTTCAAATATGCTCCTTTTATCATTGTAATAATCAAAACAGAATTTGATAATCTCCCCTATTAGTTGAAAAAAAGTAGATTATAGTATATATTAAATATTTCACTTTTATTGACAGTCTAAGAAAATATTCCTTTATAGCATAAACCAAGAAGTAATCTTTATTATGTACTTTTTGAATTATGATAGATTTATTGCATTTATCATTATTTAGATCATATTTTCATCTAGTATAATGATATTATAATTATATCTTTATAGAAATTCTTAATTAATGTCGTTGATGTAAATGGAGAAAAAGGACTTAGAATTAATTGTACATTTAATTTTTTCTGCATTATCAATTAATTTTAACATCTTTATCAAAAGTGCTCTAATTTCTTTATTTTGATCATCTCATATATTTTTTAAGATTAATTAAATTAATTTCAAAGATGGCCTCTCAAGCTATTCCCAAAGATTTGTACACTTACACAAATGATGAAAGGTTGAATATCAATATCTATTAGCAATTAGCTTGTAGTTGATGATTTATGCAATTAAAGGAAATCATGTTTGCAAAGACTAGAGAAAGAGTTTTAATCTATGCAGATCTACTCCACTTGGAAAGTACGTAGAACCTGAATTTTGTAAAGACAATGCATTGGCACTTGTTGACTGCTTTTTGAAAGTGTAAAGAATTTGTTTGATTAATTTATGTAGACAAAGAAATGCTAAATGCAACCAATCTTTTTAGAAGGTGTTCGACATTGCTAAAACAGGGTAGTACGCTTAAGAAAGTTTAGAGGACTATTTGAAATGCTGATTGATTTCATAATATAATATCCAAAAATAATAACTTTGAGAATATTCATTTAAAGCTCATCTAAGATAGTTATTTCTTAAAATCATAAGTTTTTTCTTTCATACTATCTCCTCTAAATTAACTTGCAATAACCTGGCTGTTGTTTATATTGAAAATGAAATGAATACTCTAATGTAATTATCAATATATAGTTTTAGCATATTTCTTAAATAATAATACTCTACGTATGTAACATAATTAAATAGAGTATGAAATATTTCCTTATTTGCTTCATCTTTTTAATTCATTAAAATAGTATCTGTATATTTTGATAATAATATCAACTTTAGAATAGACATTAAAAATTGTTAAGGGATCTTAAACGAGGCTAATTATATTGTATTCAAATATAACATAGACCAATCTTAAATACTTAAGATTTTGATATCGAACTTTCTACTGACTGGATAGATGTATACCTAATTTATCCATTTAAACCAAAATTATATAATATATTAATAGCCTTATCTCAATATATAGGAGCTATCTTCATAAACAAAAACAATAAAATCACTCTTTTTGGTTGTTTGAAAAGTTCAAAATTTCTTAGCATTCATTAAATAATTCATCCTCTTCTTCAGTATCAATAAATAAAAACTAATATGTGGTAAATTCATTAAGTAGTTTTCTAATAATAAGTAATTTATATCCTTCGATTTCTATGTTTGGTTCTGAGACACTTGTATCCTCGGGTGACTTTTTGAATTCACCTTCATTCATAATGGTTTGTGAAATTTGAGGACTTCTTTCACAAGACTTTAATTATATTTCCATTCCTTGACCAGTTATCCTTAAAACAAACTGATATAAAAGATTAATTAATCCTTTTGAGAAATGTCGTAATGAATTAATCGATATCCGAAATATTCTAGCATATTCTCCAGGTAAAATATATATTGATTATATTTAGAATGCAAAGTAACCCAAGTTGATCACCAATCGACTTGGTCGTTTACTTACACAAAATTATTTCACTAATTGCAAAGAGAATATTCTAATCATCGCTTATTTATTAGTTTCAAGAATTTCTTCTATCAACTAAGAATAAGTTTATTTTGGTTTCTTCAATTTTAACAATAGCGATTGTCCTTATCCATAGAAATACTTCCTCACTTTCTCTTGATAATATTAAATCTGCTATAATAACTTATTCATATCTCTTTGACCATCATCTTTGATCATCCTTAAATACTTCAATAATTTTCTTGATTTGACATTGAACTTATTCTAATAAATTGTAAATTAGATTTTTACTAGTAATTGCTGTATGCATTCTGTCTCATTTATCCCACCGGTATTCTTGATCAAAATATATGTTAATGCTGTTGTAACATATTTAGTCTTAACACTCTGGTCTAATTGCTTTATCTCATGAAGTATTTGAGATCTTAACTCTTGTAATTGATCCTTAAATTATAAGTTTTGAAGTCTTACATTTGTTATCCAATCAAAAATAAAACTAAGAGTGCTTAATTACGATTCTACTTAAAAAATTATTTATTAATCATTGGAGTGAAATCTCGATTCTTTCTGGCCTACAAAGTATTCATTCTCAGCGTATTCATTGTTTCTATCTACAAAAACACGCTCCTTTTAATTCATACCAATAGTAATTTATATTAAAATTTTATCATTATGTCCAAATATGGGTTTATGAATATAATTTATATATTTGTGTATAAATATAATATTTTATATTATTATTCGGGATTATATTAATCATATTATAATTGAACCACTGGAATTGTTCAAAATTGAATAACTGAAACATATCTCGCGTAGTTTTTTCTCCAATTAGGCAATCAGATGTTTCTCCACGACACCCTATGTTAATTATTAAAATAATATTTTTCTATAATACTCCAAAATAATTTCTTATATTTCTTATTGTTAATCTAAATTTATATTTTTTTGTATATATTCTATCAATTCAAATGCTTTTTAATTGTTGTGTCTGACAAACCCTTATACATTATTAAAGGCTTAATTATATTATTATTATTGTAAATTCTTTATCTCTTCTTGAATTTTAGTATGCTCATCATTACTATAATTTTCTTATCCCTCTTCATTTTCATCTGTTATTGAACTATCATCGCTAAAGTATACAGAAATTTCTAACCCTACGCAATTATCTTCTGAACTAACAGAATCAATTATTCTTTGTTAGTTCATTAATTCTATTAATAAAATTATGTAACAAAAAATAGTAAATAAAATATGACATTGATATATGAGAAATGTATTCTATTGATAACATATATAATTGAATTTGATATATATATATATATTTACACAAACATATTCATTCTTTTTTAATGATATGTTATTATTAATATAGAGGGAGTAAGTTTATTGGCTTCTTGAATTATGACTCAAATTAAAACCTCCAAATTAGTAAAATCTATTTTGGATTGTACTCTTGTGGATGTAAGACTTTCAAAAAGTATAGCTCTTTAAAAAATGCAGCTTCGATTTCTTTGACCTTTTCAGCCTCCTCAGGCTACATCTTATCATAATTTGGTAAGAAAAATGCTAATCCTGGTTATATTTTCAAGGCATCTAACTTTAATTCATCTAGAATTTATTAAGGGGATTTGCTTTATTTATTCATCCTTTATTATTATTGAAATTACTGACTCTATTATGGTTCTTATTCTTATTTTTAATTCTATTTCTATTACTATTCTAGTTAATTTAATTATTGGCATTTTATATTACTTTAATCCTACTTTTCTTCTTCTTATTCAGCTCCACCTATTTGCTCTAATTTCAACTTTTTTAAAGGGGCTTTTTATTAAGATTCTAGAAAAATTTACACGCCTTAATAAAATTCATTTAACTCAACTGATGATTTATTTATAAAAGTTTTAACTCTTTCAAGAAATTATGATAACTTGTGATAATGGCTATTTTCTAAATGCGCTATTGAACCTTATTGAGTGTTACACAATTAAACTTGTTTAACTAAGGATTTTGATTCACTTTCCTCCCTTTCTTAATGATTGGGATGGTTTAAGTTTTAAATATTAGAAACTTCTAAATGTTGATTCTCGTCTGGTTTTTTTTTCTCGGTTTCCTTATATAGGTAAGCAAAATCAAAATTATTCTCCACTCTCGTCTTAAACTCTTTTATAATTGAAGCATCATAATTTTTAAGAACATAATCCAACTTACTCAGAATTTCTTATTATATCTCAGTTTTAATTTCTTATTGGTTTAGTTTACTCAAACACCTCCATAATTCGGCATTTGGGTAGCTTTGAAGTGTAGTATGTCTTTTTTAAGCTCCAGGCTTGATGGATGCACAGAGTAAGAATGGATGAAATCCAATATTTCTTGAGTTGAATCCTTGTCTGGCCCATATCATTATTTTCTTAATTAGTAGCTTCTTTTGCTTGTCTAATGGTTTCTAAGTTCGTTGATCGTCGCTTTGCTACATTTAAATATTTAATTTATTTTGATTTTTCTATCACTTATAATGACCTGACCCCTTTATTCTATATAATCATTTCTTATTTATATACATGTAAAGACGTATGTTCGAATCTTATTGGGTTTATTGGCACCCTATTTAAGTTTTCAGAAAAATGAAATCAATAATCTTATAAAAAGAAAGTTAAAAAAAATATCACATCATGAATTTACAATCATAAAATTATTTTGATAAGCAATACGAATAATTTTATTTATTAACAACTTTTCTTTTAAAAAAAATAAAATATATGTAAAATTAATATTTTGTGAAAGGGTTAGGATTTGCTTAAAGGCAGGAGCCTCAAGAAACCAGATCATACGGGAGAATAAAAAAGAATCCATATTCTGCCTATAATAATAGAAGTTACAATTTAGTAAGTGGATATTTTTGAATTTAGAATTATCGTGATCTCAGGATTTGCAATGATCGCTTTAAGAGGTTAATATAAATTGTGAATAATGCAATAAAAAATTAAGCAGCTACGATGTTTAAATATTTGAGGTAATTTAATTTGTAATGGTAGCATTTATGTTCAAAATAAATAACAAGAAGAAATCAAAGCATAGTAGAGAGTGATACAGGAAGGTCTGTTACGATTTTAACATGCAATATCATTATACAATTAACGGTTGAAATGTTTGGGCTTTTTCCGTTTGGCAAAAGTTGACGTGGTATCTCATTTGAAAAAAGAGCTAAGAAAGTAAATATCCTAAACTTAACAACCAATAACTCATCAAATCTTCAGGAAATGGATGCAGCTAACCTTTGAATCAAAATTCAATAAGCTATTAAAATAACAAAATTTGAATATGATAAGGTTTTACAAATTTACTTTAAGTAAAATCCTAATAAAGCAAGAGACTTTAAAGGCATGGAGTTTCAATAAATTAAAAACTGCGCGTCGAAAATAAATCATAAATAAATTAATAACTAACATAGGTTTATAGCAATTGCGATTGAGCTTGTTTGATTCCGAATAAGCAACCTATCAATATCTAAAGTAGCCTCAAAAATTAGAAACAATAATCGCCTTCTAAAAGTTAAAGCATTTTTAATATTTTAATTCCAATCAGCATTATTTTTTATTAATTTTCACGAATACCATCAGTAACATCATTACATTACATAAGATAGTAAAATAAATGCATTGAGAACTTTGTTCATATCAGCCATTAAGACACTAGGTCCAGAAGCTAATCATACAGTACCTAAAGAGTAATTACAATAATTTGACATTGAATTAGCTAGATAATCTGTGCACTCTAAATTGGAGCATTAAAAATTGCTGCAAAGATAGCAGAAACAAATAGATTAAAAATCTCACAGAGAAATTTGTGAAGTAGTGAAATATTTAGTCAACAAACAACTCTATCCTATATTTTATTAAATAAAAGGATTGAAATAGACTTAAGACACAGAGGTTTAGGATGGAACCGTTAAGAATTAAGTAAAATATCATCTTATTCAAGAGTGTTATAGCAGCAAGACTGAGTTAAAAAATAAAAGCCAAAAATGCAAAATCATAAAAACTTGAGCTAACATATCGAATAGAATAGATCTTTCGTAGAAATTATCAGAATGAATAAGAAATTTTAAGGAAGAAATTTAGACAATGGCAAATCAACATTACTTTTCCTACTTCTATGTATCAAGATTTTGAAATCAGATTGAGAGTCTTAAGAAACGAAAAGGTTAATTAATTATATTAATAAATAGGAAGCGATCATGAATGATATTGAACAATTAGAAATACTTAATAATGAGCTACTAATGACAATGAATTAGGTCAAAAAAACATTTTTATCTGAAGAATCTAATTTTAACACTTCTCATAAGAATGAATAAAAACAAATAGAAATACAACGATTTGATATCCAAGAAAATTTGACGTCATAAAAAGAATTCAAGATAGCTTTTGAATATGTGGATTATTTAAAAGAAGATGTAAATTAAAATAATTATATTTAGAACATTAATTTAAAAAAACAAGTGTAAAAGAATGAATAATTGATGATTGAAGAAATCTAATAACTAGAATAATAATTACAAGTATAAATTTATTGTATTTTACTTTAGGAGCTCGAAAAAGAATTAGAAAATTGAATCTTGCCTAAAATTATTTTTTTTTATATTTTTATTAACTCATTATAAAATTAAATTTTCAATTTTAGTATGGTCTTAAATAATATAAGAATCAAAGATAAATAAATTATTCTTCATAATTTAAAACTATTGAGTATGTCCAAATTTTAAGAAAATTGTATTCGATTACCTTATCATCTTCTTAAAATCTTGGACTTATAATGAGTACTCTCTGATTCTAATTGAGTTAAAACGATATTTAATAAGTTTAGTTAGTCTATCAACACTTCTCATATTATATAAGACTTAATAATATTGTAGAAAATTAAAACTTAATAAATATTCTACAAAATGAGAAAATTCATTTATTTGATATTAGAAATGTTAACTAGACTAAATAATTAGAGAATAATTAGTAAAATTAAAATTTATTTTTATTTGAATAAATAAAGAGAACTTCTTTTTTGTTTAAATGTTTTTATGTATATTGAACTTTTAGTATAAATGAATCATTATTTTTTAACATATGATGAAAGCAAAAAATCTTCCAATTCTACATCAGTAGTTTCAAATCCAGAGACACTAAAATCAAGAGTAGGTTGTAATTTAAATTATTTTTTAGGTGTACATTTGGGAAGTTTTTTATCTTAGAGGGGTGAATCATTAAGGCAATTTTACAACTTAAAAAATTGAAAGTCGTGAGCTATAGGTTTTAAAATAATCTTGGGTGATCTCAAATTGATTCTAGGAGAAATGGTGTGCGAGTTTTTCTTAAGATTGCTTTTGTTGAAAGTAAATGCTCTTGATCTGATTAGCTTGATTTTTGGTGAAACTGCTTAAATTTAGAAATCTAATTCTTAATAAACAATTATACCTATTGATAATGCTCTTTTGGTGCTTTGTGGCAAATTTATAAAGAAAGACATTATAATTAATATGCACTGTATAATAATATCAATAATACACCTTTTTGGTCATTACATTATAGAAATCTTCAAATGTCATCTTTCCATCCTGATTAGAGTCTGTTTTTTTAAAGATCTTTTTTATTCCTATAAATTACTTCTGCTAAGACTTCCTCATCGATTTCTTCTTTCAAATCTTTGTACACGACTTGTCTTAAATCTTGAAGGGTTACGAAACCTTTATTATTTTTGTCGTATTTCCTATAGACTCTTCTGATTGTATCCTTTCTTTCTGCCTTCGATTTGTCTTGATTTAGAATTTAGAGAAAATATTCAAAAGTGATTCCTCCTAATTCGTCTTCATCTAATTCTGAAAAAATTTCTAAAAGGTTATGATTGAAACCTTAATACCATAAAGTGTCTCTTTGGTTGGATGATATCCAAAACTAGTAAGTAGTTACTCCAAATCATTTGGTGATAAAATGCCCGCTTATTCAGAATCATAATAATCAAAAACTTGTTTGATATCTATAATATCAGATTCCTGTAATAGATTGCATTAAGTACTTTCAGATCTTTAGTCACAAATTTCTTTGGGTTGAATTCATTAGGATTACCGCCTTTCGCTGATGTTCTTTCATTGGCGATTTATTTTCTAATTTAACCACCTTAAGCTAGAGCATTATTATGAGATTAATTAATCTTCATTCTAGCCCTGGTTGATTCCCTATTTTAGGGTACCCTATTGGTTGATATGCTTGATTCATCTAATTAAGTATTTGGGCTATCTCTCATTATAGATTAATTAGTTCTAAAGGGACTCTATAAAACTGGATATTTTAAGTTACTTATGATTTCCTTTGATTTCTCATTTATATATTATTTTTAATGCAATTTATTGTTTCATCATATCACGTCTACAATTTTGACCATTTAAAGTGAGAACTTCGCATAATTCTTTATTGTCAAATAATTTTAATGGCTTATTTTGAGTTCTAACGTAGGGATGTATACATGGCGGCAGTGTTATATACAAATAAGAGAATAAATTTTATTTAATGGCAAATTATTTATTGAAATGAGTTATGTATTAACAATATTTATTGAATGGTAAATGAATGAGAGTTTAACTTGAGAGTGATTTCTGAATTTTGAAGAATGATAAGAAGATGCTAATAATTTAATTTCTCACAAATTATTTTATTTTAAATCTTTTATTTATTTATTTATGAATCAGCCTTAATTTTAGGCACTCCCTTCATATGATAATTTGGATATGATAAGGAAGACCTTTCTGCCATTGGAACATATCAATTTTGATCATGAATTTAAGAATTTGGATAAAAGCAAATATTTCATCATTCGTACTTAAGGGGAAGACAATGTACATAGAGCCATGAAATATGGTATATGGACGAGGTAGTTTTTAATTTTAAGTATCAGCTCTTCGCGAAAGAATGAACGTTTGAATGAAGCATTTTCTTAGGGAGATGTTTATCTCTTCTTTACTGAAATAAACAGTCTTTGCTTTAGTGGGATGGCCAAATTGACATCAGGATTCGATCCTAAATCGCATTTTAAATATTGGCTAATTGAAAACAAATGGTTTGGCTTATTCTAAATAAAATGGGTATACAACTCTGCTTATTGTAGCTATATGTAAAGGATCTTCCTTTTAAGTTATTTGAAAATATTAAATAGATCCAAAAGTTTGAAGGAAGTGACGAAACTGTTAAATCAGTGTATGACTTGATTGATTGCACTGAATTAACATTGGAAAACGGAATCAAAATGGCAGAGATATTCAAGAAAGAGGAATCCAAGAAGAGTTTATTTGAAGATTTTTCTCAATTGGATAAGTTAGAAGTAAGTATGATAATTATTTAGAATCAAAGTAGATAATAACGAGATACAAATCCAAACTTTGAAAAGAAGTTCCAAGAATTAAGATCTGTTTTTGAAACAATTCCTTATTCATTTTCAGCTGCGTCTTATGAGAGAAGATAACAACGTAAACCTCAATATGGATATTATAATTATGGTATTAAAATATCTAAGTTTTCGAAGGGTATTATTAATAACCTTAATATTGGCAATCTAACAGTGGGTTCTATTAATAAGAATAATACTAACAGTATCCTGCTTATTAATAATATCAAAACAAATATTAAGATTCGACTGATTAAAAATATAATAAGAAAGAAACATAGTAACCTGTAAATTTGGAGGATAAGTTTGAGATGTAATAAAATAGAAAATATAAATATGATAAAAAGAAAAGATTCAACAATCGCAATAACTAATAGATTGAGTATGTTTAAAAGTATCAATAAGAAACAATAGTATAGTAAAACATATGAACATTAAAATTAAAAAAGACAATAATATTCAAATTTATTACACTCTCTAGTGTTATTTTCTTTTATGTTAATCATCATTCAACCCCAATAATGGCTTTTATTCAAGTGGTTGCAAATTAATATCTAATTTAATTACTAAATTTACTTTTTTTATTCCTACTCGAACTAATTTGACTCAAATTATTATTGCTCGCATTCCCATTAAAAATATACTAACTATTTGAAGTGGAAACAGAATTATCCTTATTGTCTATAGGACTGAGAATAATTTTTTAACTTTATTTTTTCTCTGAAAATTGCTGATTCACTATTTCACTCTGATACCGCTGTTTTCCTTCTTGTTACTCTAAAAGTTAGTAATTCTATCTCATCTTTTCAGCTACCAACTATCCTCTATCCAATATAGGTTAGCTAGATGTATTTTATTTTTATTGAGATTCTAATTACTTGCTCTATTATATACCTTTCTTTGGAATTCTAGGAGTTATAAGTCTTTGTAGATTGTCCTATTCTTACTCTGAAAGGTTATTTTTATTATTTTGTTACCCAGAGATAATTTCGAGCACCCTTTCTTATTTTTCTAAATCAATTAAATCCATAGCTTAGAGGTTATTATAATATTACCTTATTTATATGGTAGAGATGGAAAGTTTACTTTTTTTGCTTTAAAATTGAAGGGAGGAATCTTGTACTCTTGAGCATCTTCATCCCAATCACTTGCTGCTTAAATACTTTCTAATTCATTCTAACTAAGCATCATCTTGACTATACCCGCATAGAGCTTAATCTCTCTTTACTGACTTCTTATTGTTTCTAACATATCTTCCTTTTAATATTCTACTTCCTATTTTAAATCCTTTTATTCTATAGTAGCTTCTTCTAACTTCTTCCTTAGATATTTAATCACTTTTCTTAGCTTCTCTACTTCCTCTTACACATTCTAATACTTAGTCTCAATTTCAAACATCTCTTATTATTTTTATTCCTATTATTGCATCAACATCTCATGTTCTTTCTTTTATTATTCAATAGTCTATTTAAGCTTATTGTATTTCTTTTTATCATCCTCAGTTCCCTTTCCACCTTAAACCATCATTTATTCCTTCGCTTTAAGTAATTGTTCCAATCTGTATCTAGCTTGTCTTTCTTATTCAGCCTACTACTCTTTTTCTCTCATCTCTTATTCAAACTTATCCTTCTCCTATTAAAGTAGATTATTTTTTTCTTTAAATTCATACAACTCTTTTAGTTTCTCTTCTGAATTTACTGGCTATGGGAGTCCTTACTTCTCTCTTAATAGTCTATCATTCTCTTCCTTTAATCTAACAATTTCAGCATGATTATTGTTATCTGGTCTATTAAATGATTGAAAGGCTTCTAAAGATATGGGTTGTCCAGCTGCTTGTCTAGATAATAATTCCTTTAACTTTTTGATTTCTTCAGCTTGTTCTTTCAATAAGGCGTCTTTCGGATCCTCATTTACTTTAGGTTGATTTTTTATCATCTTTGCTCTTGAAGCATATCTCAAACTCGACAATGTCTCATCATAATTAAAATCAGAGGGACTGATTGCAGTGATCATAATCGTCTTAGTATTACCTCCCAAGGAATCTTGGAGCAGTCTAGTCAACTTTGAATCTCTATAAGGAATGTGTTAGGTTTTTCCATCAACTAGTGCTGAAATAACATTTCCCAATGCAGACAAAGACAAATTAATTTTTGTAGCCTCTTTCAATCGATCCCCTGTTGCCTATGTTTTGGATTACCTTTCACTTCCAGCCAAATCAACTAAATTCAATTTTCCCGCAGTGATTCTCTCGTTTCCTTTAGAATCCGTAATGGAACATTCAATATATACTGTGAAAATGCAATGACTTCTACTAGATTCCTTGTTCATAGCAGTAGCCCCAACAGATCTGTTTTGAGTGCCTAATTACATATACTTATCCATCTCTTAAGTTGTTCTGACCACTGCAATATTGAGGTCCTTTATGAAAACTCCCTGTTATCCTTCTTTCAATTCATATTTCTACTTCGCATCCTTACTCAATAAATCATGGATTTCTTCATTGTAGATTTCAATATAGGAGCATCTAAGGAGGAACTTCTTATTGGAATCAGAGTTATTGTTGATTATGCTTATTATTTGATCAAAAGTTCTTGGGATTATTCCTTTCATGCTTTCCTAAAATTGACTAAAGAACTTACATTAGTTGGGTCTCCTATCATTGTAAAAGTCTTGCCACAACCTAATTTTCTTAAAATTTGAATTTACCTGTTTATCCATAAGCAAATATTGTTCCATTATAGCCCTCTGCAACAGACTCAACCAAATTGAAGGCAGTTTTCTAATAAATTTATAATTATGGAGTCTCAGCCCCAAATACATAATCGTATGAAAAATTCTTCACTTCATTATCTTGACTCTAATCAATCGAATACATAAACTAATTACATTTCGTAATTCAACGCTATTGGTATCTTCATGCACTATTACACATGGTTTACTTCCATTTTCCTTCTCTCTTGAATTAAATGGACGCATTCTTACTATAACTTTCACACATTCTGCAGGCATTACTTTAATAATTAATATTCTTTTAGTTAATTCTAAAATAATCGACAAGAAAATAAATTATTCTATGTGCTTATTTAAATGATATATGTGAAATGATTAATTCACATGTATATGAATCTATGAATGCAGAGAGATTGACCTGATTGTTTTATATAAATTTTTGAGAATCCTTTATAATAATGATAGAATTTATTCTATTCGAAACTTTTTAATAAAGCTTCTACTAGATATACCTATGAGGATGCTTAAGATGAAAACATTCCTTTATTTCATTTATCAACCAAAAGAAATTAAATATAACCTTCCAATCATCAATTTTATAATAAAAATATATTGAAATAAATGATTGGAAATATAATTCAAGCAATTGGTGAATTATTGAATTGCAAGGTAGATTTTCTTTGTACAGCTCAATTATCCAGTGAAAAGAAATATTTTGCTGTTGTTGCTAGTGATAGGTTATTGTTTATAACAAGCAAATTAGAGAAGGTGGAAATGTCTTTAGAGTATGGCAAAATAAAGGGAATTGTTATATCAACCAGAGTTCCAACAATGTTCTAAATTCATACAGATATAATTATTGATGTATATGCACTTGAAAGAAAACAACTAATATAAGCATTAAGATATTCATGGATGACAGATTTCATGCATAAAAATTTTCAATTTAAACAATTACCTATGTATAAGGATGACATCAAATCCAATATCTAAGAAAAACAAGCCATCCTTCCCAATCTGATATTTACTAAGCAGGGTAAATAAATGTTTAGAAATAAAAATTACACATTTAGCTTACCGGATGAATATGAAGCAACATATCAAGATGGTGTCTATGTACATAAGGAAAGTCAACAATGCAAAATTGTAGTTTAAATAACAGATCCTTTGCCAACTTAGTTGTTGAGTTAAATTGGGGAAAAGGCTAATCTCCAATATTATTCTGAAATGTTCTTAGAAATAGTTTTGAAAGGAATCAATTCAAAGGATGAAAGCGCAAAATAAGGAACTGATCAAAAAAATTAGGACAGTGATGAGGAAGGCAAAAAGTAAGAGGAAGATGAATAGACCAATAAAAAAGAGGAGTCTCTTGATTATTGGATCATCTCTTCACATAATTACAAAAAAAGATCTAATTTAATGAATGATGTTTCTGAATGGTTTGGATGGGAATTGCATGCAAGAACTTAGATTTAAGATATTTTTATCATCATCTTGAGAAGAATACATATTCCTCCACTTTTTGAAACATATCAGGAGATCTTATTTGTCTTATATGGGCAAGAACAAAATGCCAAGGAGTAGGTTTTGGTTAATGATAGAGACCTTCTAAAATTGACCTTAGAATAAGATTTGGAAGAACACGCCTTTAAAAATGTTCTTAGAAATGCAATAGATTCTCTGTAATGCAAAATGTTCATATTTGAGAAGCAATACCAGGTGTTTATATAGCTGTCTGCTGACAGATTGCTATATAACAGATAAACGTTGAACTTCATTTATAATAAATTCAAGATATTCCCATAGTTCATGAGTTATGCCTTAAAATATCTTAAATTGTTATTCTAACGTTTAGTTTTATACGATAAAGAAAGGTTTCTTATTTTGGATAAGGAATTAAGTTAGAAGTATGGCTTTATTTTAAACAATCTCAAAGATTATATGACAGATGGTATTTAAATTGAAGAGAACCTCTAAGCTTTGTTTGATGCATTCGAGTAGGCTTCATTTGTAAGAGATAAATCAGGGAATGAAGAGGAGAGGAAGTTTGTTTGGTAACAGAAGTTATCTAATTATTTGGGTATCTGTTTTGATGGGTTTTTGATGGGGTCAGCTTTTAGTTTTAAAGATTTGGTTCCTGTTTTATAGGCTAAAGTGAGTATGGAATTGAAAACTATTATCTTGGAACTGTTTGACTATTGTTTATACGCTGTACCAAAAAAGGAATGCAGACCCATTAAGAAGGGCAATTTCATTAAGAAATTGGAAGAATTAGCATCAAATAAATATTAATACAATGTGAATATTGCCAAATCTTTGATTGAAGCGAACTTCTTTTCTTAGGAAGTGCTTCTCTAAGAAAGGTCGGGATTATACAGTAGTTTAATATGTTATTTTCTACAATCTGACAATGTGGATTTGATAGTTGCAATTTGCCGTCATATTATCAATTTTCAAGCTGAAATCAAACATACAACCGGATTGACAGAAGCTATGATAACAGCCTTTAAGCCAATTTCTGTTGAATTGATCACATTATATAGAAGTCATAATAGAACCATAGCCACTTTAGCATGTGCGTCATTGTTCAATTTATGTACAAACTCAAGAGAATTTAAGTATATAATATTAAATGATGATGGGGCTGGATTACTTGTGAGTAAGTTAATGACAAAGGATAATTTTTTATTACATTTTGCTTTGAAGTAAATAAATTTAGTAATTTAGATTAATATACTGTGTAATGAGTATTACCTAAAATATTGAAAAATTATTGGCAGCAAATTTAACAGATTACTTATATAAAATATTAGAAGGACCATAAATTAAAGGGTGTCAATATGATGCTAGATGTCTCATAACAACTTGTTAAATCTTAAGTGTTTGTTTAGTGAGTGAAGTAGAATTAAGAAATATAGATCATTTATTAATTTTATTGTATAATATGGTCACTACTTAAGCTGATTAATATTTTTTGGATTAAGAAGAGTCTGTTAATTTAAAAAGTGAGGCGCTTTATGTTATGAGTAAGATGTGTCACAAAAGTGCTGAAGTCAAGAAAAAGATCAATTAGGAATGTGTACCTTATTTGTTGAAATTAATGGAAAAACTAACATATCATTAAGTGCAAGAGAAAATCATTATGTTACTATGTATTCTCATTAAAGAAAATAAAGAGTGGGCTTTAGAGTGGTTATAAATGCAAATCAAGTTATAAGATATATTAACTACTTATCATAATAACGATATTCAATCATCAAATTATTTGTTATCCTAAATCAAATTTATAGATGATGAGGCAAAGAAAGTTAAGAATGAAGAAATGAAACGATCCAAGCTTGCTCCTACAGCCAGTGTCATTGCAGAATAAATGATGGATTAGTTATAAGACTCTAATGTTTAGGATAGAAAATCAATGGCAAGTGAAGCAAGATCTTCTATGATTGAGGATTCCAGGATAACCGCCTCGAACGTAAACAATAAAACTACCATAAATCCTAGCTAGTTTAAAAAATCTACAGCTTCTTGATTTATTTATAATATTAAATTAATTATATATCTTAATAAAAAATATATTTCTTCATGGGTATATCTCTTACAAAAAGAATCATATTTACTCAAAATCCCTTTAAGCATAAATAGAAATAATAAATAATCAATAAATAAAGTATATTAATTACAAAAAAATCATTTAGATTTTATTCAAAAGAATTCTATGTATTCTCTCTTAATATATGGAGATGGCCTGATTTATTTAAAGTATTTGATAATCTGATTTTATTTGAGAACACAAGATTAAGGAGTCAAGTCACCCAGAGCTTCTAGATATATTTTATTTAAATTCTAATTAGCAATTTGAACAACTATGATGTGGATTTTCCTTTTGTTCATAATTTACTTTAGTATTTCTATGTTTTATTATGTATAATCTTTAACCATTTCAGCAAATAGAATGATGATCCTTAATTGGGACTTAACTTCCTCCTCATCTTCAATCTTGTCATGATAGTCTGTCTATAAATATTTATCAAGCACATCTCCAGCATTACTTAAACTATGTTAAATTGATCTTTCATTATTTTGAATTGATTAATTTGAATTATTCAATTAAGTATATTCCTCCTTTATTTTTGATTTATTCTTTAGGAAGAATGAACCTGCTGCCAATTATAATAATTACAATAGATTAGATTCTCCTCCAGGGGGTAGTAACAATCGATTACAACTATTTTACAAATAGGATTAATATTGTTATAAAGGGAAGATTTAATGAAAAGTTGAATTTATAGCATAAAGTCCTACTTAATCTGAAGATGTAAATAGAGACAGAATGTATTTCGTGATTGAATGTGACAATTTAATCTATTCTACTGTCATTTAATTTGTGTAATCAATTAAAATAATGGCTTGGATGTGTTAATTGGTTATGTGAAACTGCTCTAATAAGGAAGTGTTTAATCGATAAGAGTAGAATATTTATTGAAGCAATTTAAATGCATAATTGTATTGATAAGGGTCATACATGGACATTGACAAAATTGATAATAATTTTGTGCAACTTTAGACAATCTTATTAATTTTGATATCGATGATAGCTTTTAGTAGTGTAATTTTTGATTAGACTAAGATAATTGGTACCTCAGTAAATATATTAATGCTGTTAGTCATTTGATTAATTTATTGAGTATGAAGATTTGGAATATTTTTAAGCAAGCTTTTGGCTTTTGAAATCTAATTGGATTTTGTATAGAAGTAAACTAATTGACAGGATAGATTGAATTATAAATTGTTTAGGAAGGCAGAAGTAGGCTTTTATTGTTCGGCTTCAGACTTCATTTGTAGGAGCAATTGAAGAATTTCATTTAAGAATAATTGATCATGTTCATTACTAAACTGACTCAATATTCTTAGTAGTTGGTATTGTCTATTTAATAATTTGAGTTTAACCATATTTTTACAATCTTCTTCAATTACACTATCTTCTTTGATTACTGATTGGTTGGATTTTTCAATTTACTACAATAAAGCTATAGAAGTGATGTTCAAATTTTATAATTGGTTATTTATTCTATTTCTTTCAGTATTTGAACTTGCATATGAATTTCTTTTGACATTTTACTACATTGTATTACTTCGTTGTTTGAATTCCATGGATATCATCTTTGAGAGTTGTGGTTAATAATTTTAGGATTGGAGTCTTTCAAAGATTCTGTCATCTCCAACGAATTTAGACAATAGACGACTTTTGAATGACTCATAGACTTTGAACCAGTTTCTACTTGTACTCATCTTTTGATGCAGTTCATTTAATTGCAGGAGACTTTGTAATTCTTGTTCTGCTATTTGAATAGATTCCTCTTATTCATTGAGGGCTTCAAGGAATCGTTTGTTGATTGCGTGTATTCTGGCTATGTTATTAGAGCATAATCCTACTGCTGAGAGATTGTTTTACTTTTTGAAGAATTTTTTGGAATTACTCATCAACATTAATCCCTCTGCATTTAATTCAAATTGATTGCTTTAATATTTCACACTATTGGCGTAATCAATAACAACATCGATAAATTATCGAATTTCAGTTGAATTACGATATTCATCATAATTATTTACAATAAAGTTTTATTTACTCAAATCAATAACAGACTATTCTAATATCTTATTACCCATTAAGCGCAAGGGAACAACGAAAGAGAGACCGGCCTTGACACCCTGTCTCCATGTATATAGAAATATTATTAGGGAGGAGATGAATAGAATGGTTACATACTGGTTTATTTTATTCGATTCTTCCAGTGACCCAGCAGCCTCGTTTCTGAACTGCAATGTGAAGGTTTCTAAAAACAAAATAGAGAAGTCCTTCTTTTCATTGATGTCCACTATTTAACAGTGATGTGCTATAGGATTAGAAACAAAAAATAGAGTGCTTCTGCAAATGTATTTTATCTGGTCTATTCCAACATACTCAAATGTTTTAAATTGAAACCCACAATCATTCAAAGATTCATATAAACTCTCTATCCAATTCTCTGTTTGATTAACATACGTTCTACTTAAAACAGATAGGTTACCAATTTCAAGGGCGTCTTCAGAATTGACTTAATAAAGATACTAAAATTAGATATAATATTATTTAATTACTGAATCGAGGAGTAATCCTCTATAAATGTTTTAGGGATCCCATGATTTCGTCAAAGAGACAAACATCTCTAAACTTTGAATCTCACTTATACTACATTTATATTTTCCCATTATTGCTACAAGCAATGTAAATTTCATTCCATTTGGCAAAACTTCAGGCTTAATCCATTTTTGTGAATATGCATCGAATACTATGCAATTACGTTTAGAAACACAATTTCTCACTTAATGTTACCAAAGTGTATAATAGTCTGAAATATTTTAATTTCCATAGACAGCAAAAAGCCCATTTTCACAAAGAACGGTGATGTTGTTTTTAATTAAGGAGTTGAATTACTTTAAGTGATTGATGAGCTCTTCTATTTCAGGATCATTGAGAGTGGAATTGATTTGATAGAATTGGAAGGGTTCATTTACTATAATGTGAAAGTTTTATGCTAGCAATTCTTATGCAACAAAGAGATCCTTGATGGCTGGGATCATTAATTTGGACATTATTTTATTGTAGCTGTATTCAATGGAGACAGTCTCATTGAATATCGATCTGGTTAAAGATTGCCCCTAATCAAGTGAGTTGGGTAATTGAATTAGTATAAACACACTGTTCATGATTAGACTCAAAAGCAAGATGATTGAAATGGGCACAACTATTGCCATTATGATTTTGAGTATCATGAATTAAAATATTATTGATCAAATCAATTCTGTGCATCACCCTCCATGCATACAGCAAAGAACCAATAGTGAGATGATCACCTTGAGTTAATGGAAAGCAAAGAACTTCTTGGCCTCTACTTCCTCTCGATACTACAAAATCCCAGACATCCCTGAACTCAAACCCAAAAAACAACAGATCAGAAATGTTAAGTACAAATTCGAACTTGATGACGATGTCGGTCACAAGATATTGAAACAGGTCTTGCCAAGAAATCCTCTCTTGCCCATGAGAAGACAGCATTAACCGAGTAATCTAATGATTAATGTTAGATCCATCCTAATTATCTGTAATCCAACCCAATTAAAGTCTACAATAAATCAATTCTTCCATAGAAGAATCTCACATTGGATCCAAAACCAATCGTTTCAATAAGCCTTCTCTCAAAAGGAACTCCAGTCAACCGTTGCTGGATGAAACCAAATAATTGTCTTTTCTCAAAAACAATTCCTCCTCAAAGGACATGAAAATCTCAGAACGAAAGAAAAGCAAAATCTACTTTGGATCCACTGTTTAAGCATCTCAAACTTAAACCAAATTTGAAATTGACTTCGATTTCAAAGTCAGAGATTCATCAGTCAAACGAAGACTATCTCAGAAACAATTCAATCTATATAAGAATAGAAAAATAGCAGTTTCCAGCATTGCAAATCAATATAAACATCAAAAGGAAGAGGAAGTAGAAGCAAGAAAAAAATAAGTCAAAGAATAAATTGAACTATTATGAAAACTGTTCATAATAAATAATTTTATTCATATCATAATCAAATAAATAACAATGAATGAAAGAGAATCTCGTATGTCTCTAGGGGCATTCGCTTCTAATTCTACTTCTGCATCATAGAACGCCTATGCTTAAGCCCTCAAGGCGTTGTAGGATAAATTAAAGGGAGTCGAAGGATTAAAGAATGAGGGATTAAAGAAATCTATCGAAAATCCCTCAGATTTTTTCACAGACTAACTGAAGAAGCAAATATATGATCTTTAGAATGAAAACGAAAGATTGTAATACTTATTAGCAAAAACAAATCAAGAAAGTTAGAGGAATCATATCCCATCACAATTAAATGAATTTCCATAAACTGAAAGGTTGCAACATATCAAAGACTATTAAGATCGACTCAGTGATATGATAATTAAATATGAGGAATTGAAACATGAAAAACAAGAAATTCAAATGGCCAATGAAAATTTATTAAGATAATTATCAGTTTATAAATAAAATGATAAAGGGGTCATACAAAAAACTAAACACAAAAAAATGGATGATAATATTAAATAAACTGTTTAAGATCTTAAAACTAAACTAGATATCAAAGATTAACAACTAAAAATATCAGAAAAGAAGATAGAATACTTAGAAATAGAAAAAGAGTAGGTTCTTCAAGAATATACTAATTATAAATCAAAGTATCCTCCGATGAAGTTACAAGACTTTGAAAAATAAATCCATTCACTTAAATTGTTACTGGAAGAAAAGGATAAACAATATACTAAAAATATAGATGAGATAGAAAGAAATAAGAGTGCAAGAGAGGAACAAATGAGTCGAAGGATCCAGGATTTGATTGGGAAATGCAATGAATACTAATAAATTATTGAACAATTAACGTAGGATTACAAAGATTTGAGTCTCAAATATCAACAAGTCAGAATCAAATTAGATTATTAAGAAAGATAACATAGATACATCAACAGAAAGTACAGTTAAGGGGAACTTAAATAAAGTTATAAGGAATAAAAAAATATTACCAAAATGGACATGTCTCCTCCATTGAGTAGTTCAAGACTTGAATAAAGCTAATTGAAATAGGCAATAAGGGAATGTTTAGAGGATATGATGAACACTCAAAATTATAATTAATGTAGTCCGGACAGAAGATCTGACAATAGAAAACAATAACAGATTTTATCCCCTATGTCAACTTCCAGGCAATAAGAAATCGAATCACAACTCAAAGAACTTAATGAAAAGTATGAGAATCTAATGAGTCAAGCCTAAAAAGAAAATGATTTGAATTCTAAAGCTGTAATTAGGAAGTAATTAATTGAGATTGCAGGTTAAATTAAAGAGACTACTAAATTTGAGAAATCATGAATAATCATTTAACTAATTCTAGTCATTTATCATTTGATTGATTTACTTATTTCAATTTCTCTATTAAACAAACTAATTTAAATTAATAATATAAATTAATTCTTTTTATTATCAATTTATGGTGGTAATCTAAGGATTAAAAAATTAATAATTTCTTTTTTCTCCAATGACAGAGTGATTTTTAATTAATAAATATGATGTTTATCCTTTTGCTGATTCCATATGTCATTAATGCTAATTCTAATTTTATAAACATTGGAAAAACTTACGAAGGGTAAGAATCTATTTGAAATCCTAGATAATTCAATTTCAAGACTGACAACACACTTGGTCACAGTTATTACTTTGAAATTTCTGAGCTCTTGGATAACGCAGATATCATCATAATTGTTAGTCAATAGACTCCTTAAGGTGATCCCAATATCTTTTTGTCTCTCGTGAATCCAGAACCATACACAATCGAATAAAGTGAATTAGGATATTGTTAATCACAAGGAAGTGGTATAAATTTAGATTGAATTTTGAAGACTTGTGTGTTATCGACAAAAAGTACATTTAAATTGATACGCGCTATTATATTGGTATTACCTGTTTTGAAGATTGTAAATATACCTTAAAGGTGAATTATGATTTAGAATAAAAAATGTTAATGAGTAATTCGATTTTCAAACTATTTAGATGATCTTTTAAGATTTAAGATGAATGAAGGATCTTCAAGTTAGATTGTGAAAATTCAAATTGATCACACCCTCCATATTGAAGAATTGGAAATAACTGGCGCGATTATTAATTACTTTGAGATAGAAAATCCTTTTCATATGTATTTAAATTTGGGTGACACCCTACCAAGTTCATAACAGTCAGATTACGAGGGTAAAGATTTCTTGAATGGTCTCAAATATCTTATTTTACCATGGGTTGAAATCAACAATTCCTCCATTTTAACAATTATAGTGGAATCACAGATAGGATCATTAATTGAATTAAAAACCAAAACTAATGAGAAAATAAGAAAAAGCTCGTACCATACTCTGATCTCAGGGGAAGTGTTGTTAAATTAACTTCATCATTATTAAATTGATAAGAAATAAAATGGATAATAACATACTTATAATTAATTGGTATATTTTAATTTAATGAAACCATTAGTCGATATAAATGAAACCCTATTCAGGTTTAATTACTGTGTATTTTAACTTTAAAGAAGAATTGCCATAAAATTTAGAAGATTATGAATACAAATATAAAATAAACTAAACTTCCATTATTTCATTTTCAGATTTGGATTTAAAAAATTATATAAAGATTAAATCTCTAGATATCATCATTTTTGGTAACGAAATATCAAGTTATTAATTTATGGTTATTCCATAGAGCAATTTTGAGTACATCAATTAAAATATGTATTATTAAGGGAGAGTCTATAAAGATTAATTTCTTTAAGTGTCTTTCGATCTGATATCTAACACAACGAGCGGTAAATTTAACTTATAAATGGAATCTGAAAACAATGATGTTGTAATCATCATCAAAAAAACCTAAATTATAAACGAAATAATACCAAAAGACGATATTAAAAATATGGATCAACTTGAATCTGAGAATCCTTCAAATTTATTCATTTTCACTAAAAAAGATAAGTAAAGTCTCACCTTCTAACCTGATTTTTCCATTTAAGCTTTAAATGTACATATTGGGCTTTACTCTCTTGGAATATTTTTGAATGAAAGTAAAAGGAATTTTAGTTCTTATTCTTTTATCTTGAGAAGTGAACTCCAATTTAAACGACTGAAAGATAATACTCCGTATAAAAGTGTTGTTACAAAAGAATCTTACTCATATTTTTAATATATTTTGAATCCCATTGAAAATTTTGAGGAAATGCAAATAATGATAGTATCAATATAGGGTTCTTAAGTTCTTTTATCATCTACCAAAGATTATCCTAATAGAACCAGCTATGAATAAATTGGAGATAATGATGTGATAATTTACCGTCCTTAGGAAACTTTAAAGAATCCTCAAGTCTACTTTATTTCAGTTTATTGTTAGACTGCAGGTATTTTTACAATTACAGTCATAATCAAGATTGCAAGTGATCAGAATTAATTAGGTGCCTATCCTTGGGAATATACTTAAATATTCTAAGGGGATTCTTAATTTCACGTACTGAATACAGATAGTAATTAAACTGTGGGTCTATTCAAAATTGATCTCACACAGTAATTGGAGATCAGATCAAATTAATTAAATCCATTAAATAAGAAAAAGCAGTTAATCAGTATTCATGTTCTATCACCTCTGGGTGGGATAATGATGCATGGATTTGTAAGTCCTTCAGCAAGTAAGGATGGTTCATTATGGTCAGACCCTAAAGAGATTTAAGTTTACTTGTCATAATTGAATGGTGAATAAGCTGTATTTCTAAGAATAGAGTTGCAAGAACATTATAACTATTCAACTTATAAGATAGCTATTCATTCGATGTTTTAGAGTTCACAATATATTTAAGAGATAATTGAGAATGAACATTATTTTGGCTATATTGAATAAGCTGGATAATTGTTATTATTTAGATACAATTAAATGCAAGACTATTCAATAATAAAAAACACTGAAGATAAAGGGAATAGTGTAAGGGTTTCAGTGATTTTGAAGAATATTACTCTAGCAACGTATGAGTCCACATTATTAATTCCTAAGGAGAAGTTAGAGGATGAAAGATGCAAAAAGGAAGATTTAGAATAAAATTATTGTTTTTTTTTTATTCAAATATTTTCCAAAAATCCAACCTTTTATACTTTGATCATATCTCATGAAAATAATTAGATATCACTGCATATGGATTAAGTTATTTACCATAAATTACCCAAAGGGAGTGATCATTATTATTCTTTAGTTGATGGAAGGGATTTCAATATTATTGTTAAGAATCTTAATCAAAACGTTTAGCTACAAATATTAGTTACTATTTTCTAAGCATAAGCAAATCAAGAGTACCCCTATCCAAAAGCTGAAACCGAATCCAATCTATTTAAGGTCTCAAAAAATTTCAATGGATTTCATACTAGTTAGGTTTCAATCTATAAAGATGAAGTAGCTAAATCACTCAACTGCTCAAACAGATGCATGATAGCAGTAACTATTAGACAAGTTCCTTGCTTTAATTATACAATTAATTCAAATAGCGTATATTCTATAATATACTCCTCGGGAAGTAGACAATTGTCATTAAAGAGTTTTCTCCCTGGTAAAATATCGAAAGAATATACTGCTTATTATCAAGTACAAATTGCAGATGAAGATGCTTAATTAATTATATTGTTATAAGAAAACAACCTCTGTGATGCTACGATAATAATATCAAAGGATGAATTCCCAAATGAAGAGAAGTATGACTGGGTTTACCGTCATTTATATTAGAAGAATATTACAATTTCAAAATATAATAATATGTATGAGAGCATGAAGGGTACTTATTATATCGGAGTATTTGGGGAATCAGAATGCGAATACTACATTACCTATTATTTGGGAGATTCTGAGTAACGATAGGAATACTTCTAAGACATTTATTAATTAGTTCCTTTTGTTTTGAAATAAAACTAGAAATAAATAGTTACTTCAAACAATCATATGATTTGGACATTCAGTTGCAAAACTGTTGGAAGATTATTAATTTAAATGTAATACCTTTCTTAGAATGTCACTATAAGAGGTTACGATAGCCCAGACCATATTAATTCAATGCATAGTCCTTTAGTAATAATATTTCAGAATAACTTATAACTGATTGGTTATTTTCCAATCCAATAAGTAGGCGTTTACACCATATAAACCTTTATAGAAAATTCATCTATGGATATAGTGAGATACTAAATAAAAGCTGGAATGATTGGTGAAGATTCAATTCTGCCAGATTTTTCAAATTTCACAAAAAATCAAATCACTGAAATAATTACAGTAGATGATGAAACGATTATCCATGCTGATCCACTTAAGATAGATCTAATGAATTCGTCATATTAAGTTGAATAAATTAAATATCAACTTCTATTTGTAGACTCTAATTCAGATAAATCTGTCTATTTCGTAGATACTTATGGTATAAACGATCAAGCCTTGTAATGGAGTCAAAAATAACCAATTGATACAAGAACAACCCAAATATCATCGAAAAGACAGCTTGATTCTAATGTATCTTTAATGAGTTAGGGTATTGATTATAGTAATACTACATATTCAATTCATGCAATAGGTAAAAGAATTATTAAACTTAGCTACTCTTACTCTGTATAATTTAGAAAGAATTGAGATAGATTATTTTTACAATCAGAAATTTGTTATTATCAACCAAGGCTTGGGTTACTATTTTATAATTGCACTTATTGTGCTCATAATAATAATAATTGTTATTTTAATAATAATCTTCGGTAAGTGGCAGCAAAGGAAGAAAATTTCACTTGTTAAAAATGTATAATAGCACTCAATTGAAATGATGTTTAAAAATATTGATTAATGAGAATTATTAATTTATTAATTAAATGTGGTTCTCCTCATGGTTTTCTTAAATGAAATTTCTAAGACCAATTATTGGTTAAAGGCAAGAATGACTAATTAGTTCTTTTTTATGTTTAGTAGTTGTAAATAGTTTAATATAAGAAAACAGAGTTTAAAGAAGTGAGTACATAGGATATTCAAATTAAATGGCCGATTTCAACTACTTGACAATACCTCTTTTAATACTTTTAAATACACAGAAATAACAATGCATTTCCTTATATTAGCAATCACTATCATAATATTATATTGATATAAATAATATTGATTATTTCCAAATTATATTTTTCATTTTAAGCAATGACGTATTACAGTAACATATTACATACCAAAATGAATTATGAGTTAATCTTGAAGCTGTAGTACAATAATGCTAATTGAAATGTAAAGAGATTATCTAGATCATTTGTGTAAAATAGAAATGAGAATTATCATCTATTTTAGTAGGAATATTAATTAAATATATTTTAATGATTGTAAGTTTAATAATTCCATTGATTTAAATAAATTATTTCTTTTATAGAGATTAGAATCTGTTGATCATATCTTGAGTTTTTGTTTTAGTGTTACATATTTTGCAATTGATTTCGAATATTGTGGGTAGATGACTTACTAAGAGCCCTGTAAGAATAGCCAGAATTAATATATTGAAAGTACAAAAAGAGAAATAAAAATGGTCAACAAATAATTAGAATAGGCTTCTATTTTTTTAATTTATATAGAATTAAATTCAATATCCATTATAAATTATCATACAATATAAGCACATCAGTATTAAGTAATTCTTGTAAAAATTTTATAAAAAAAATGATGAAATAAGAGCAAGATAAGAGTATTTGGGAATGGGTTCCTTGTAATTACGATGTAAAGCGGATAGTAAAGGATACTCAAACTTCTTGGAATCTGAGTCCATAAATATCTCTTAAGATTCCAGCAGAGAATGGGACCATCGATCCAATCATCAACATAAAGATTGATTAGAGCAGACCATTTATTTATTCAGATAATTTGGGATGGAATTGGCATAAAAGTTGGAACCTTCCTGACATTGGCTTGGAAATGGAAGTATAGTTTTATTTGTTATCACACTCCTTAGATTACAGACCCTTAGACTAACGAGCGTCTTGCCCCTCCAAATAACATATATGTATCCATCAAAAATATAGCAAGTGTAAACTGCAAATCGTCAAGCCGATCATAACTCCGATGAAGACTCATCACCTGCTGGAGGTGGGAGCCAAGGGAAACTTAAAAGTGGATATGGAGAATGGGAAATGCATATTCTCGGGACTGAAGTTCAACACTACCTCTTATAATCACGATGTAATAATTTTCAAAAATAGGATCAGCATTAACGATTTCATATTGTGATAACATTGTATTTGTGTCAGAGTAAATTCGAATTCCCCCAGATCTTGGATTCTCGCATCTCCCCTCCAATATTCGTGGATTCAAGAAAATCTGCCAGAGATATCGTCAAATAGAAAGTAAATTTCATCACTAAGATTAAGATCTAAAAATTGCAATCCTATTTCGACCCTTTTCTGCCCAATAATTTGGAGAAATAGTTTTTGATCATCAAGCCCTCCAATTAAGAAGTCATTAAAAATTCTATTGAAGGACTCATCAATTATTTCACTGCTCCAAATATACGGCATAAAGTTAAGCATCCCATTTTCTTGCTACTTAAATTCAGTGCTTGTATCTCATTGTATGTAAACTCCGCTAAAATTAAATTTACAGAAGTAACTTACACTCCAATTATTTAGCCTGACAATTTGATCTAAACCTTACAACATGTCCTCTCAACCAGTAATGCATTACAAGGGATTCAGAAGATAGATCAGAAACTCATCATCCTATACATTGATTGTAAGGCCAATGAAACCAAATCTCAATAGAATATGAAAAAGATTCTAGAATTTCTTGAACCTCTTAACAATGATTGTGTTTAGGTTATTATGGATATTAATGATGTACCTAAGGGCTTCATGCTAATTGAAAATCTAGTAACTATAATTCACTTACATCATAGGATGAAATGCAGCAAGCCTACCACAGAGTTTATAATTCTTTATTGAAATATAAAAGAGAAGATGATTAAATCGATTAAGAATAATTAGAAGAGGAGTATAATGCAAAAATTCCAGAAAAAAAGAAGAAAAAAGAACTTAAGGAACCTGAATAACTCGTTAATCCTGAGAGAATAAGGAAAATTATACACATTTCAGGTACCCTTCCCAACCAAAGTTCAAATTCGATGCCTGAACAAGAAAGTGTATGCTTATATCTGTAATCACCTAGAACCAAGTCAAAATGGAATAACAATTCTCTATACCCAATAATGTGTAATTGAGACTGCCAAACTAAGAATAATCATAACAGTATTTGTAATAATCGCAACTACAATAACAATAACTATAATAGAATTTAGCCTACAATCCAATGTCATTATGGTTGTATCTATAAAAACTTCCTTCATGAATTATAAGATTATATATGATCAAATATATTTTTAATCACGAAGACTACTTGCTTAACTTAACTATCTACTTAACTTCTTCCTTGTCTAATCAATAGTTTTCTCTATTGGAGTTTTAATGTCTTGATAATCATCATTCCTAACGTTTATTTCAATTTAGGGTCTCTGCAATCTACTTATTGAAGAAGTCACTTGAAGTACTTCAGATGAATCCCTTATTTTTTCAGGTATCACCTCTTTATAAGTTTCTCTTTCTTTGAAAGTATCTCTCATTAAAGTCACATTATGATTTGAGTTTTTTGTACTTGATATTCCTCTTCTGAACTCTATCAATTGTTTCTCAGCCTCCATTTACACATTGTTTTTTCTAGTTTCTATTTTACTTATGTATGTAAACTCATTTTGTAACCCATTCAACTTGGTTTCAAATTACTTTAAATCCATCTAATTTAATTGAACTTCTTTTCTTATTCTCTCTATTTCAACTCGTGACTCTCTTATACTTTACTCTAACCTGTAAGATTTATTATTACATTTAGCCATTTCTTATAAGTGTGTCAAGCTATTATCTTTTGAATGGACAAGTTCTTTATATGTTGTTTCAATCAACTATAATTCATCTTACAAATTCTAAATTGATTGGTTAGTATTAAATTGACTTTTAAATATCGAATTAATTTCTTTCCAACATAATTGCAAATTAATATTTGGTATTTGCTCAATTAAACTATTAAATATATTACATTTAATTACGATTCCTGTAACTAAATGAACTTTTTCAAGTAAATCTATAAATCCTATAATTCTTGCTCTAATTATGTATAACTAGGTTTTGAATTCACTAAAATCTCGTTTGTTTAAGAAAATCCTCTTCTGAAATAATATTTTATGTGACTCTTACAGATACCCGATTTCAGCATACAACTTAGCATTCTCTTCTTCTAAAGTGAATACTCTCTATTCTAATTCAACTACTAATGATTGCAATTTCCTTGTTTCTTCCTATTTTAACTTTGATTCTTCAAATGTAGATGATCTATTTTGATTAGATTAAGAATTTACAAATATTTGTTTTCTTATTTTAAGAGTTTATTTTCTAAAAATGAATCCTTAAGTTGCTGCTCTAATTCTCTCTAACATGATTGATTGGCATAAAATCTATTGTTTTCCATAGCTGTTAAATAAATAAATATAAATTCAAACTAACAAATTATCATATTCTTTTTCTTAATTCAATCGTTCTATTTCATTATACAATAAAACTAATAGACATTTGCAATCAATCAATTTTCTTTCAGCATCTACAACTTCTGCAAATTTAGATCTTAAACTCATTAATTCTTTTTCATTGTCCTTATTTATTCTTATCTACTTATCTAATTCTTAAGTCAATACTTTTCCCTAAAAGCATTTATTAAATCTTTTACTCTCTCTTCATTGAATTTATCATTCTTAGTCAATTTCAATAAACTTATCTCATTCTTCGCCTCTAACAATTTCTAATTCAATTGATCAATCTCTTAATTTAGCATTAGGTTTTGCAACTCGTATTTGCCAGAATTGGAATCTCCCAACAATTTCTGTTTCTGTTCATACTCTGATATTTTAAATTTAAGTTCTGCAATTTCATTATTTCTTACACTTACCAAATTTGTTAATCTTCTATTTTCATCCTGCAACTTGAAAATTAAGTCTTAGACTCCAGGATTTTCTTTTTATTACTACAATGAGTCTATTGTTTATTATTTCAATAGTATTGTTTATCGTAATCTTTCAATTTCTCCTTCGTATGCACTTACTTTCTCCAATACTTGATCCTACTAAAAAGAATTCTTTTTATAAATCAATATTTCTTCATTTCTCTCTGTCAGTATTTTATTAAGTCTCTCTATTTCCTCCACTAATTGTGGAAACCTTATCTCGTACTTTTACAATTTATCAATTAATTTTGAATCCTATTGAATAAAGGGTTATTATTATTATTCAATTTTATTTTCAGTTATAAACTCTTTAGTTATATCTAATTCATTTTTTAGTTTCTAAATTGTCTATTTCAATAAAGGAATTTATCTATTAGCTGCTTCAAGTTCTTTTTGTTATTAATTGACAATCTCCTAAAGATTGTTATTGGCATGGCTTTTTTCAACTGTATCTTGCATAATTTTCTATAATCGTTAGATTTCGCTTTTTAATTGGAAAACCTATATTTTTTTATTTAATATACAATACTGAATCGTTATTTTCTTATTGTTCTTGAAGTAGTTAGGAATAATTAAACTTTTAATTGTTGTAACTATTTGATAAGAGTTGATATTCTTGCATCAAACTTTATCTTTCATTCTCCAATTGTTTAATTTACATTTGTTGCTTATCTACTTATTATTTTAATAATCTGTTAGCATCTTCGAATTACTATTATGCATTTAGTTGTTCTCTTAAGTAATCATTCTCTTTTTTACTAGAATTGAGTTATTGAGAAAGTTTTTCGCATTCTTGTTGAAGTAGTTAAATTTTTTTATCCAATTCTGAATTTACTTTGATTTACTTTTAAGCCATTTGCTATTTGAGGATTTAATTGTCATCTTTCAATTTGTTGTATTGATTAATTAGATTATCCAAGGTCATATTCATGTCTTGTAATTTGAATTCATTCATTCTTAGATTTTAGATTTCCTTTTGCATTCTGGTGATCTAGGCTTTATAATCATTAATTTCTCGACTCTTTAAGGCTAGGGTATTGTTTAATCTTTCAACTTCCTGATATCATAGAAATGATGTACCTATCCCAAAAGATTGATTTTGGTCAGATATTCAGGATTGGCCCTATTTTCTTGAAGTTCAGAGGAGATCAATTGTTTTTCATTCTTCAAATCTTGGTTCTCCTTCTACAATTGTTTGAGTTGTTGATTCAACTTTTAAATTTCTTTAGTTAAGAGATCTTACTAAAATATGTAACCCAGAGTTTACCTTATTAGAGAATTCCTGTTGTTTTTTGAGGAGTTCCTTATCTCTTTCTAGTTGCTATTGTAATTCATAGATCTCTCTGTCTTTCTGATTCAATAATTCTTGGCTGTATTAACTGTCTTATTGCAATTAATTCAAATCTAACTAAACACTTTATAGTTATTATTTGCATTGGTTAAATAATTTATCCTTTTCTTGGAGTTCATCCTGCAAATTCTGATTCTCCTCATTCAACAATTGGACTTCAGCTAGTATTTTTTATGATTCATCTTCAATTTTGAGTTTATTGTTGTAGTCTTACTCCAATTTATCAAATCCATCTAGGGATTGTTTATTAAATGTTAAAGATACCTTCCCAATCACTAATCTCCTATTTGAGGGATTAATTGAGTTCATAGATTTATTTCATTTCAATTTCCTTTTGCATCAATTACTCCTTCAAAATATTAACCTCGTTTTAATATTGTTCTATTTCCTCTCTTTGCTCTTAAATAATGACTTGATTTTCACTGGATACTTGTAAGTACTTTTCTCTTAAATCATCATTTTATCTTTGTAATTCATTTATTCTAGAATAAGTTTCTGTGTACTTTTTCTTATAGATTTCTTCATTTGATGTTCCATCGAAGTGATTGACTCTGGCATCTGGTGTTCTGTAGGTGCTTCTTGGGAGTGTACTATAAAATAGGGATAGTGCACATTTGATTACTTCTGCTCCTGAGTGAATTGGGGACTCTTAGGTTGTTGTTGCGAATCACTTTCCATCAATTAACTATCTTATTTTTGTGATTGGTTAGTTCGAGACTCGTTGTTTCTTTATGGACGATACTTCGACATAAATTTTAATTTATATTTTTAAACTAATGGGTTCATGCATAGCAAAGAAACAAAAGGAAGAGGTTCACAGCAGAAATACTTCAAAATTAAAAGTAATCATCCCTAAAAACTAAATGTTGGAAAGTATGTGCACTCATTTATTTTGTCAGGCAACCCTGTCTATGCTGAAATGCCTTTCGATTAGGGGGATTGCTTTCAATTAAATAAGAACTTATTCAAAGACGAATACATAATTATTGATTCCCATCCTTTTCTGTCCACAGACTATGGGATTTATCAGTGGTGCTATAGCAAAAAGACCGATTCTCGAAAGCTTGTCAAAACCATAAAAAAAACGGAAGATCCCAAGTCAGATGAACCTGTTCTGATCCTGAAAAACATTCACATGATGCAATATCTAGTAAATTTACCGTAAAAGCAAGGATCATCCAAATATTGCCAAAATGGTTGAATACTTTAATGAAAGCTTATACTACTACATCGTTTATGAGGATTATGAAGGTGGTAATCTATTGAGTAGGATGATAACTAGAGGAGAAAACCCGGAACAAATGGCTGCCATCATAATAGAGTAAGTTTTAAGCACTCTTTTTTATTTACATTCAAAAAATATCATTTATCGTTTTCTGAGTAATATTCCCATAACTATTAGATCACAACGCCCTTCTCTGTGACGATAAACTCAATGTCACCTTTGTAGAATTCGGGGCTGCCAAAAAAATCTCACAATATATATAACTACCAGTCGGAGACCAACATTATTAATCACCAGAGATGTTGAATGGAAATTATAGTTTCAAATCAGACATTTGGTCTGTCGGAGTCCTCTTGCATTTTCTACTCTCTGGAGCCATGCCCTTTGATGGAGTCATGGCATCCTCCATCAAGAATTCCATAATGAGAGGCATAGTCAAACTAGAAGATACCTTCGATTGGGATAAAATCCCAGATGCAAAAGAATTTGTCAGAAAATTGTTAAACTTCTCTCAAAATCAACGACCCACTGCTGCCGATGCTCTCAAGGACAGATGGATTGAAAAAGCAAAATTAAAAAAGTTGGCCTTGAAAATAAATCCTGCCTTAACCAATCTTCGTAAATTCTAGAAATGTGAAGTCCTAGTCGAAGCCATCATCATGTAAATAGTTTAAATGACTCTTACTTAAGAATAGAAGGGAGAGATCTTATAAATATTTTAGGAATTTGACTCTAATAGAGATGGTAAAATTTCAACATAAGAACTAATTGAAGGTACTTATTGCATCATAGATAGAGGATATAAAAAATATTAAACGAGTACTAAGTTGGAGGATTAGGACATTGAAAAATTGGTTAAGAAGATCGACTCCAATGGAAATGGCTATCTAGATTACACTGGTATTAGTATGATCTATCATTCAGAATTCTTATTGGCTTGTCAAGACAAGAAGAAATTATTGACAGTCGAGAAATTGAAATTGGTCTTTGCTTAATTGGATGTCGATAAGGACAATGCCTTGTCCATGATGGAAATGAGAAGAATTTTTGGAGGCAACAGAATTAGCGATAAAAATTGGCACAATATTCTTAGCAAAACCAATTTACAATAAAAATCTGTCTTAACAGAATAAGAGTTCTTAGAATTTATAATCAAAACTATGTAAAATGATCATTCCTTCTAGTGATATTATTGAGTACTCATATATTAAATTTGTCTACTGTCGTCAATAAACATCTTGGCGATAAGTTAGATGGTCTTTTTATTAACTCATCCAATCTGCTTCTCGGTCTATCAGTCAAGTTGTTGTGCTTTCTACTCGTTAATATAAACTTTGCCTATTGTCTCAGAATCTTCTCACTTTGTTCATGATGCTTGAGGTAATCAATATTCGTAGCGTTTTTTAAAATTTTAGCTTTCAATTCTTTTGGGTAAACACTTTTCAAATGATTCAACATTTTCAAATCACCCTGCTTCCCAGCTTTCTGAAGCATTATGAATTGCAAAAAATTATCCTTACATTGAGTGCTCAATCTGTGTTTTGTTGAGTCATCAATGTTGATTGTCCTTGTATAATTTATCATATGAATTAAATAATTATATTAATATGTGTATATATATATTATACAAAAAATTACAAACTTCCTATCATCTAAATCTAACAAGTCAAATTCGATGCTACGATATTATGTTATTAATATTTATTATTTAAAAATAACACAACAAATGTTTCGGTATTAAAGAATCAAATAAGCCAAGTCCTATTTAGCTAATTCTTTAGCATATGACTTAGAAATAAGTTCTGATGCTTCCAAATTGATTTATTGCTAAGATAATTCAATTTTATTTTTTTCTATTGATTCTAAAAGAAATCTTACATATTTATCATTCATACTAGCTAGTGCAAATGGATAAAAAATATTTTACTTACATTTAGATAAACAGTCAACCTTTATACTATTTAAATCCTCATTCTTGGAAATTTGGAAAACAATAGATTATGTAAATTGGAATTTATACTAATTAGAGGAATAACCAATACCAACTTCGGTTAATATTTATTGCAATTAGGAATAAAATATCTTTGTGTATGGTCATTAAGATAAATTGATGATATTCTAAATTCAATAAGATTAATAAACTTGGAAATGTGTAAATTAAATTTAGATTTAATATCAAATTAATTCCCTTAGCATTAATAAATCAAATAATTCTATTATTATTGGAACAATGGATAATTAAATTATAATTATATAGTTAATATTAAACTAATGGAAATTACTTAAAAAATTCAATAGCTCATTAACCAATAGGGTAATGAATGTATCATTCATAGCATTAAATTGTTTTTTTGCATAATCATAGTAATTGTATTTTTAATAAAACAATGAAATAATCAAATTGCTTATATATAAATGCAATTAATGGAATTTCAAACTATTGAGAAAAATAGCTATTACATTTCCACAGTCCCAAAACAATTAATATGGTTCCGAAGATATAAAAAATATGAAATATATTGAAGAAAGATCAATAATATTATTGCAATTAGGGTAGATAATTTACTTTATAAAATTATTAAGGAATGATAGTTTTCAAATCATTAAGTAATTTAAATTAGAAGGAACAGGAGTTTTTTCAAATGATCTATCACTAATGATTCGAAAAAATGGATATCACAATCATCTTGAAGTTTTTGAATAAATCCAATACAATATTTGAAGCCTTTAAATTTATTTGTTTATTACTAGTTACAATATATTAGTAAAATATTTAGGAATTGCATCATGACTTTAAGTTTATAAACACTTTAAAGTTTTGAGTTTAAGCAGTATTTCTTAAAAAGTAATTATAAAATAAATTTGTATTATAAATATATATATTATGAATCAAGCACCAAGTTAGAATAGTTAAGTTACTCAAAATGAAGAGTTTACCTTCTTTGATTCAAAAGGATTGGATATGCTAATAAAATAGATGGGATTTGAGGAGGTGGTGTAATTTGATGAAAAGCCTAGATAAATGATTATTGATATTGGAAATGAATTTATTAATAAATTGCTGGAAGAGTCTATGAGAGTGAGTTAAAAGCGTTAATAATAAAACGAAGACTTAAAAAATACAAAACCAAAACTTGCATTTTAGGATGTAAAATTTGCATTAGGTAAATATGTTAAAAATAAATAGAAAATTGTTTAAGAATGCCTCAATAAAACTTTAGTATTGAAAAAGACAATTGATTATATATTATAAGAAATCCAAAATAAACACATTTATAGATGAAATATTCTGTTTCTCAATCCACCTTTTCATATTTTATATCGAGTGGTTTTCTCGTTAAATCCTTAGGATACGTTGCAAATATGATTATCATAATAAACATGATAAAAATTGAAACTAAAAAAGGACTATAATTATCTTTTTAATACAATGGTAGTACTATTGCAGGAGATAAAAAACCAGCTGCCCTACCAAAAGCAATTGTTGTACCTATTCCCAAAGATCTATAGATGGTGGAATAGGATTCTAATACAAGAGGAGTGAATGAAAGAAAAGTCATTCGATTAAAAAATTTGAAGGCCACCAAACCTAACAATAGATATTTGGCTCTCCAATACCAAATTATAAAAACCGATATCATAGATGTTGCTGTTCCTATCAGTATTATTGGCAATCTTCCAATTTTATCAATCAAACAAACCACAACTAGGACTGCTGGCAATTCTATCAGAACAGTGTATAGTAGATCCAACAACGTTTTTTCTTCCTCATCAAATAGAAATGGTATGATGATATACAGTCCAGAATATATCAACATTGAGATGATACTTAATGAATATGCTCTCCAAGTGATCGGCAAATTTTCTTCATTGAACAAGTCTTTAAAGCTCTTCTCTTCATATTATTATTCAAATGTCTCCTTCTTCCATTCTAAAAGAGCTTAGACTTCATCATCTGACAAATCAACGTAGTCCTTATCGTTCAATCGCCCCATGAAATTAATTCCTTCAACTCCTTCCTTGATACGCCCTTGAGAAATAAGAAAACGGGGCGATTCATGCAAATATATGATACTGCCAATCAGACATATAAAGCATGGTATACTATTAGTAACTGCTATGGCTCTCCAATTCCCTGTTGCTATTGAATCCAAGAAGATGAAGGCTAGCAATAACATCCACATTCTGCCCACTATATACATCATTTGCAAAGTGACTATAAATTATCCTCTTACATGAAGAGGAGTCACTTCTGCCATCAATATTGAGGATATAGGCAATGCTATGCCAAAGAGCAATCCAAAGAAAAATCTTAAGATTAGCAATTGTGGTAAATCCTACACAAATGCCGTAAGAAGCATTGCTATGAACAATATTACAATTCTTTAATACTTAGAGTAAGCATGACCAAATTAACATTGTCTTGCGTCCTGTATAGTCTGAGAATTAACCACAAATCCAAGCCCCAACAAACTAACCCAAATTGAATACTGTTGCTAAAACGATCAATTAGCCCAAATTTAGAGACCATTCCTTGTAAATTATTGCATTCAATAATTGTAGAAACATGAACTCTGATCCATCAAGCAAATCAATTAGACTGATGATTAGAAATGTTTACATCTAAACCTTACCAAATTTAATTCGCGTAGAAAGTATATCATCAAAAGATAAATTATTCATAAATTTCTAAAAATTAATATATTATTAATTTATTATCAAAAATTATGGTATTGAAAGTCATAAGACATTTTCTGTTATTTTTATCTAAATATTCGAAAAGGTTTCAAATAAAATGTATATTTCTAGTGATAACCAATAAATATCTAATTTAATTGAATTAAATGTAAGAAGTTTTGTGCTTTTACATAGAGTACCAAAATAACGTTGTTCCAAAACGCTCCAGGATATTGGTTTACAATTAGATTTTTGGATAGGTTAGCAGAAATTAAAAATCCTAAAAATTATTGTATGGCAACATTTAATTCATTAAATTTATGAATTATAATTTCTAAATGATTTATAAATTCATCTCGTTTATAATATAATATAAATAATAAATTTTTCATCCATTGTTTACTTTAGAATCATATTTTAAGAATATTATTTCGAATAGGAACATAAATCCTGTTTAAAAATACTGGTCAATAGAATAAAATAAAAAGAGTTCTGAGTTCTCATTTTTTAAGTTTATAAAAATTAAGAGAATAAAAATAAACATTTATATTTCTGATGGATCTATCATATTTAAATTTTGAAAATTCTTACTATATTTTGTTTATAATATAGAAATAAGGAAATCAAATTCATTGATTACTCTATACATGCATTTAATACCATCTTGATTTATTATAATATTATTATACAATAATCAATATTATTTATTTTTATTGTTACATTAGGTTAAGATGAATGAAGATATGATATAAAATGTATAATATACCCATGAATTCTTTTATATGCTCTATAAATATTGAACATTTTGTAATTAAAAACAAAGTAATGTATATGGATTTAAAATTAATCTACAAATTTTCTTTTCCATATAAATTGATTTTATCATCTGAAAATAAATCACGCTTGTTAGAATTATGGATGATAATAAATAATAAAATAAATTTTTAAAATATTCTGATTATGTCTTACGATTTTCTTTTTAAATATATCATCATAGGAGACTCAGGTAATACATTAGATTTAAAAAAGGTGTTGGAAAATCCTGCCTTTTGCTTCAATTATTAGATAAAAGGTTCCGATAGAAGCATGAAGTTACAATTGGAGTAGAATTCGGTGCTAAGCCCATAGAGGTTGATGATCTGAACATAAAGTTGCAAGTGTGGGACACTGCAGGACAAGAGGCATTCAAAAGCATTACTCGAACTTATTACAGATCAGCTGCTGGTGCTTTAATTGTTTATGATGTCACAAAGTATATTATTAAATTTCTATTATTACAGACGGGAATCCTTTAACAGTGTTTAAACCTGGATTGAAGAGGCTAGGCAGAACGGAAACTAGACAATGAGCATGATTTTGGTTGGCAATAAAACTGATCTAGAGTCAATGAGAGAGGTAACCACAGAAGAAGGAAAGCAGTTGGCTAAGCAATAAAATATATTGTTTATTGAGGCAAGTGCAAAGACAGGAGATCATATTGATGATGCATTTATTATTAGTGCTAAAGAGATCATCCAAAAATTAAAAAGCAAATAAATTGATTTGCGTGATGAAGTATATAATAATTATAATAAATAACTAGAATTGTGGTATTAAGAAGGGAGCAAATACTCAAAACAAAAATACACTTCAAAATTCAGATGACGATAAAAAATAACTAAATAGTTGTTGTTGAGTTATATCAATTTCATTAGTTTCTAAACAAATTATATATATATTTATCGAAGTGATATCAATTAATTCAATCATCTCGTAAGAGTTCTTTTAAAAGTGTGTTTAAGTCAATTTTATTTATTGAAATCTTGTTCTCTTATTTAGTGAAAATATAATGAGGTTTACGTCTAAGTGCAAGGTTCTCCATTTTTTTTATTAAACTGCACTCATCCGAATTTTAGTTCATATTCATTTTATATTATATTATTATTTTTAATAATTCACAGATTACACAAGACAAATGATATTTATTATATATAAGTATATATTGCAATTAAGAAATAATTTGATTACAATTATTATTACTAAAATTCTAAAAAACTTCAAATACTGATGTATTATTTTAAGTGAGGATGCTGAGATTTCAACTTGTACAAAATATTTTAGAAATCTCAATATTTCTCCCAATAATAGTATTCAATCCAGATTTATTGATAAGATTTCTATATCATTTTGAAACTAACATTAATCCAAATGGATATTAGACAATTGTCAACATATTTAATAATATCTTACTTGATTGAATCAAAATAAAGTGAATAAATAAAAACTGTCTTTATAATACCTACTTAAATGATTTTTTATTAATATTATTAATGCAAAATTAAGGTACAATGACAGATTTAAATGAGGATGATATTAGAAGACTCGATTAACACGTTATGAGAAATCCAAACATCATATTGTCCTGTATAAGGGTGCTGAAGATGGAAGAACTAAGACGCACTAATGAGGACAATTCACGTTTGATGAATTTCATGCGATCTCATTTATATTTCAAAGGAAACTCATCTTTAGATTATTTATGGGAATGTTGCTAAGTATAAATTGGCTGAGTATGTTAGTTGATGAAATTCGAGCAATTAAAAAAAAATCAAATAGTTTACTTGAGAGGCAGAGAGAATCAGGATCAATTAGTAATTTTATTAACAGGAGAAATGAGTGTCCAATCAAATGAATAAGAATTGTTGTGTACAAAGCATTTTGGATCTGCTTTAATAGTATTTGGGAATGATTGTTATGCAGATATGTATTCCATATTTAGGAAGCAAGCCCAAACCTGATGGTTAAGACCAAATCTGTATGTAAAGCAGCCGTCATTTCCAAGTTAGACTTTAAAATCAATATGCTAACACACGAGATATCCAAAATAAATGGTTTGCTCCAACAGATATATGCATTCCATTTATTTAAGACTCTGCCATTTACTACAGTAAAGCAATTCTTCCTCAACAGTTTTACCTAGCATCTCTGCTGCTAAGACATATTATACAATCAAAATTAACAGGCATCATAAGTGTTTTTAGTGATAAGTGGGATCTTTGAATTAAGGGAAACAACAGAAACCAATACAAAATCTATTAACATCTACACACCTGGATAATTGATAGGAGATTTTGAATGTGTGAATTTCTTCTAAACCAGAAGATCGCAGGCTCTATGCATAAGTGATGAAGGAGCAGTGCTCGTTTTCGAGGGAGTTTATTTTCTGAACTAGATCTTACCTAATATTAGAAAGAACTTTGTAACCAAAAGAACGAATGAGATTAAATAAACTTAGAAAAGTATTTAGATGAAAAAGACATTATAAAGGATATTCCCAGAGTAGCCGATTGAATAATCAACATCATCATAATAATAACTCAATTAAACAAGCACCAAGCATTTTCGATTTGCTAAGTTGGCAAATCCTCGCTTCTTCAGGTTAAAACAGACTCCTGAAAAGTAAGCGAATCTTTAATAGAATAGTTTAAGTATTAATAGATCTTAGTAGTAATTACTGACAACTAAAAGTCATAAGAAAGTATCTATAGTATCATTTTCAACGAAGTAGGAACTGTTTTAAGGAAACATCAAAGGAAGATTATTAAGGAATGAATTATTAAATAAGTTTATCAATTAATAATCTGAATATTAGGATGTGGTGTAAAAATTAAGAAGGACATAATCCTAATTGGGTATGAATAAATGATCACTATAATATAATAATAATGAATTCAATCTGACATTATACCAAAGCGTTTAAATGTCTTTTTTAAGTAATTCTTCATCCTTTTTAAATCTGTGATTTTCTTTAAATCATATGTATTAGTCCAATCTTTTGGAAGTATTTCTCTCAGAATGTCATCATAATCACTCTTTATTCGTGCCAACAGATTGATTACAGACTAATTGATCTCTTCAATTTCCTTCATTATTTTCCTTTTTTAGTTGTTTAAGTGGGCTAACTCTTAATCATAATCGTGTAATAAAGACTCTAACCATATACTTTAATTGCAATACCTATTTTTTTGAAAGTATTTAAATCTGCATCCCCTAATACCCCATCTAAATCTTCCTCCAAATTACGTTTCTATTGTAATTTTTTATTTATCTCTAATTCAATATTCCTCAGTTATTCAGTTTTCCTAATAATAACGCCTGTTAAATTACATATCCTCCTCTTATCTCAATCTGGCACAATTCTCCAAAATTTAAAGTAGCTCTCTTCTCCTCTCCTTCTCATTTTAAATAGCCCTAAGAAATCAGAAAAACCATATACAATATCATGTTTTTAAATTATTAAATAGTACTTCCTGTTTTTTCTAAACCTGCTCTAATTGTAGCATCTTCTTCAATCAATGGTTTCAAATAATTCATATTTTCTTTAAATTTTCTGCTAACCTCCTTCAAATCCAATTGTAAAGAATTGGCTAAACCATTTTACTACTCAGGTAAATTAGTTTACGAGAAGAAATATTCATTTGCTTTGATGTATCTAATCCTTCTTTTAAGATTCTCTGTCCATTCATTGAATGTCTTTGCTTCCTCTGATATCCTTCTGATTAATTCACTGAAAACTTGATCACTTTCTCTATACAACCTATCCAATTCATTTAATAAGGCTTATTCAGCTTATTCCAATTTTGATATTTGATCTCTCATTTAAGCTATGTTATCAAATTATTCCATAAAATCCATATAAGCCTATAACTTTGATGGCTATGGTTGATCTAAATTCTATTATGAACCTTAAACATTTTGTAATCCTTAATAATTCTAATTTTATATATTTTCTTCATCTCCAAATACAATATTTAGTTTATTTATCCTTTCCTGTCTCAATCCTCTTAATCTTTATAATTCTTCTATGATTTTGTATATTAAATTCATCTTTTCATCCTTCAATTTATTTCTCTAATTCAGCTTCCCATTGAGGATTGATTACTATCTCTGTTTATTTGCGAATAAAGGTTCTGCTCTCTAAACATTGTCATCTACTTTTGTGATAAGCAGATCTCTGATGTTATCATCTATAGTGTCTAATTGTCTGCAAATCTCATAGATCTCATTATTGTCTTTTTCGAGTTCATTATCAAAATGTTTCAGTTTTTTGAGAAGGTTGTCAATTTCTGTTTCAACATTTTTGTTGTATTACCAGAATTCCTAAGATTTACTCAATTCCATAACTTTGCGATCTTATTGATCTCTCATTACATTCCCTAACAACTTTTGCATTTTTGGTAAGCTTTTCTATTGCATGAGTGATTATATCAATGGATCTTCAACTCTTTGTAAATCTTGAACATAATCTTCATATTGATATCGCTTTAACTCAGCAATTTTATTTGAAAATTCCTCCTTGAGTCTTCGCTTTTTATTGAGAATCAAACTTTTTCTCCTATTGAGCAACATGATCACCTCATTAACTACTTAAAAATAAACATACTATTCTAATCTAATTCTCTGTTGATTTCTTCGAGTGATAACGAATTCAAATCTTCAAATTCGAAAGATGCATGAGGAGATGTATCCGCAAATCGAGCAACTCTTGGAGGTGTCTACATCCTTCCTTAAACGAATGATGAATTTTAACTAAGCGGTCTTTGTGGGATGAATGGAGCACTAGATGTGCTTGTATTTAATTTCATTAAGTGAATAAAATAATAATACAAATTGCTATAAACATTTAATTTTAATTTATTATAATATATTTACTCTTCTCCATTCTTCATACTATGAATATAATTGTTAACGATAAATTATGAGTATATTTTTGTTGAAACAATAACATAACTCTATTTTAATAGTGAAATTATCTTATTTACAAATACTTAAGTACATAAATTTATGATTCAATGACGAAGCTACAAATTTCAGAGAAGAAAAGTAACTTTTTTTTCTTTCTTATAAATTGGTTGCTTCTCCATCTTTTTGATTAAGGATTAAAGTTCGACGAATTAATCACCATAAGATTTTTTCTAAATTACTATTTCAATACCATTAATTATTGATATCTTGCCGATCTCTGTATAGGCTATTCCTCAAGTTACAATTTTTATTTTTTTATTTAAGGCAAAAAGGAAATCTTTTCCTTCTTGTTTTAAGTTTATCCGATCATATTATTGGTTTATAAAACAATTGTCTAATGTTAGATGTCGTCATCATTACAATCTTGAGGATTAACTGGATTTATTTTTTTTTTCTTCTTTCTAACTATATTCGAATTCAATTGTTTGGCTACTAAAACTTTTGGTATGTTTAATTTATATTAATATATATCTGCACTTAATGCTGCATCTTATTTTAAAGATCTTGAATTTGAGTCAATAATTAATGAATTTTTTCTGTCCTTAGCTAACTTTTGGTAATGCTATATGGAATCTATATTCTTATCAAAGCACACACTTACCTGCGCTGATCACATTTGTTTCCTCTTATTGTGGGGTTTCCATGTATTCATAAGAGTCTAATTGCATGACTTTTTAAGGCGGATAATGAAGTTATCTCTTAAGTTGTTTAATGAGATTGTTATCATTGTAAGGACTGAATGATAGGCATCTTGATTGTCTATATTGAAATGGTTATTCCAAAAAGCAATTCATTTATTATTAATTATATTTCAAGTGCAATAAATTTGTATTCTAAAAAATTAAGAAGAATAGTAATAATTAAAATTAGATCATATCCCAAGTGTCAGGAATGTAAGAAACTACTAGATATTTACATGAGTCATAATGAATAGTTCAAAATAATGGGTTCTGATTAATTTTGGTGTTGTCGGAATTAACTAAGAAATCAAAGGAAAATAATTTAAATTCAGTCTAAATTAAATATTTAACTGCTCCATTTGAAATACTCAATTAAATTAAGGTAATATAATTATCAACAATATCTAGTTGTTTTTAGACATCAATAATTATAAATTGAGTTTAATAATCAAATTAAATTGTCAGTTGTTAGAATGATCTTTTTAATTAGATAAAATGTGAAGTTAGTCTCTGATGAAGATAGTAAAGCAAGAATTTGATTCGCCCCATATTGTTTTGTCATCTTTACAATTTTCATTTCTAACCATAGGGGCACAAATCCCACTTGGCTGATTCCACATTCCTAAAAGTCAGCCAACATCTTTTGAACTCTAAGAATAGTTTAATAAAGAATAATTACTGTCTAATCAACAATTTATTATTGTCTTTAATAATGTTAAAGTAGAGTGCTGTAATTTACACTGATATAATTCTACTACTTAGTCTTTATAGGATAGAGTAGCTTAAATCATTTCTCTTTAATTTCTATGCTAGACGAGCACATTTATACAAAAACATTGATTCCGCTTTAATAAAAGCGAGATAAACCTTCTCTTTGTCAGGTTCGTCCTCATTTAGAGGTTGTACAATATAAAATTCCTTTAATTCTACTTACCCGCCCAAATGCTACTTTGTCTACAGAGCCTTCTTTAGATTAGACTTAAACAACGGGGAGGATGTGTTGGCTTGTTGTTACGTGTTCACTTAATTTATTTAAGAGCTTTATTAGTTATTCAGTTATCGGTTTTATTCTTGAGAGGGGTAAAATAAGGAATCTAGTTCCGTTTATATTTTATTAATTGTTTCCACCATTCCTGATAGGAGATAATGGATTTGCTCTTTTCTTCTTTTTAATTGTTCATTCAATTAGACTGATTCTTATTGACTTAAATTATGATTCAAGTAAGAAATCAAACCATAAATGAAAGATTTCTATAGTTGTGCATCTTAACCTGATTTAGGTGCTTATGAAATCATTTCATTTTATTAAATATTGACTCTATTTACAATTGTAATGAATTATTTGTTTTGCCTTTCTGACTCAACGCTTTCAAAGGCATTTTCTAAAATTATCGTATTGGCTTTTTTTATTTGTTATTATTTCTTTTTGATACTAGTGAATTTTAATGGAGATCTAGGGATCTTGCTATTATGTTGGGGAGTCTGATACATCTTAGGACCCATGTTTGTAAAGTCAAATGATTTATTGATTTTTTACTTTTTGAGAAACTCAGGTTGTTCTTCATCGGAATCACAGTCTTCTATGTCATCTTGCAGTCTAGGATTGCATAAGCTTTTCTTAAGTTATTAGGATAATATTCATACATTGGTATTGCTTATTTAACTAACATTTAAATTCAAATTTCTTTGATGTTTGATGGCAATTTAGAATTCTCCTGGATCATAGATTTAATCAATTTGCTTTTAGACTACTTTAGCTGTAGTATAAAAATACTAGGTTAAATACGATTTTAATTTTTAGTATCCTACAACTTTTTAGATTTTAATGACTTCTTGGAGAACATTGGATAATTCACTTTCAATTTCTAAGAGGTCATTATGCATTAGGGTTTCATAAGTCTGTTGATTCACTTTGAATTCTGGTCTTGAGGAGTGTTTCGATATCATTTCAATTGTATGCTAAGGTCAATTAGATTAAGATAATACTTTCTGATCCTTCTTATTATTTAATCTGGGTCGAACTAGTAAGTTATCGATGCAAGGATATCCACATAACTGAACATAACATTCAATTTTATCAGCCGACAAAGGATGCAAAATCTTATAAATCTAATCTAATTGCGAAGTCTATTGTAGAGTCTTGTTTTGAGTCAATAATCTATAATTGAATAAATTAATTTCATTCCATATTTATTTTACAGTTTGTTTAGATGGCAAGGCAATAGCTCTATTTAAGAATAACAGACTAATTTGAAATATCTTCTGTTTCCTAAATATTTTGGACTAGTCTATTTAATATATCAAATACTAATGTTATCCAAATAATCTAATTATTATAGCATTCTACGATTAGATCTTTTAGTATGATGAAGGCCTTTTCAAAACTAGATTGTTTAATAAGGATATTTGCCATGATGAATTTGGGAAGATTGAACCAGCTGTTGGAATCCTGCAATTTTAATAATTCATTTAAACTCTTATTGTAATTTCTAGAATCAATGGATATGTTACTTCATTTTGTAGTGAGTCAAGGACTTGAGTAATTTCAAGATTATGTTATCATCTAAGTTATTTAATTATTCTAGCAATAAATCCAATTGGCTTGTGTTGTATAAATAATTGAAAATGAGACTTATTGGCCAATTGAGATAATAGATTATATCGTTTATAGGAGGAAAGTCAGATTTCGATTTTATTTTGTCGAGATCCTGAAATTAATTATCTAGACATGATATTTTTTATAGCAATTTTGCTATGAGATTTTATAGAAATTTTGGATTGTTTATACTAGTCTAATTATAGAATCTACCAATATTTGGCATCTTGAAATTGTTATCCAAAATCCTTAAAATGCCACTTATATGTGCTCCTTCCCAATGACTTTTGGTTAATTATATACATTATTTATTTTGTTGTATTCCATAATTTTTAAACTAAGTTAGACCTTCACTAGGCTATTCGAATTAACAAACCAAGAGAATCTTCGAAAAGATATCATAAGTTATGTATGTTATCTAGTATTAAATCAAATCGAAGTTACCTTGAATATTATGATATCACTTCCAAATATTTTCGAAAAAGTGTCTTTTTCTTAATTCATCATCAATGATTGAATATAAGCTGAAACCTCCGCCTAAGATGTTGGACAGATCCCAAGTACACAATGGTAACTAGACCACTGTTCAAATCCTGATTTAAACATTCCCAACGTTTGTCTCTTACAAATTATACAAATATCAGGCAGTCCTAATCCTTACAGTTGACCTACGTTTTATCGCTTACACATGCCATACCTACAGAAGCAATGAGATTATCCAGAATCCCTTCTGTTGATGTATCTCGAAACTCAAACAAACTCCTTACAGTACCTAATTTCATTAATATATATAAAAAAATTAAATGTTTAAATTTGGATTGGATTTTTTGTCTAAGAAAAGTCTTCCCCAAGACTTCGCTGATCAAATTCTCAAGCTTGAAATGGAGATCGATAGCAATGAATAGACTCAGCTTTCTCAATTATAATAGTTAATCTCACTATATATGGTAATTACCATTGCTAAATCATATAGATTGGAATAGAATATTATGAATCCATCTAAGATAAACGCAGCTTTTTCTTCTAAAAAAAACTCAATGCTCTTATTCTGTTTACAACTCAAAGAGAAAATGAAGAATTTCTATTGTCAAAAGAATAAATTATCAATAAGAGAGCTAAATTCGAAGAAGAATCAAAACGTATTGAACTTGATCTAATCTACAGCTAAACAGAATCTAAAGAGGTACAAATTTCATATTTGTGATTGAGGCTCAAGTTAAAGAAATAGTTAATAATCATACTAATCAAGTTAAGTAAATATAAACTATGATACAAAACGAAATGGCATCTCAAACTGACACTTTCCAAATGCGTCTTGAACGTAGAAGAAAATCGAAAATTACGCATTCTTTAAGCTAAACAGAGATCGATCTATAATCATACAATACTACTATCCCAATTAAGAAAACAGAATTTAAAGAATAAGGATGTATTGTACTAATTCTGATAGAAAATTGTAGCTTAAACTAAATAGATCATTATAGAGGAAGATGATACTAGCAGAAAACACTCATTTTTTCAATTTGAATAGGATGGTATTGAAAATGAACTACTACAAGAAGCCAAGTATTGATGATGTTTATTACTTCTTAGGTCGAAGCAATATTAGAAGCATTAGAGATATGGATCATAAATTCCTATATCCAATATTTCTATTAAACAGAGGTTTTTAAGTTAGGAATTTGATTAAACCCAAGAGGAAATACAGGTATCATCCCAGAAAGAAATTTAATAGGAGAACCCTTGAGTTCAATAATCCTATCGGAATAAATGGTATTTTTGAAATAATATTAAATACCTAAAAATAAATATATATTTGTCTTAGATTAAAAATAAATAAAAATTATATAAAATTTATATACAATATAATTTAATTCACCAAAACTCAAAGTAATGACTATGTTAAACCTTCGTATGGCCTAAAGAATCTAACCAACTTGTTATTTGTTTTTCGTTTTGTATTAGCATCCCATTACAATAATCACTGATATATTGAGCAATCTAGATATTTCTATTAGAATTCTGAATTTAGAAGACTACCAATTTAATTTTATTGAAATGCAATAGATTTCTTATTTCATAAAAATTCTGCTCTATGCTTTCTGATTAAAACTCGGTGAATAAGCACAAGTAATTTTCAAATTTAGTATCATCAGAGTTACGAAATAGTTTAACACTTTATTTGATGACATCAAACAGCTGACTTGTTCCTCCTGGAGGCAATAGCAATTTATCCAATATCTAAGAGTAAAGATCTTAGGTGTACATTTAATTTTATAGTTTAAACGCTTCAAATAGAATTTCATTAAATAAATACAATCCCACTGAAGTTGATTTGTATACTCTTTATAGAATATATTTACAATAGGTCTATGATATTTAAATTTAATTGAATGCCATAGTTTTAGAGTAATCAATTAGGATGATTACTTTTTATTATTCTTAGTTTATGACTTCCCTTTGGATAGTAATCAAGTCCTTATCTAATTAGTATTGGACAAAGATCTCCTCTATTATCTTAAGTAGCTATAATGAAACTTTTTAATTTTGATCATCTAATTTCTTAAATAAATGAGCAGATTCGAGTGCGGCTTAGTAGTTTTGATTGTTGGACTTCATCAAAACAATTTTCTGTAATGCTAGTTAGACTTACAAATAGCTAATAGGAATATTTTCGAATGTATTATATCCTATATGGTAATTAATTTGGTCATCTTCTAATCCAAGATAGTAGTCATACTATCCTAGTAGGAATTAATTAGTGGTGTAAGCAGATTCATACATCTTTAATTACATGTAGCAATAAAACAATTTAATTTAGGCTTTAATTCTCATAAGAGTTAGATACTTACTTTTTTTCCATTTTTGTTTTTGATTGATTTCTTCTTCGAGTTGTTTGATATTTTGAATTGTTTCATTAAATAGTTTGGAATCTGAATTTATGCAAAACTTAAATAGAATAATGATGTAAGCATATTTTCTAAAGAATAAACACAATGTCAATTAATCTTTGTCTCTTTTATAATTTTGTCTGTATTCTTGGCTTTGTTGTTGCCCAATGGATTGATAACATTATTATTTATCTTCTATTGAGTTTTTTAGAGCCATGCTTTTATGAATAGACATAGAGAGACATGCCCTATTTTGTTCCTCTTAAGATTTGAACCTTCCTTGATCAATAATGTTGGATGATTTCCCGGCAAATTTATTAATGATATAGGATTGCAACCGATTTAGAATAGATTTTCCAAAATGATTCCTTTCAATCTTTTTTCTTAATTTCTCAATCTATTTCAAACTAGTCAATTCTTTGTTCCCTATCATTATAGATTCAGCTAATTAGTTTAAAGCTTCAGAGTATCTTTTATTTTTATAATGAATCATGGCCATATTGTTACCACAAACACTCACCATCCACTTATTTTGACAGAACTTATAGAAAGACTTAATTTAGCACAAATTTTATAAGTACTCTGCTCCTTTATCATTATTATTTAACAACTGCTGTTTTTAATGAAATTGATGCATGATTACACATAAGAGCAATGAGTCATAAAGTTATAAAAGCTCTTAATTATGGAGTTGTTGTCTTAAATCCATTCTTTAGTTTGAATTCTCATAATGAAATTTATAGGGTTCATTTATTATTTCTGTAATTCTCTCAATGGGCACTTCAAATGATAGTGCAACTTTGACAGCAACTCTGTAAAAGTAAAAAATCAATAAAATGATAAGACAAGCATAACTATTAGTAGCATAGTTAAGTCTATCATAATTTAGATCCTAAGTACCCAAATGTTCATGAAATTAGTTTAGAGATATTATCATCATATAAGTTAATTTAACACTATATTACTCTTTACATTTGTAATGAAGGTCACTTATAGAGAATTGAACATATTTTATCAATCGGTTTTCTGTGTCTGATTCATAGCTGATTGTCTAAGGTTCATACGTTAAGCATCCAAATTCATCCTCTTACCGATTAAACTTCAAAATTTATAAAGTCTTAGAATTGTCGACATCTAGAATCTTTGATAAATTTGTCTCATTATTTTCTTGCCAAATGATATCGTATGGATGGGCATCAAGTAATACTGTTCTCGATTATACTTAATTAGTCACAAAGGCTGCATTTGTTAGCATACTAATAATGAAATCTCTCACTCCATAGTAGACTTAAATATTACATCTAATATGCTAATACACTCAATACTTCTAATTTCCAATAGTAATCTTAATTTAATTTTCATTGATGATTAGGTTTGCCTCATAGAGACTAGTCCAATTTATAAATTCCTTTGTAAACTATTAGTTACCCTCGCCAATTGATAAGTATTCCTATTTATCTTTACACAATATCGTAAAACATTCTAATCTGTGAGATTTATACAAGGGAGCCAGAAACAGTTCCAAACTGTGGATTTCTGTTTAATCAAGCATCCTTATTGTATTATTAGTAAATTGATTGAAGATTACATTTCTTATAATAAAGGGACTGTTGAATTGCATTGATTAATTTATTTTGGTTACAATGAATAAGGCTCTTGATTCAAACTTTAAACTATAGAACACAATCATACTTATAAAGTTTCATTTAGTAATTTAACTGATAGTTATTACACAGATAATTAGGTTTTTGGTATAATTGTCTAATAAATTGAAACTATCCAGAAAACTGAAGCTGCAAATAAAGCTAAAGGAAGTGCTATCATACTGAGTATAATTTTTACTTTGAGTGCCATTAAATTTAATAATGAATTATATAAATAATCCAAAGATTTATTTTTTAATTTTAAATCTTTTTTGATTCTAATCCCAGAATCTCTTTTTAGAAAAATAGCATTACTTGTGTGTTAACATGCCATTTAAAAAAACAAAATGTTTTTATTACATTAAAGTTGGAGTTCTGAAAAAGTTCTTCTAACTTAAATAACTATTAGACTAAATCAATTAAGCTAATTTTTAAAGAGCAAATCAAATACATAACAGATATATATATAATTTTAAAGATCATTTCACAATTACTTCATCATTAGAACTGAAACACAAATGAAAATCTCAAAACAATATATTACATTAAGATAAATTTATAACATTATGATAATTTAATCCAAATGCCATAAGAAATCAGAATATTATAGATATCACAACTATTAATTGATAATCTTGTATTAATAAATAGCTATAATTTAAGAATATTTAGTAATAAGAATATCTATAATGTTAGTATAATCACTATTATGATTAATAGTTTTGAAAAAGAGAGTCAGGATTTTCCCTATTTAAAATATGAATATTTACAATTAATTGTTATATAATTCTGCTTAAAAATTAATTTTTATCTATTTTAAATACAAATTGTAAAGATAGTAAAAATAACAAGATTCAAACATTGTTTAGGCAAGCAAAAATATTATAATTAAAATTAATTTTACAAAATTCTTTTATTTTCAAAGATGTTATCATCGCCAATTGTTCAGATGACAGATTTTTGTTTAACATTATAAATATTGCATCTTGACTCTTTCATGCAATATATAGAACCAATGTTGATTTACTTAAGCATTAGATTTTAATTATGTTTATTGTTATGTATCTTGAAGGATGTTGTTATTCTTGTTAATGTTTTGATTTTTGCATCTCTGTTAGAAGTTACTCAAGATTTTCGGAGAAGTTGAGTAAAAGAATTTTGTTAAGTTGTTTATCTCATTAAATATAAATTATAAATGGAGATTCAAAATAAAAGCAATTAATTGATCTTCCAATGTGAAGTAATTCGTAAACACTTGCTCATTGATAAACACTATTAATTACAGATATTCGAAAATAAGATCATTATCAGAGAGAATGTATAGTATATAAAATTGATATTCTCATAGTTAGAACACCCTCCTAAGTATGAGATTGATCTGAGTCTAAAAAGTCAAGTAAGTTGGAAACATAGCGATGATCATAAAATTAAAGAGTTTGGCATAAAGTATTTTAATAAAACAAAGTGGTTTACTGGTCAATCTGCTTAGATGAATCAAATGAAAACATACATCTAAACGAAGGTCTTTATGCAAGGAATTTCAGGCTTCTACTCCTCCCATGATATAATAGGTTCAGGGGCATCTTGTAAGGTGATCTTGGTAAAGGATTATAACGCGAATAAGTCTTTTGCTGCTAAATGCATAAGTAAGGATTACATAAAGAAGAAAAGAACTTCAGACAGATTCGATAGGTTGGTGAATGAAATACAAATATTAAGAACATTAAAATCTCATCCAAACCTAATTAAGTTGAATGAGATTTTTGAAGGGGAAAATAGTTACTACTTAGTGTTTGATTACTTGGAAGGAGAGAACCTACACAAGTTTATTAAAAATCAATCTTATCAAATACCTGAGCAAAATGTAAGGGCAATTCTACAAGTATTGTATACCAAGTTATGTTAGCAACTGCTTCTGGGTATTCGAAAATGTCATCAACAAAATATTATACATAGAGATATGAAATTAGAAAATGTCATGCTTTCCAAAGCGAATTCGATTGATAATATCAAAATCATAGACTTCGGTCTAGCCATATTTAATACTCCTGATTATCCATTTGCTGTTTGTGGTACACCTGGATATATTGCCCCAGAGATTCTAAATTACGAAGAAAATAAATATAAAAATGAAAGATTTTCGTATTCTCCTTAAATCGATATGTTTGGCATTGGAGTCATGCTCTATAGGATGTAAAATATTAAAATAATCTAGTATGACGAAATAGCCTCTATTTGCTGCTGATAAAACGAAAGAATTAATTAATAAAAACTAGAAATGCATGTATGTTAAGCATACCATTTCTTAATATAGTAATATCCTGAATCAAATTTTGTATGGGTTATTAGAATATAATCCAAAAAAGAGGTTGACGGCAGATTAGGCCTTGGAATTATTGCAGGCATAGTAGTTCAATTAAATCACTTTGAGGAACGAATCTACGAGAAATATCAATCTCAACGATGAGTTTCAAATTCCTATTTATAATGATGTTGTTTAGGCTCCATACCTATTTCCTAATCGTAAAATCAAAAGAGAGATGTACTTTATGCATTCATATCATCTGAATGAAGATAGAGTTAATATCAATGGGAAATCCTATCTACCATCTTTTACTGTTAAACCTAGTTTAGATTTTGGATAAGATAGCTTGCTAGATAAACCTCTCAAAGCTCCTCAAGATTTTATTCTTGAATAATGATATTATATTTATAATACAGCCAATTATTATTTATGTTTAAATTGAATATGTTACTAAAAGGGATTTCTCAACTAATTTTTACTTATTTTTAACACTTATTTCTAAAATCGCATTAAACATGTTGTGAATAGAAATTTCTATGTTTTATTTAAATTAGAACATGAACCACATACTCTTATATTTTAACACTATTCAACACATGTAGATATTCATTAATTAATTTGAATAAAATTATTAAAATTCCTTTTATGTCACTTTTTATATTGATACTTTGATGGAATATCTCTTCTTTGAGTTGTGGTCTTGAAATATCATTAAATACATTAGAGTAACCTTAAATAGCCATAATTAGAACTGAATACTTAATTTCAATATTTATTTTTCGCAACAAATCATATTGTAGGAATAACTTAGATATAATCAATTAGATGTTATTTCTATATTTCAACCTAGTGGCTCATTCTAATAGTCCTACCATGATATTTACAAAATATGAAAACTGGGTCCTTACAAATCTATGGTTCAATTGGATAATCAGTTGTAATCAAATTTGGAATTAAATTTAAGCAATGTCAAAATATTATTAGTTTACAATTTGTAAATTATTTATTCATAACTTAAAGTTTCTCGAATTCGAATCAATAAAATGAGTTTGACAGATTAAACAATAGTTATAGCAATAACTTAAGTGTTTTTATACATCTCTATTTTAAATGAGTTAATAAGACAATTATCCTAATTCCCCTCTCTTCTAATCATTTAATTATTGTTTTACTAGTTGAATAGTATTTACGAAAGCAAAAACCTAGAGTTTAGATGTTCAAAAAATTAAAATTTTTTATAGAGTTGTCCTTCTCGATAAAATATTGTTAAGCAAACATAATCCTAATTAAATTGCATAGAGAATTTTGTAATCAAGAAGAATAACAATGAACATTAATCATACTTATCTTTACTTTAAACTGAATAAAAAATGTAAAGATGGAGATTTTAATATCAAAAATATTCAAAATTAAGTGACAGAATTATTAAAATATCCTTTTATAGATCCAAAATGAATGATATTTTAGACTGAAATCTACAATACTCCAAAAATATTGACTATTAATATACAATAAATGATGATTTCATTTCCTCAATTCTTCAAAAATGTTGTTAGTTGATCTAACCATTAAATGTATAGTCTCTCTTCTTTGTCCAAAGAATAGTGTTCTACGAATGCTCCCAGCTCGTCATTGATTCCATACCCTCTCAAGTATTCGACCAAAGTCATTTATAATTTCTAATAGAATATATGAATATATTCCATACCTCATCTAAGGTCATAAATTCTGGTCCTTGATAGTCTTATAATCCTCTTTCGAATCTGGGGATTTTCTTGTGTGCTTCAAGATCTTTGACAAGACTTACCATGTTGACGTTTATCTAATAATTTAATAGAATAGATTACTTCTCCTTAAGAGGTTGTGCATTCATAGCATAGAATTTATCCATTGTTTTTCTAAAGATAAACAGTGAAGTCAGCATAATCAGCTGATTAGTTTTCTTCTTCTTCTTCTGTCTCTTTCTAATTTTTATGTTCTTCAGCCTCTTCTTCTTCTTATTGTTCAGAGTTTGGTTGTCTTGATTAGAATTGGACAATGATTTTGATGTCACCAACTTTTTTTTCCAAAGTTACTTCGTGATCTCCTTCAGAATCGATCAATTAGAATCCTGCTTTTTAAACAAATTCTAAGGCTGTTTCATCAGGAACATAATTAGTTTTTTCGTATTTGAGTTCTTTTTCAACTATTTTCACCAATTTTTAACCAGCTTAATTCCAATAATATAAAATATATACCTTTATTAACCTTTTCTATTGATGTACAAAATGGAGCACAAACTGTGGTCATATTAAGAGGCTTTAATGATCGGACAAGTCTTAAGGGAATTCTAGAAATCATCGTATAAATTTTAATTGTGATAATTAATTTAATGTAAAAATTATATTGCATCNTTTGGAATTAAATTTAAGCAATGTCAAAATATTATTAGTTTACAATTTGTAAATTATTTATTCATAACTTAAAGTTTCTCGAATTCGAATCAATAAAATGAGTTTGACAGATTAAACAATAGTTATAGCAATAACTTAAGTGTTTTTATACATCTCTATTTTAAATGAGTTAATAAGACAATTATCCTAATTCCCCTCTCTTCTAATCATTTAATTATTGTTTTACTAGTTGAATAGTATTTACGAAAGCAAAAACCTAGAGTTTAGATGTTCAAAAAATTAAAATTTTTTATAGAGTTGTCCTTCTCGATAAAATATTGTTAAGCAAACATAATCCTAATTAAATTGCATAGAGAATTTTGTAATCAAGAAGAATAACAATGAACATTAATCATACTTATCTTTACTTTAAACTGAATAAAAAATGTAAAGATGGAGATTTTAATATCAAAAATATTCAAAATTAAGTGACAGAATTATTAAAATATCCTTTTATAGATCCAAAATGAATGATATTTTAGACTGAAATCTACAATACTCCAAAAATATTGACTATTAATATACAATAAATGATGATTTCATTTCCTCAATTCTTCAAAAATGTTGTTAGTTGATCTAACCATTAAATGTATAGTCTCTCTTCTTTGTCCAAAGAATAGTGTTCTACGAATGCTCCCAGCTCGTCATTGATTCCATACCCTCTCAAGTATTCGACCAAAGTCATTTATAATTTCTAATAGAATATATGAATATATTCCATACCTCATCTAAGGTCATAAATTCTGGTCCTTGATAGTCTTATAATCCTCTTTCGAATCTGGGGATTTTCTTGTGTGCTTCAAGATCTTTGACAAGACTTACCATGTTGACGTTTATCTAATAATTTAATAGAATAGATTACTTCTCCTTAAGAGGTTGTGCATTCATAGCATAGAATTTATCCATTGTTTTTCTAAAGATAAACAGTGAAGTCAGCATAATCAGCTGATTAGTTTTCTTCTTCTTCTTCTGTCTCTTTCTAATTTTTATGTTCTTCAGCCTCTTCTTCTTCTTATTGTTCAGAGTTTGGTTGTCTTGATTAGAATTGGACAATGATTTTGATGTCACCAACTTTTTTTTCCAAAGTTACTTCGTGATCTCCTTCAGAATCGATCAATTAGAATCCTGCTTTTTAAACAAATTCTAAGGCTGTTTCATCAGGAACATAATTAGTTTTTTCGTATTTGAGTTCTTTTTCAACTATTTTCACCAATTTTTAACCAGCTTAATTCCAATAATATAAAATATATACCTTTATTAACCTTTTCTATTGATGTACAAAATGGAGCACAAACTGTGGTCATATTAAGAGGCTTTAATGATCGGACAAGTCTTAAGGGAATTCTAGAAATCATCGTATAAATTTTAATTGTGATAATTAATTTAATGTAAAAATTATATTGCATCTTACATAATAATATGAATTGAATTTTAAATTTAATACTAAAAGCATTTGCACATTATTCCATTCCTAATTCCTATGTATATTTTAATATATTAATTAACTATATCAATTCCAAACAAATCCAATTTATATACTTTTTCATTTAAGAACTCATTTAATATATTAATTGATATGAAATAATAGTATAAAACTCAATCATATCTAAAATAATTCTACTTTTTTAAAAAATAATCAAAATTTACTGAAATATCAAATCAAAATTAAACCAATCTATTAATACACAATAATAATTGTTCAAAAAAACTCTTCTTTCAACTTTTTCTCACCCCACATATTTATTATATCAACCTTAAAGATGATTTATATATAATACTCTTCTTATCTAAGTCAATATTTTTCTTATTCTTTTGTTATTTCCAACTACTTCTCCTAAATCTGTCATCGAAGTTGACCAAGGATATGCTTTATGCCTTAATAATAACTAAAATTAATAGAGAAAGCTCTACTTCTATAATTGGAATATTATTTTCTTGAATTGCTAAGTAGAGAGGAGTTCTATTCAAAATGTCAATTGCATCAACATCTGCATGATTTTTTATTAAAAATTCAGTCATTTCATATAATCCCTTTTTGCTGGACCAATGCAGAGCTGTCATATTAAAGTAATCAAAATCAAACACTATGTATTTATTCTTTTCCAAGTATTGTCTCACTTTGTCTAATTGATTCAATTTAACAGAATGAATGAACTCCTGAGAATTTGGTTTTTGATATGGCTTTTTAGAGAAAATTTACTTTTGCAGCAGTATTTTAGTATTAATGTTCATTTCTTTAAGTTTTCTTAAGGCTCTAAATAAGCAACCTTTTAATTCCTTTTTAGACCTCTTTGGAGGTTTAAGATCTTCTTTTAGTAATTTTTCCTACTCTATAGCAATATCTTTAGATTTTATGAGAGCCAAATTGTCTTTTCTTGTTGGAGATTTATTTGAAATCGATAGAGTTTCCTCCTGTTATCTTTCTAAATGGTTAGTCTATAGATTCGGTTAGGATTCATTAATGACATCTTTTTATAGAATCACTATGTTTTGTCTTATTGGAGAAACTTAAGATGATTTAGATAAGGTTGTTCGATTTGTACTTTGAGGACTTTAGATGATCTTTATTCGAAAACGAGGCGAATTATTTTTTGACTTCTGAGTCTCTATTTTGATTGGAGCAATTTTCGAGATAAAATTTTCTTTTTAGGAAGGCTTCTTCGTGATTTCACCCTTTTATTATTTCTCTAAAAACTCTTTAATTGAAAATTTGACTACTCTGCCTATATATTAAGTAGCATTAGCATTTACTAGTATTGGATAGATTTGTCATGCTTTATACTCTCATTAATTCAGACCATGACTATCTTGATATTGAAATGGAATTTACCTATATTCTGATTATAGTTTAAGATGGCTGGAAGGATTTGATTTCTTAATTAACATTATATTTTGAAGTTAAGGAGTAAATATATTANATTAACTATATCAATTCCAAACAAATCCAATTTATATACTTTTTCATTTAAGAACTCATTTAATATATTAATTGATATGAAATAATAGTATAAAACTCAATCATATCTAAAATAATTCTACTTTTTTAAAAAATAATCAAAATTTACTGAAATATCAAATCAAAATTAAACCAATCTATTAATACACAATAATAATTGTTCAAAAAAACTCTTCTTTCAACTTTTTCTCACCCCACATATTTATTATATCAACCTTAAAGATGATTTATATATAATACTCTTCTTATCTAAGTCAATATTTTTCTTATTCTTTTGTTATTTCCAACTACTTCTCCTAAATCTGTCATCGAAGTTGACCAAGGATATGCTTTATGCCTTAATAATAACTAAAATTAATAGAGAAAGCTCTACTTCTATAATTGGAATATTATTTTCTTGAATTGCTAAGTAGAGAGGAGTTCTATTCAAAATGTCAATTGCATCAACATCTGCATGATTTTTTATTAAAAATTCAGTCATTTCATATAATCCCTTTTTGCTGGACCAATGCAGAGCTGTCATATTAAAGTAATCAAAATCAAACACTATGTATTTATTCTTTTCCAAGTATTGTCTCACTTTGTCTAATTGATTCAATTTAACAGAATGAATGAACTCCTGAGAATTTGGTTTTTGATATGGCTTTTTAGAGAAAATTTACTTTTGCAGCAGTATTTTAGTATTAATGTTCATTTCTTTAAGTTTTCTTAAGGCTCTAAATAAGCAACCTTTTAATTCCTTTTTAGACCTCTTTGGAGGTTTAAGATCTTCTTTTAGTAATTTTTCCTACTCTATAGCAATATCTTTAGATTTTATGAGAGCCAAATTGTCTTTTCTTGTTGGAGATTTATTTGAAATCGATAGAGTTTCCTCCTGTTATCTTTCTAAATGGTTAGTCTATAGATTCGGTTAGGATTCATTAATGACATCTTTTTATAGAATCACTATGTTTTGTCTTATTGGAGAAACTTAAGATGATTTAGATAAGGTTGTTCGATTTGTACTTTGAGGACTTTAGATGATCTTTATTCGAAAACGAGGCGAATTATTTTTTGACTTCTGAGTCTCTATTTTGATTGGAGCAATTTTCGAGATAAAATTTTCTTTTTAGGAAGGCTTCTTCGTGATTTCACCCTTTTATTATTTCTCTAAAAACTCTTTAATTGAAAATTTGACTACTCTGCCTATATATTAAGTAGCATTAGCATTTACTAGTATTGGATAGATTTGTCATGCTTTATACTCTCATTAATTCAGACCATGACTATCTTGATATTGAAATGGAATTTACCTATATTCTGATTATAGTTTAAGATGGCTGGAAGGATTTGATTTCTTAATTAACATTATATTTTGAAGTTAAGGAGTAAATATATTATAATCTATAAATTTGAAAATACGAGCATAATTGTTAATTTGTTCATTACAAATGATAGAAATCAAAAATCTGGAAGGTAAAAATGTATTAGGATATAAAAGTTAAAAATGAGATTAATTAATAATAATCAGATTAATTGTTATTTAATGCTTTTTGTGGTAAAAGAAAAATCATTAAAAATAAGAATAAAGCAAGCTGTAGTTAATATATGAATTATTTAATTTTATTAGTTCTTTAGATATTATAAGTAATATATAATAATTAATGGATGAATATGATGAGGAATAATTTGAGCATTCAGAGTGTTTAGATGAAAATAATGAATTTATGAGTGGAGACATGGAACAATAGGGGAAGGCAGAAGGTCTATTAGAATAATGTGAGATCTGTTCACGAAAATTTCACACGGAAAGGATTGGGAAGCATAGACAAGTATGTGAGAGGGCTTAATAAAAATAAATGGAAAGAGAAAAGCTAATAAAACGTAAATAATAACAGAAAGCTGAAAATTAATAGAAATTGGATGCCAAAGAGAAACAAGTGAAAAATAAAACAGTTAATAATTGGAGAGAGTAACATAAGTAATTCTAAGAGATGATTCATTGCAATAAAAAAGAAAAAGAGGTAGCAAAATCGATGAATTATTAAGGTTCAAAATGAGGGTGAAGAGGAATTAGCCGTAAAGACTCCAGAATTAGCTAAAAATTCACTCTATGTGTTTTGTGAATACTGCAAGCGGAGTTTCGATAGATGTATTAATTAATAGAAATATTTGTAGATGTTGCTGAGAGACATATTCCGAAGTGCAAGGAAATCAAGGCTAAACCCAAGCCTCCCAAAAAGAATTAATTATAAATGAAAAGAACTACTTAGTTAAGCACTGCATCTACTACGAATTAGAATGAAAACGTTGATCAAACCAAGCAATCTTTTCGTGCATAGAGTTTGATGAAAACTGCTGAGGTTTAGAAGAGACAACTCCCAGAATTAAAGAAAGCTATCTATACAGGGTTTGGTAATTGATTTGGGTGAATATATTAGGATTCATGGACTGTTAAACAAGGGCAACTGCTTTGTCGGATACTGAGTGTCCATATTGTCTTCGTAAATTCAATCCAAAGGCTGCGCTTTGTCATGTTCCCATTTGTGAAAAATTGACGAATAAAGAATAAATTAGTAAAATTATTATGTCAAACCAAGAATTAAAATTAAAAAATAAGGCTATTTTGCCAAAATTAAAAAAATTGGACTCTATTTTGCCGGCTATTATCACTCAATAGCCTCAACTGAAAAAGATTCTCAAGGAGACTGACATCTAATTAAAAAGTCAATCGAAATTTTGTACTTAATGCGGGAACAAGATGCAAATGGGACATAGATACTGCGGAGGGTGTGGTCATAAGAGAGAAATTGAATAATGAATATATTTTTATATTTAAAGAAGGTCTCATGATTCTGGCTAATATAATTGAGAATAAGGATAGTGTAAAAATAATTTAATTAAAAGTAAAGGGGGTCCATTGCATTTTGTTCTGAGAACAATGTTTTTGGGATTCAAAATGATCGAATAATCCTATTTTTTTCTAATACATTAATTAGAAAAACAAATGCAATATCTATACAACTATCCTCAATTCGTTGATGATTTAGGATAGATCAGTTTGGAGCTGAAAAACGAGTTAATAAAATTCTTAGGGAAATAGTCTGTATTAAATTTAGTGTTACTATAGTAGTAATAACTTTTACAGAAAATGAATATTCTTAATAATTATCTCATTTCAAACGAAACTTAATCAACCTTTTAAGAATCTAAATTGGACAGTGTGGTTGTAATATCTCAAGGCGAGGAAAAAATAATCGATAAAAATTTAATTCGCAAGGAATGTTTGTAAAGGTATAGAGCAAAAAAGAAATTGTGGATGAATAGGACTCTTTACGAGTGCAGAAAATAAATAGCAGACAGACGATTACGTTTTAATGGTTAATTTTTGAATTGCGAGGAAGAGAAAAAAATAATAAAAATACATAAAATTTTAGGGAACCATTACGTAAGGATAAAAAATAATAACATAAAAATAAATGGAATAAAAAAAATAAAACATTTAAATAAAGAATAAATATTGGAGAAATTAGAAAGGCTATTGCCTTGCGAGATTAAAAAAAGAATACAAAATAAATAAATACTGTTTAAATTACTCTGATTTTTTTACATTATTTTTATATATATATATGAAAAGTATTGAAATCTACGGATTCATTGGATGGATAGCCTCCTATATAGTGTTTGTCGTTTATTTGGCATGGGTTTTCTTGCCAGAATCAGCATTACATGTAAGACCTTAGTATCGACTTATCAAAGTCATTAGGGATTCATTACTTCCCTTAGAAATATTGGGCTCTAGCAATCCCTAGTTTCTTCGTGGCTACAATTTTTACTGTGATAACTGGTTACGCAGCTCTGAATTATTGTTTCTGCAATCATTTCAACTCTTATGAAAACATTGAAGGTATCCATCCAATAATAATCCATTTTAGACAAATACACCAGACTGCACAACCTCAAGAAAACAGAGCTGCATGAAGGCTTGCCTGAAGTGTATGACATTCCAATAAACGTTGTGAATAATGTGTTGTATTGGCAGAAGGAAATGATAGAAAAGTATTTGCCGAAACATTAGGATTGAATTCCATACTAAAACTATTTGAATTTGAGTATTTACATACAATAATTAATTAACAGTTTTTCATGGACCCAAATAAGCAAATCAAATACTCACATTACCAAATCACAGATGCTGTAAATTTCGGAGGAGTTCTGGACCCGGAATAATGCAAACAATTGGCTCAAAGAATCCTTGCCCTTTACGATGGCAACTCCGATGGAAACATTGATTCTTTCGAAGTTGGATATATGTTAAGTGATTGTTACAGAGCCATGAACAAAGGATTCAATCCAACACCCACAGATATAGCTTCATATTCCAGAATTTTGGATAGTATCTAAAATTATTAAAAATAGGAAAGGGAACAGGCAGAGTGACTTTGGAAGACATTGAGTAATTGTGTTTGAAATTCTTTGGTGCCAAGTCTGACAAACAGCCATCCTAATATTGAAGTATTTAGTTAATCAATATAATCACATACATTTCATTCTCTTTGAACATATGACCAACCATTAACATGAGATTACTCAAATTCTACAAAGCTCTGCAAATCGAAAACATTCTCTTCCCCCATTGGCTTAATCTTCAGACTATAATCAGGCTTAGGCATCGAGAGTTCTCTATTCAGAACCAGTTCCCAATCAACATCTGCGAAATAGGGATGTCCCTTGATTTCCAAAGAATCTCCTTGCCCTGACCCCAATCGTTTAGTTGGATTTCTCTCCAGCAACTAAAATTCACAATAAGTCTTACTGATTTTAATAGAGTTCTACACTCAATTGAAATGTGCTAAGGGATTTTCAGACTTGCGTTTTCTATATTGTAGAATAATGTATCTCTATCATTATCATAATAAGGAGGCAACCCTACCAACAGTTCATACATCACTACTCCTAATAAATACCAATCTACCGCTTTTCCATGACCCTACCTCTTTAGCATTTCCGGAGCCAAATAAGCCACAGAACCGCAAAAAGATTGCGCTCCTTTACTTGATTGAGGTATTCCCTCCTTAGACAATCCGAAGTCTGTTAATAAGACATGTCCATCAGCATCAAGTAAGATATTGTCAGGTTTTAAATCACGAAATATTATGTCTCTTTTATGAAGATCCTCCAAAGCCAAAATAATCTCACAAGTGTATAGTTTTACAAGTTCCTCAGGGAATCTCTTTATTTTGCATAGCAGCATTCCCAGATCTCCTCCAGGACAATAATCCAGAATCATAAATAATTTATCCTCTGTCTGAAAAGCATACCTCAATTTAACTATGAATGGGTGAGATGTTACTGATAACACATTTCTTTCGGTTATTGCATATCTACAAATGTTTTGTTCTTAAAAAAATATATGTAATTATTACTTAAGATCATATTCTTAAGTAGTACTTTCATAGCGTATAGCTTTTTGTTCTTTTGTACAAGGTAAACTTATCCGAAACTTCCTTTGCCTAATAAACCTAATACTTTGAATTGAGAGGGACCAACTTTTTCTTCTCTTTTGGATTGCTTCATCGAATCAATAGTGGAAGGAGTATTGGTCTTTCCTTTTTTAAATTAGTTGTAACTTCTGATATGTTTAAGCATTCCCTGTTTAGTTTCAAGCGATAAATTTTGAAGAGGCGAATTTTGTAATTTACATTAATTTTTGGAAAAATTACTTGATTTACAATAATATTCCATTTATATATTTTGTATTTAAACTTCTTTGGTTTTTTTTTCTACGTTAATTTCGAATAAGATTACTTTATTTAGAGTGTTCCAATTAAAATTGAGTGAATAATTGAATTATTTCAGAATCATGAACGTAATAGTCGGGATATTTCTGGTCGTTGTTTGACTTAAAAATGAGATTTGGATGTTAAAGGATAAGTGTCACAATTACTTTGCGATTGAATTTACAAGCATAATGGAGACATGTGTTTCCATACATGTCTTAATGATTAACTTAGGCTCCTGCATTAATGAGAATTTGGAATATTTCTTCGTTTCCACTTGGAAAATAATAAAATAATATACTGATAACTAGCCAGTATTAATGAAGTCATCTTTTCTGAATTTTCAATCTCTAGGTTAATTTATTTGTAAATTAAAGCTTGGACTAATTAAATGTTCCCGTTTTTCACTGCAATATGTAAAGCGGTATTTTAATTGGCATCTTAAATATTTAAATTAGCCTTTAAATCTGCTCTAATGGGAATTGAAGGCGAGATATTTACTAAGAAATCATACTTATTATCTTACAGACCTAATGAACAATTGTAGGTTCCAATAGTTAAAGACAAGCCCCTGCGTTATTGGATTTGCATTCTTTCAAAAACTACAAATTGATATCTTATTTCATTTCTTCTATTAAATTAGGACTGTCATTGAAGAAATCTTTAGGTTTATTGATATTGTATATTTCATTCTTGGAAACCTTCTTTTTGTTTTAGATTATGATCTTTTCCATTCGATGTGAGGATCGCGATCTTTCCAGTGATAGTTTAGTTCGGTTGAGAATGGAATTAATCTTGGGAGATTGTTGGGGAGAGAGTGCATGAAAGTTAGTGGATGTGTTTGTAATAACCCTTTCTTCAGATTTCATTTTGTTTTTCGTTAATAGAAACACATTTAGCTTATATGATTTGAACTTCTCTTAGCTCATATAAAATTTCAAAGGGTTATTTTTATTAATGAAAAACATAAAAATTTCATTTCCCGATTACATTATTGAATAATTTTCTTTATTTTGCATCATTCATATAAAAAGTAATTAAAAACAAATCGCCTATTTTATTATAGATAGCACCACTTACATTCTCATGAATAAGTAGGTCTCAAACTATGGAGTTCTTGATTATTGCTAATTATTTTCATTCTTATTTTTAGTGTGATTAATTTTAGAATGATTTATTGAGTTCCATTTATTGCTTGAACAAACTTTTATTTAAAGTATATGATTTCAATTGAAAGCAATTAAATTGGAAGTAACTCTGATTAGTCAACATTTAAATAGAGAGATTCAAAAATTATGTCCATCCTCAACTACATCACACTCAAAAACATCATCTTTCCAAAGATTCTCAATTATTTGAATTTTTCAGACACAACTCGAATTGTTCGCATCAAAAAGAACGAATAATTGCTTAAACATCTATTGAAAATTTAGGATGCTTAATAATAGCAATCAGACACTTTAGAAATGACAGAATAAGAAATTATAATTAAATAACTTGAGCTCTTTTAATTGCATAATGTATAACTAGATGATGAAATACTTAAGTCTAACTCCTTCTTCACCTTCTACTATAAAATGTACGATGCTAGCAAAACGAACAACTTCAATCATAAGGTCATTATGGAGTATATTTAAAATTTGATTTAAAAAACCCAAAAAATAAATTATATCACAGAGGACTACAGATATTACATCTACTTTAAAGCCTAGATCATCGTTATTGGCATGGCAATAAGACATCACATTCCTCTGACGTCTCTTTTGCTTTGCACAAGATTTTATATGAATAGCAAATAACAATTGTTCTGCTTAGAGTTTTCAATCTTTAAGGAAATATTCAAGGAACTTTATTCGAAGAGACAACTATCCCATTTGAATTATCTCTTAAATGTAGATCAATTAATTAACAACGATACACTTAAGTTAACTGAAATGCAAAGCTATCGGGATAAGGTGTTTATAGAATACGAGGATGTGTTGAAAGAGAATAATTTTAGTTTGTTCTAACAGAATCTGGATCTGATTTATTAATAGAAACATTATTTAATTAATGAATTGAAGGATGTGATTGAGAAACAATAATTCAAGCAGTTGCATTCTGATTTGAAAAAGTTTCATCTGCAAATTGATTATGCTGACTAATTTTATTAAACTCTCAACAAAATCATTTCATTTTGTGACAGCGCTGAACAACCATTTATTACATCTGATAAGATAGGAATTCCCTAATTCATAAAAAAATACTTTTACAAAACCCATGAAAGGAAGGAACTCAACTCTTAACAATTAGTAGAATCTTTATTGACTATAAATAAAGTATTAAGTGAAATGATAAAAAATAGATTTCCATTTCCTCCCATAATATCTTACCTCAATCTCAAAGATCCAAACAGTCTAAATATATTAAATATAACTAAAGAATTTGTTATAGAATGCTAAGAAAATTAGATTTTTCTTCTCTTTTTATCCTCAGTCCATTATAATTTTTAAACCTTAGCCTAATCGAAAGACTATTCAAGAACCTTCTATAATTAGTAATTATAGAAGTAAGATTTTGATTAATGGGAAACTGTAATTTAGATGTTGGAAATAATCGAAGAACATCAACCTATTATGAAACATGAAGTTGAAAAGAGAATTAGTGAAGAGGACACAAAATCAAATATTCAAGCATACTTACAATATCCTAAAGATTAGATTACTATTTATTTAGGATAATATCAAAAGATTTCCAGATTGTTAAGGAATCTTATATCATTTTAAAATAAGGAAGTGAATGTCAAATTTGATGATGAGAATCTTAAGAATTCATTGTTGGAGAAAATTAAGCACATTAAATCAAAAGTAGTAAGTGAATCCTCTCTAAGGAGAAAACTTGGTAGACCTCCAGGAACAAAGAATATCAAAATTAAAAAGAAAATTAGAGTTGAGAACTTGAAGGATATTGATGCCAAAGAATTCAAAAGCTAAAAATGTTTTCAAAATTTTCCAACATCTGACTTTAATAGTGATGAAGAGGTAGTGATTTTAAAAAAGAGGAAGCTGTATCAATCAGAGTAGATGTTAATGCAAGACATTGAAAATTTTTTGGCGTGATTTTATTTAAAGATTAAATTATCTTTTGATTTCAATATTAATCAATGATTTCTAATAAATTATCTATTAGTTTCTTTTTGGGTGGAAGTTTGACGTCTATTGGTGGTTGAATGATATAATGAATAACTTGTATCTTAATATAATTACATAAAAATCTAAGATGTTAGGGTAAAACCTTAAATTATTTTTAGTATTTCATATTTACCATTAAGTCGTAATGGTTGAGATCTAAATTATGCGTATTTAATTAATCTGATGTTACTAAACATTGTCATATTAAAATTAAAAATCTGTCATCTAAGTAGATATGAAGCCATTTAAACAGGAGGGTTTTTTTGTTAAATTAGATTAGATTTTGTAAAGTTTTCCTTAATGATTGGTTAGATTTAATTGTTATTTGATTAAAAATTTTATTCATTTATAATTGAATTTAATGGTAATTTTATTAGATATTTCGGAATTATTTATATAAGATGTTAATTTAGTAATTTATTATTAATTGAGTAAATAAAGTATATTATTAAATGTTGCGTTTGAAAAGTTGAAGATTTGAACATAAAGTGAGTTAAACATTAAAATTCTCTTCTTAATTCGTTAGTTTCTATTGGCTGTCTTTTATTTTGTTTATCATAAGGTTAATTCTCTAAATTGAGAGTTTTCTATTGTCAAGATCTTTGAAGTATGAGATTTTCTTGTTCATTTCTGTATTCTGGTTATGATTTGAATTGGAATTCAGTTTTGGGAGTGCTGTTTAGACTCAGTGATTGCACAGGAAACTAATTTTATTAAATGTTAATTAGAAAATAGTTACTAAAGTAAGTCAAAGATCAAGAAGTTGTTGATTATAATCCATCGCATAGGATTAGTTAGACTTTACAATATAAGAATAGCGAATCAATACAGGAGGAGGAAGAACACTCCTCTTTGTCTTAGATTTGTTATTTGAAGCCAGTCTTTTTATAGACCTGCCCCTAACAACCAATTGACATTTAGAGTAGTGAAGATTACAAGGTCCCAACGATAACAAATATTGCATCGCATAAGAGTTCTGACAAGTATCATTAAAAATCGGAGTCAAAGAAATTAGTTAGAATCCATAATGATAGTTCGCTAATATGTTCTTCGTCTGGATTCCAATCGCAATTGCTTTCAGATTACAAGAAGAAGCTGATGATTGATTAAGGGAGAGTGAAGATCATAGTAAATTAGATAAAATAAAAGTTATTGAATTCTATTCATTATTCGAAATATAATGATCCCCTCGTAACATAAGAGCGAGATGATGGTATTCGATTTAAAATAATATAAGTTTCTCCATTGAGATATTATTATTTTACAATGTATGTGTTTATCTCTGTGATTATTTCCAATTTACTAACCATAATATTTATACCTATTACAATTGTTTTTGATGGTCCTGAGATCATTTGGTAAGTGGCCTTTGGTGTCAAGATGTGGACGCTCTTGTAGGATTTGTATTTTCAAAGAGGCCCTTACAAACTGCTGCGAGGAAAGTTGATTACGAATTTCAAGGAATAGAATAGAATATATTTGGACTCATTTCGAACTATTTCTAGTGCGGCTATCTTGCTTTTTAAGTTCAATAGTGAAATGACTTTGATGACATTGATTTTGTTGTTGGTTATTTCAGATTTGATTAGAACCTTGGAAGTATTTGAAAATATTTACAGATCGACTCATTATATAATATTTACTGTCCAATTATGGATTGCAATAGTAGTGATGTGCACCTGTTTTTTGAAAAGTACTTTTATAAGTGTATTAAGAGTGTTTAACGAGGAGGAATACTCCCTAAGATTTTATCTGGCGTATTCAATATCTCTGATCACTTAAACCTCAAATATATGTATGAAATCATAAAGTAATTTGAGCCATGGAGATTACTGAATAGAATTCGATAATAATTTCAGTGTTCATGTTGATCTCCTACTTGTGTTATGCATACACACTCATACTGTTGTTTGTGTGGATCAAACCAGGAATTGAGATTCAAGAGGAAAAGCAAAAATTGTTGAAAGGATTTGTGGAATTGTTTTAGGAGAAATGCAGAGATTAAGATTTGTTGAGGAGGTGTTACTCCTATTTAGATTTTAGAATCGATGTAAACTATACGATACATAATATACAAATTAGGAAGATCTAGGGAGATCGAAGGATCAATTGACAAAAAAGTTGAGTCCTGCATTGTAAGATGAAATCGAATTATCCTTGAGAACCAGGATGATTGATAAAATAGAATTGATGAACAGGTTCTCCCCTCAATTCAAATAGTAATTGCTGTATGCCATTGAATAAGTGACATTCAATCCAGAGGACAATATCATTATAGTAAAATGATTGCAATATGATTAGGAACACTAAAGCGAAGATTTGGGATTGTATTACATTCTCAAAGGAGAAGTCAAGGTGCAATTCCAAGGATCCTCTCTTGCAAACAATAAAAGATCAGTCACTCGTCTGAAGGAAGGCTAGGCATTTGGATAGTACTCTTTTATTTCTGGAGTCCCATCGAACATCAGCATATTCAGTTGTGGAGTCACAACTCTAATGAAGCTTAAGCGATCAGAATTCTTGGAGATCATCTCAAATTTCCCTTAAGACAATGAACTATTTTGTATGATGAAAGACAACTCATGTTACAATCAACATTTGTTTGATTGCTATTATTGCAAAATAAAAGGTCATTATATTCTAGAGTGCAATCACATCCAGTATTTCCCATAAAGACAAAATGTTATTGAGAAACATTTATACAGTATTAAATAGGTTCGCCAAACGTTTACAAGGAAAAGCAATAAATACTTAACTTTGAAAAATCTTGTGTAATATCAAGACAAAGCTAAATAGGTGATTAATAAGTAAAGTCAGGACATTATGTCAGAGGATCTGCCTGAAGCATCGTAGTTACCTTATTCAGAAAGTATGTCTCTAGATGTAATTAGATTAAACATATTCCGTAAGTTATGTTAGCAATTCGATGGCATATCAAAAGGCAAGTCAGGATTAACAGGTTTCCAATAGTAATGTAAATGTGGATAGTTTGGAATAATTGAACTATGAACAAGAATAATAGGAAGCCATACAACCGCCGATATTGGATTCTTCAATTAAACGAGGACGTCAAAACTCAAATAAAACATCTCATCGCACTGCTGGCTTCGTTGGGAATCCTTAGAGTCAAAATTACTCGACTTTGGACAAGGATGAAAAAGAAATCCTATAGCAATTGCAAGAAGGATAGAAAAACGATTTAATAAACTAAAAATAACCTTTTATTTAAACAGCCAATAGGATTGGTCCTAATAAATTGACATTCCAGTTTCAAAAGGAAATTGCATCTTAGACAGCTAATAAGTAAGAGATTATTCGATAGGATTTCATCCAATAATTCTCATATGGTAATTTGAAACAATCTCTAAGATAACCAACAAATAGATCTCATACATTTACTAATTCATATTCTAAGGATATCTCAAATTATCCATCTTCCAATTCTAGACAAAACAAATCCTTGAGATTGTCTAGTCAGACTAAGGACAATGGCAAAAAGACGAACAGTGCCAATACTCAATCTGATGAGAATAAATTCAAATAAAAGAGCCAAAGAACTGGAACTAAATAAAGCAATTTAGCCTTGCAATCGTAATTCTAAGCTATTACTTCTCCAGATGTAATTGTACATGAAATTTTAGAATCAAGGATATTTCATAAACGATGTCATTTTCAACAAATTTGAAAAAATGAAAAGCTATATGATCTACTATCCACATAACAATTATGATCGAGTCATCCTTAGATAGCAAAGCTTTTAAACAGGTGCCAGCAGTAACAAACGCAAAAGGCTGTTTGTCTCCCCTTATTCCATAAAATGTTTTGTAGTCTCTAAGATTCGCAGAGTATAGAAACTAATCAAACCATGATCATAAGTACTCATATAAAATCATATTATTAAATATTAATTGTTGTTAAAAATAGGTCAAGTCATTTGGGTCTCTGGTTCTTTTGCTCAATGAGACACTTCTATAGATTTGCAGTTTGATCCTATCAATAGACTCACATAGACTCTACCTTGCACATTCTCCAATCCTTCTTGTATTGCTTCAGACATTGAGTCAATTCCAAATTCACTTGTTTGCATCCATCCTTGTCCATTAATTCAGAAGCATATTTGTATCTCTCATCCTTTTCATTTATTGCATCGCACATTTCTTTACAATTTTAATAAATATATAAAAATAACTCAAATTTTACTCAACAACTCACTATCCTTCAACGAAATGCCCTCCAGCATATCATTCAAAATCTTATCCTATTTATTACTAATGCACCACCCATTCCATTTAAAGTAAGGGATATTTATCACCCTATACCCTTTCTTCTGTAGTAGTCTTGTCTATTATAATAAAAAGACTTAGTACTTTTAGACTGGTTTTTAATGTTTCATACATAGCCTGATTTGTGCTTAAATGTTAGACAGCATCATTAGGCAATGTATCCCCTACGATTGAACAATAATGATGTGGCCCATTCACTTCAATTATAGTGTTCTTCAATTTAAAATCAACCGCAAAGCAATTCTCGACCAGGGTCTCTCTCTCATAAAAAACTCTATTTTTCACTAGACTCTCTTCAACCTACTTCTGTAAATTACTCTGAATTCGAGGTTGAGTTTGAAATTGATTTCTCAAATACGCCTAGATGTAAAGAGCATATTGAGTATTGAAATAGCCTAAGATTACTTAAGTCTTAATTACTGGATAATAAATCTTTGCCAAAGTAGGAATTCATAAGAAAGTAGACCTTGAGTCTGTCCAATTGGCTCAGATCTTGAAATCTGAGTTACAAAACCATTTGTTCTATTTTACTTATCAAAATTGAATCAAGAATGAAGAACTTGCCAATTGGTTCTGGTTTCTATATCAGTCTCTCTATTCTAAATAATTGCCCTACGATAGTCAATTATTGGGAGATGGTCATATTGTCCCAATCCTTAATTAAAATGTTTCTTAAAATCTAAGCGATTTTCCAAGATGGTTCAATTGGTATTGCTGAGTAGAATTACAGTAGATTTTATATTCTTACACGTTCATTCTGAATGCTCCCTTCAACCACTTAGAGAAGTTCTAAGTCGACAGTCTATTGATTATTCAGGAATTTATAAACGTATTGCAAATTGTATGAGGAGTGATTCTATTTGATGTAGTTAATAGCTTTGATGATGTCAAATTGCTCTTAGGTTCTGAGGTGATTGAAGAGGATCATTTCTTCTTTCTTTGAATAGTTTTAATTCCTTATGTCATCAAAGGATATTTCGGTGGTCTATCTAAATTACTAAATGTACTGAATGAGTGTAGTAGATGATACTTTCTATCCTTTTTTAATTAACCATTCCACCTTATCCTTTAAGACTTTTATCATAATCTGAATTAAATGTGCATCCTCTTTCTGGGTCTAACTTTAGTCATTCTCAGTATTCTTCAACCAAAAATCATATTGGAGATCTGAAAAATTGGCTACGCTCTCTTCTGTCAATAAATTTGATCTATTTAACTTCACCAGATTTGCAAGTATTTTAAAAATTAAATTTGCATCTTAAACATCTCTTAAGTTTTGAATTGAACCTAAATTATCAAGTAACACCTTTTGTATGTTGTAGTTGCTATTACTTAAGACTTCAAGCAAATGCATTTAACCCTCTTAATTAAATTGATAATTCTTGATGATTTCCTGAACAATCTCTTATTAGGATTGTTTAGCTGCATGAGCAATAACATCTAAAATCATGGATTAATAGGGTAAATTAGGTTTGAGTTTGGAAATTATCAAAATGTGTTGTACAACCTCAAATTAAAGTTAGGAATTATTATTAATTGTGTCTTGGATGTCACCAATGCATAAGTGTGTTGCATTCTTGTATTTTTGATACCCATCCAAGTTAGATGAATTTAAATATTGATTGATTTGACTGAGATTGATTTTAAATTGTGACTCAATGTTTTTTAATATTGAAAAATAAAATTTAGACATAATAATAATCATTCATCTATGTATTTAATGATTTCTATAGAAATATTTGATTATTATATTGTAATTCTAAAACGGAGCAATTATCTATAGGTATTTCTGAAATGAATTTATTACTAGAATGCTGTTTTTCATTAATCATTACGATTTATTTATACTATTTTAATTAATAATTATCTTATCTATAAAACAAGATAAAAAAGTTTTATGTATCTTATACTATTTATTTAAGTCCTTTTTTATCAATATAACCAAAATTAGTGAGCCATTTTACAGTTATTATTGTACTTTCAAATAACATTTCAAACTAAGCACAAACACAAAGTATCCAACACCGTTTATTTATTTCAAGTTGCAATGAAAATTCAATATCAAATATTATTATTAGGTATCTTATAATTTGTGTGAAAAGCAATGGAAATAAAAACCTCAAAAGGTTCTTATTAATAAGTATAACTACTTGGATAGTTTAAAATCAGGTTATCAATATTAATAGATCTAGAGATCAAAACCAAATGTTTAACTAGCATTAATAGTTTCGAACCCTTAAAATATATGGGAGTTTTGGTTTGTAGAATAAGCATTATGGATTTTAAGCGAACTCTAGGATTATGAATTTAATTCACATTCTAAATAGTAGAATTTAGGTTAGGAAAACTTGAATTAATAGACAGTTTCATTTGCATTTGCATTTACATGTTCTTTATCCTGATTTCAAATAGGCATTTCCTTATGATGAATAGAAAAGGTTTAAACTTGACTAATTATATTCTTTGAAGTTTAAGGCAATTCAATTAATGGCAGAAGTTTTACTTAACATGTTAGTGTAACTTTGTTTAGTTGATCAAATTTTTTTATTTATCAAAATTATTATGATTGCATGAAAATTTATATTTTACATATTTACCGAGAATTATGGGATAAAAGAGTTCTAAAGAGAAAAATCATAATGCACCTGATGGTCAAATTTCGAATTTCTAAAGTCACATTCAAATCACGAGAGATCCCAAAACCGGGAAATTGCTGGGTGTTCCAAAAGAATGGGCGGATTTGAACGGTCTCAAACTTGAAATAGGTTGAATCACACATAATTAATTTCAGATCAAAACAAAACTGTGGAGACAAAGAATCTGCCTGCTTCAGTTTAACCATCAGAACTTCCAGAGGCAATCCTTGATTTGATCAATGAACCTATAATGAGTGCACCTTTTAATTTGGAACATAAAATTCATATTGAAATAGATCCCACAGCACAATTAGGTCTCAAAGGTCTCCCACCTGAGTGGATTGAAAAACTCTAGAAAGCTGATCTCTAGAAGGAAGATATCGAGTAAAACCCATAAGTTATGATCCAAATCATTTCAAATTACGAAGAAGGTGTCTACAGACAAACCAAACTGACCTTGCCAACAAACGACGAATTCATTAAATAAGTGATGGACATCAAATTCATAGAGCAAGATCCATCTATACTGTATAAGTTTACAGAATAATTGGGGAAGGGAGCGATGTGTAAAGTCTACAGGGCAATACACAGGAATACAAATGATGAAGTGGCAGTGAGAGTGATGAAAATCGGCAATGATATGCAGAGAATCAAGGTGGAAATAGCATTGATGAAAATGTGTGCAAATCAAAATATTGTCAAATATTATGATTCATACATCTATCAATCATGTTTATTCATGGTTGTAGAATATTTGGATGGTGGATGCTTGACGGAAATAATATATTAGAACTTTAAATCCATGAAAGAACCTGAAATTGCATATATATGCGGGGAGATTCTCTCTGGTCTCAATTACATGCACAAAAAGAAAAAGATACATAGAGATTTGAAGAGTGACAATATTCTGATGAATAAAAAAGGGGAAATCAAGATTGCTGACTTTGGATTTGCAACTCAATTGACAGCAGAAAGATAACATCGAAAGTCTGTTGTAGGTACACCTGCTTGGATGTCACCTGAATTGATATTGAAATAAGATTATGATGAAAAAGTAGATATTTGGAGTGTGGGAATCATAGCAATAGAATTGGCTCAAGGGGAACCCCCTTATTTACGAGTGCCTCCATTGAAAGCCATGTATTCAATTACTGCTAATGACGCACCACGATTGCCAAATAAATTCTCAAAATAATTCCAAGAATTTATTGAGAAAGTCTTAGACAAGAATTCTAAAACCAGATTGACTGCTGAATAAGCTCTCCAGTTGCCCTTCTTCAAAAATAGAAACAAAGAAGGAGTCTTATAGATGATACTCAATAAGAAAAACATCCCTTTAAATGAATTAATTAAATAAGCTCCAAAATGAAATAAATAAGATATAAATAAATTCCAATTAATTTATGAATCTTTTTTAACATCTAAAAGAACCATTATTAAAAATGATTCAATCAATTAATGAAACCATTAGCTGATAGCTATTCATATTTTAATTGGCTGTGCCTTGGTAATCAAATATAAAGGATGATGAAGAAATTCATAATTAGATGAAAACCTAAGTGATAATGGAACTTGAGGCTAATGAAAAATTGCTTAACGTTTTATTCAATCAGATCCAATATAGGTTTCCTTAGAGATATTCTTCTATCATAATTTAATTTGTGATTTTAATAATAATAAATTAGATTAAACTAATTATATATAATAAAGTCATTTCTTAATTATATTGTAACGTATTAATTGGGCTCTTATGATTTTCTCTTTTTAAATGATATCATTTGGCATATAGGATTTGTAAACTAATCGATAAAAGGAAAATGTCTTATTGAGTTGGCTTACCAAGTACATTTCAGCAATTGCCAGGAAGACAAATAATTAAAATAATTGCATAACGATTAACAACACCAAAATTAATGTGATATTTGAATCTATCAATTAATTTAAATCCTAATTAATAGTAATTATAATTTATACCTGAGCCCACTCTGTAAGTAATGTTTTGAAAGCTGTTTTGACATAATCAATGCAGGAATTTAGATTCCAAATCATTTTATTATTGATGTACCCAAATCTATCTATATTTAATAGAACATAATCCTAGACATTTGAGAGGAAATATTAATTAAATGCCACTATTCCGTCTTTTAATTTGCCATTCACTAACGTTTCGCAATCAGTCTATTCAGCTAAAGATAGTTCTAAGATAATATAATTTATGATTTACAGGATTCAGTAAACAGATAGTAGCAAAGATTATTAAAATAAATTGCTTAAAATCCGTCATAATAGTTCCCATGTCCTGGATCATCAATTTAAGGAGTTTGTTTTACACTTTCAATTTGACTTTCTAGCAAAGTCTTAACCTTGGGTAGGTAATTTGATTGGTAATTATCCTCATTGTAATATCGTTCTTTAACAGATACTAATAGAAGTTAACTATCTGAAAAATCAGAAATAGCAACTGATCCAATTTAAATAAGATTACTGATATCACTGCTTGCTTGTTTTAGTGTAAAGAAGAAGGCGAAGGAAGCTCCAGCAGATAATAGAACCAAAATGATGTAGGTGGCATATAATTTAAGAGTCAATGATTTTAGCAATTATCGATCAATGATATTCTTCTCTCTCTTCTTATTCATATTCTATTCTTCTTCTTCGTTGATTAAAAGGAAGTTTTGTTGCATTTGAAAATTATGTTTTGAGGAGAGAGAATTAAATCTTTGATAAACCCCTTTTGGTTGAACTCCACTGATTTCTAGGTCTTTTGTTATGATATATTTAAATTGATTTTCGATGAACTTTTATTATTTGACTATTTTATTTAAATCATTCTTCTAAATAAGTATAAAGATCTTTAGAACTGCTTTGTATGTTTGACTAATCCAAAAGATTATGACAAGTAATCCAAAAAATCCACTGGCCAAAAGAGACCCTTCTATGCTTAGTATCACCACAACGAAATCGGAAATAGAATCAGATTTCTCCAACACAATATTCTATAACTCCATAACGGCATTATTTAGTTGGTTGTATAATTATGGTATTGTGACATATCTAATAAATTTAACAAATGGGTCTGATGGGCCTATGACTTCTAATACTGAAGCATCCATCATGGATATCTGATGTTCTAACATAATGAACTTAGTGAAGTAATCTTTACTATCGAGAGTGAGGGTGGTATTGGCTTGCCCAAGTATGGATTCATCAAAGATGGCACTGGAATAGAAAATGGCATCATCAAGAAAAGTCTACAGTTAATCTAAATCTTTAATTTGCAGTTTAAGAAATTTGTAACTCTCCTAAATGGATTACAGTTGATAATTATAATAGGTTAATTTGTCTGACATTCCCATTTCATTAAAATCAGATTCATTTCGGAATATTAACAGATCCAAGAGAGTGTCATAAGTCTCAATCATGGTTGTTTACATTTAAGATAATGCTAAGATTCTATTGGATTGAGAAATCATAGGGTTGAATTCAACAAAGGGTTTAAGGAAGTAAGTCAGCAGATTTAAAGTAATGATGGCAACAAACATTATTCTCAAAAACCATGTTAAATAAGCAATTTTGATCAGGAATTTACGAGGCTTATTATTATCTTCCTTCCTGAATATATTATCGCCAGCATTAAGTGAAAAGTTAAGTGCTCCCTGTTGCATCTTGAACTGTTATTAAAAGGTATCCCAATTAATCATCTTATTAAAAGCTTTACTATCAATCAATAGATCCTTATCATCATCAATTTCTTGAATGGGAGCATTCATCTGATAACCTAGATTTCCTTTAAAGGACTTATCCTTCATAAGAGGGATCTTGGGATTCGATTTAAAGTCTACAGGGCTAACCTATTATTTAGTGTCGTTTTCGCTTGCCATAGACACAAATTTTGAATTTTCAAATTAATTTGATAAATTAGTGGCTGACAATTTTGATCCCTTGCCTAATTCTCTTGAAGGTTATATATTCTTCAAGAAGACTGATTATTTGCGGTTTCCATCTCGTTCCCTAGTAACTCTTTTAATCTTCATTATTTCATTTATTGAAATTATTTTTATAATACCTACTCTTTCGTCTTTTATTTTAATGAATTAAATGGTGCAATTCACCTTATATGTCCGAGTTTTTTACTCTTATATTAGTTTCTAGTAGATCTCAAGCAATAATTCGTAGAAATTTCTATGTCATATGAATAAATGATTTACACATCATCTTAACATCGTTTCATTTCTGCTGCTTTTTAGAACATTAGTCTAGCTTTTTTCCTAAATTCTCTTTGTTGTGTTCCTTATTTGGTGAAGAATTTCTCTTTTTCCTTTTTCTTGCCTTAATCAATAACTTCTTCCTATTTAACTTACTAAAATAATATTAATAACAATTGGATACATCATCTTGTTATTTTTTTAATTAGTACATCTTTGATTTTTAGGAGGAATAGTAATCAATAATTTTATCCATATTCTCTGGTATCTTCATTCTGAATTGAATTTATTCGCCACTGTTGATTTTGCCTTCTAATATCTTAATCCCTTTGATTTTTTCAATCATTTCATCTCTACTAGCATTATCCTCACTGAAAGCATCTTTTTCTTTGTTGCCCATAGTTTAAATCTTCTGGTAATTACTTTAAAATTATGTTTCTTTGAGTTGATTAATCTACTCCTCTGCTCTTCTTTCCATTTCTTAATTGAGATTTTAGATCTTATCAAATTAACCTATCTATTTATTGAAATCATCAAATTCATTCTTATCACTAATAGAACTCATTTGATGTTACAAGAATTTATCTCTCTCATTTTAGACAACCAATTATTATGGTATCTATTAATCGATTGATTGTTACGGTAATAATACTTTGGATCCAAAATCAAGATCAGAATACATACCTTGAATTGGCTTCCCAAGTGACTACTTGAGTGAGGCTGAGCCAAGCATATTGACATTAATTTTGGGTTTGCTTGAATTAGACAATTGATTTTCAAGGACATTTTGATGGTGAATGACCTTTTGAACTGGTTTCTTGGGATTCTTCATCATTCCAAAAATGGGTAAATCTTTTTCCTCATTAATCAATGGAGCTATTCTGGAATACTAAATGAGTTTGGGTGCAAATAGAAGCATGTTAAAGAGTATGAATTCAGAAGAGGCCTTTTTGAATAGACGAGGATCGAGATTAAGTCCTGAAAGTACATTATTGGTCATTCCATTAATTTCCCAATCATTGTTAAGTATCATGTAGTCATGCTTCTTTTCGTTATCAAAATCAGTTGGCCTAATCATAATCACAAATTAGGAGAGACCATTCAAATCAACATATAATTTTAAGAATTTCCATGCAGTAAACATAACACCAGATTTATGAAGACAATAAATCTTTCTTTGAGAATAGAGAGAGTTGCTCTTGCCTGTTTGTTTGTAATCATTGAGAATCTGAGGATGGACCTTACTATAGACATCGGGCATCAAATTGATTATCGGCAATCTAAATTAACAATAATGCTTACATCTTTACTACTTCTTCACTAGAATAACCAAATATACGAGTAAATTGTTTATTGACTTTGAGAATTGAAGATTGAATGTCATCACTTGCTTATATAATACATGCTTTTTTATCAAATATTATTTTCCTGCTTTTTATCTCTATCTTCTCATTATCTAAGTATCCAGACTTGACACTATTCACATCTTCATCCACATTATGTTCTTGCAGTTCTTCTGAGAAAATATCGTTCTCATTTACCTAGAACCCTTAGAAGTTGTCAAGAATTCTATTTTTAATTTTCTTATTCAAAATATAAAGAGTGAACCAAGCATAATAAAATTTCCACTTCTTTTTGTACTCCAAATAATTAGTAATTGTTATCCACAAATGTTTAGTCTCTTCTATTTTTTTGAATTACATTTACAACAGATTGTCCATCTCACTCATATCAATTGTGGTTTATTGAAGATTGTTCCAAAATATACAGTTCTACTTCAGGATATTTGTGATATTGTTTTTTATTAAATCAATTTGTTCTTCAACAAATAATGCGTTCTCAATCTCCAATTTCCCTTTATAACTATCACTATTCCTGTGTCTAATGAATTTTATTATTTTCCATTTCAATTAATAAGATCTGTATCTATCCAATAAAAAAGTGAATCGCTTCTCCAGATCTGATAGAATATGCAATGCAATCTAATGATTATGAAATTTACTGAACATAAACCTAATTTAATTTAATTTAATTTCTTACCTAGCATAGAGTATTTGTACACCCACATCATTAGGTCGATCACCAAGATAGGTTTCAATCCAACTTTTGATCAGAAATTTCATAATTATTGCTTTCGTTGTAATCCACTCTTCCACTCTCACTTCCTTTCGCTTCTTTGAATCATAGACTCTTTTCTTTTTGCAAAAGCACCTGCCCTCTCCTTTTATTACAGGATGTTAACATTCAAAATCCAAATGTCTCTACAGAATCCCTTTGAAATAAGTATCAATTGAGATGTCAGTAAGTGAAACCTCCAGGAAAGCAAGGGTTGTATATATTTGTTTCTACAGAGCATCAGGAGTTAATTAATGGATATCAAATTAAATAGTAAGACTCTGAGTGTGTCTCAAATTATAGCCAACTGTCAATAAGAGGAAGATCAAAGTGAATGAAAAATAAACGCTAAAATTTTCAATTTTTGTATCGGAATTCTAACTTCGATGCAATTCATCGATAATTGATGAAAAGGTGGTGCTAACCAGAAATATCAACAATATGATAAATAATGACCTAGTGTATTTCGTCCCAAAAGCTAAGAACCCATTTCCAATTAGAATGTTCGCTAAAAAAAATGTGTAAATCAAAAATGATACTACCATAAACAACCATAAGAAAGTGTAAACTTTGGTGCTTAGAGATAACACTATAATAATACCTGAAAACTACAAAGAATGCCATTACAAAACGACTGAATTGATAACTGGTTAGATAAATTACATTTTCTCCATTGAAACAATCTTTTTTGTTTTCCCAATTATTATGAAACAAAGCAGTTAATACAACAATATTAAGCAAACCACATAGCAATCCCAAAATGGCCAACAAAGTTAAGATCAATCTCACTGCATCAAAAGTACACCCCTAATCTTCATTACAAATGCAAAATTCAAAACATGTAATCATGCATGGAAAGAACAATAACCAAATGTATATATCGCAAAGGAACACAAATAACTATTGCATATTCAACAAATTAAATACTTTCCCAATGAACTTCTTTCTGGGCTTGTATTCAGGTCCCAAAATATAAATCATCACATAGAGCAGAGTTAGACCAATCGTAAAAATGAGTGCTATCGTCAGGATGAAATACGAAAAGTTTGTGTCTATTCGCAATAAACTGAGGATGTCTACATATTGGCATGCACTGAGAATCTGATTTAACAATGTGCTCTCAGTTGAATAGTGTAAATCTGCAAGGTGCTTATATCAGAATATAAAAATTAGCCTTACTAAGAAATATAACTCAAAGCTTAATGAAAAAACGAAACGAGCAACATGATAGTAACTTTTGAGAAGCTAGCAGCTCTTAATTTTAGAAAGTCGTTAAACAATTTGAAATTTACTTCCAACCCCTGTCCTTATCGCTTCCTCTCCAAGTATTTATCCTATTACTATAGAGTAGGAATCTCTGGTTCTGGCTATTATTTCATATTTTTCATATCAAAATATAAATAACTAAATTATTTATGTTAATATTTTAGCATTACATAATAATCAACTATCTTTAATAATTTCAATGGTGATATTTAAAATTGTGTATGTCACCTCAGAAAATCTTAATTTAATTAATATCAAAAATATTACTGCTTTTTCTTAGCCTATGTGTTTAAACCATTTATAAATTGAAATTATATATTTAAGGTTCATTTGTGAATTACATTTTTAACTTACTTGATAAAAGTGCAATAATTTAATATATTAAAATTGTTGACTATATAGAACCTAAAATCAAAATATTGAATCCCACTCTGCATCTTTTGGTTAAGCAAACACCTTCTTCTAACCCATTGTATCCTTTTAGATCTAATCTATAACCAAAATATTCTTTTTCAATTATTCCAAAATTTGTGATTCATTCATTAGTTTCTCCTTCTTAGGTATTAATGGAGGCTGGAGTTGACGCTACATTAACTTGTTCTAAAATAGAATAGTCATTCATTAATACCCAATCAAAATCAGAGAACCATTAATTGTTTTTGAGAGAAGAATAGGATCCTCCCAACCTGCATTCAGGGATCTTATTCAGCAACTATTCAATAATTGTTTTAGCTGTCTTATCAGTAATATATGATGGATAATGAAGAGGATTCTTTACGATTTCTTTATAAATTTCGAATGGATCTTCCTATTCTTCTCCAAAAGGCAGACCTCCACATAAAAATTCATAGAGACAACATCCAACACTCCACAGATCTGCAAAGTACCCGTACCCCTTACCAGAGATAACCTCAGGAGCCATGTAATGAGGAGTTCCTATTATAGTGAATGTTTTCGGAGGAGCTAAGGTTTTAATGGATATAATTACAAACATTTTTGAGACTTTTTGCAGTACCCATATCAATCAACTTTAGGTAACCAAATTAATCAACCATAACATTTTCTGGCTTAATATCTCTATAAACAATCTAATGGACAGTGTGTAGATACTCCATTTGTAGTATCATTTGAGCAGTGTAAAATTAAGAGTCATATTTGCCCAATAATCCAATTTCTCTAATCGCGTCAAATAGTTCTTCTCCAGCAATATACTCAGTGAGAAAGTAGATGTTTTCAGCATCTTTAAATGATCGATAAAATTTAAGTATGAACTGGTGATTCATCATTTCCAAGACCGACTTCTCCTATTAGACATGTTTTTGGATTCCATATTATTGGATATGAGCTCTGGTGACATATTTGAGTGCAAATAAAGTTTCTTAGTTTTTATTCCTACAGAGATAGACAGATCCAAACTATCCAGAACCTAGTTTATTCAAGAAAATCAGATCTTTCAACTAAAACTATTTGACTAAATCATTAGATTATTAGTGTTCTTCAGAGGGAACATTGCTTTAGTCCTTTTCTTATAATTTTTCAACACTTCCATATGTAGTACGATATTTATCGTAATCGATGACAGCCACATGTCCTTCAGTCTCCATAGTATAGGATTGTGAATGCTTAGTATTGGCAACTTCATCATAGAGAGATTCTTCATTCAAGATATTATTAGCAATAACATTCTTCTGATCATCCAACACATTGCCTTCCAAAGCTATATACAAATATCCAACTTTGTCTCCTTTATTAATTACCTTCTATCCAGCAGTGTATTTCCTATAAATAACTCCTTCGATTAACTTATCTTAAACTGAAGCAGGAATTTTGCCAAATAATTTTGATCTATTCAATGCCCATTTACAAATATTCTTATAAATAATATATTGCACTTTATCCCCGAGAATCTATGTGATCATATCTTTTCCCAAAGCCACCACTTTGGTATCCTTTTCTATTGCCTTGATTGTCATCATTCTAATTTGATTATCATGTTTCAAAGCGGATTCACCAAAAGAGTCTTTGGAATTCAGAGTTGCAATCTAAACATCTTCCTTATTGAAGACTCCACATTTGCCCTCAACTATGATATAGAATGAACTAGCTTGATCTCCTTCATTTACTATAATTTCATTTTGATTAAACTTTTACAATATCAACACTCCTGCAATGGCATCTTTTTAATCCTTTGTCAATTAGTCTAAAGATTCAATATAATAGATTACTGAAAAACTTAACTTATTCTAATAGCTATCTATTCTTCTCTTGTTCACTCCTCATTACATTTTCCACACTCTTTCTAAAAGTATGTCTGTCTATTCCCCACAAAAAGCACTCTTCCATTGCCACACATGTTGCTGATCTTGGAGCATTGTATAACAAGGCCAATTCACCAAACCCATTTCCTTAGCTTAATTGTTTTCTAGAGATTCCATCAACCAACACATTTATTTTACCCTTTTCCAACACAAAAAATGAACTTGCTCCATCCCCTTACTTTATTATAGTTTGTCCAATCACCAATCTACAATAGAACATACTTTTAGCTAATTGCACTCTTCAATTAATTATCTAATCTTACAATTAAGTTTCATTCATGGACGAAAACACAAAATGAGATTAAAAGCATTTTACTATAAATCCAATATCCTATGGAGTCTATGGTTTCATTAATGGCTCAAATGTCTCATAGATAGTGCCTTCGTTTGTGGCTATTGATTTTTTTATTGCAATATTCCTTTTCGTCACTCTACGCACAAGCTGATTCGGATCATGCTCATTCTTAGGAGCCACCTATTGTGTTGGCTTTGGCTATTGATGCACTGGCTTAGCCACACTTGATTTTTGTATTCCAAATTCTTGTACTGATGACTTTTAGTTCCATTAATTCTTTGAATCCATTGTATTTAATAATTTATATAAAGTAAATGATATTTAATTGCCAAATAATAATACTCTTACTCACATCATTCATTTACAGACTTTAATATAACTGAGTATGCCACCTTTTCCTGATTCTCGATCAACTCCTAATTCTTGAAGATCTCCTGCATTTACGGCCCTAATTCTAAGGCTAATTACGCATTCAATGAAAACTAACAAAAAGGCATTGACTCATCCTCCAATTCCTTCTTTATCTCCAAATAAGCCTTCATTTTATAAGCAATTATACATTGTACAAATCAGTGAACAAATTCTTCTCATTCTTCTCATTCTTTTCACTATTTTCTCCGAAGTTCGAATTGACCAAATCACTTAAATTCTCTTCAATATCCATTCGATTTGGCAAATGATAATCATCATCCAGAGTAATCAGAGGCTTAGGAGTGAAATTAAATAAAATAATTTGAGATCTTCTTAATAATACTTGTTTCAATTTCTATACTTCCTATATCTTGTAAAGGATATCGTGGATATTGAGGTCATTATTCACTTTATTACTAAATTGATAAAATACGAATATAAAGTACATAGCCTTGGTCAAAAATTGCGAATCATTATTATTGAACAATAATCCAAAAGTCATCTAATTTAAGATTAACTTCATTGATAGACTAACCCGATTCAACTACTAAAACTATTTAATAATGGCTTTCTTAAGATAGTTCTTCTTTTGTTTCTCATCAGCAATACTCTCATTCAAATTCTGATTCTGTGAGTCTTCAACAGATATTGATAGACTCTTTGCATTCGATATTTAACTAGGTTTTATTATGCTCATCTAATTTTACTCATTCCCAGAATTTATCTTAAAATTATATAGCTTATTTGATAGTTCGATCTGCACTAAATATACTCTATATTGATACTTTAAACCTTATTATAGTACATAATGAAGATCCCTAGTCCAGTTATCATTATTTATAGAAAACCTCCTAAATAAGAAAGAAGTTCCCCTATCTAAGTATATCTTCTATTGACAATCTCGGTAAATTAGCTTCTCCTCAAATAAATAATTGCGTAATTGTCATCTGTATCCCTTCCTAGCTCTGTTAAATCTCTATAATCTGAGTTCTCTCTAACAATAACTTCCTCTTCATGGATGTTCCTTATTAGTATATACATTAAGAATACTCTAGTGGCAATAGTGATAAATCATTAAAGAATTTATATTTTCTGTAAAATAAGTTGGCTTGTCTGGACATCTTTTTTGGAACAAAAGTAAAGTACATTTCTCCATCCAAATATGAGCTCACATAAGTCTTTGGTTAATCTGGATTGACAACAGAATTGACTTAATAAATTTAAAATTTAAATTATCCTTCCTTTTATAGGTGTTATTATTTTGCTTATTCTGAGGCACAAACTGGATTCCATCCTGTTTCATTCTCTTAATTCTATTAACAATCATTCACAACAATTTTGATAAAGTTAAATTCCTAACTAGAATATGTACCGCTAAGTTTGAATTAAAAATCCTTTCTTAATTTATTCAATTAATGTACCTGGGACACAACCAATTTGACAAATCAAGCTAATTGAATTGCTCCTGGAAATTGATATTTGATTCGTTCAACAAAAGATCGAAATGTGATAATGTGCAAGCTTCCAATGGGATGTAGGTTATGTTTTTGTTTAACTTCCCGTTTTCATCTCGAATGTATTGTCTGAATCAATAAAATAATACCTTTATTCTATTGAGATGTTGAAGAATGGGTTGAGTACATATCCTACTTATTCTATGGAAAATGCTGCCATATAATTTTATGATGTCAAAATCATCTCATCTGGATTTATGGAGAACTTCGTTTCAAGTGAAAAGATGATTTCTGTTTAATTTAGGAAATCCATAACGTTTGAAAAAAAAAATGCAATTAGAATAGCAATAATCATAATTGATGAAATTCCACCAAAAAAGGTTTTGTAGTAGGATTCTTTATTGATATTTAGTGTTATTGTTTGCCCAAAAATATCTAATTATTGTATTGCTTATTAATATGTTACATCATCTTACTTGAATAAAATTTCTTCATTAATTATAAAAAAATCAAATCAACACTATTATAATTACTTTTTTTGAATAAAATAAATCATGATCTAATTCTATTTATTTATATATATGCACATAATTTATATATATATCGAGCTTAATTAATTTAAATAATGTCAAATTATTCGGAATAAATACTCTTATCACTTTTAAGGCTTGGGAATAAAATGGATTCCATTATGATCATTAAAAGGTTTGGAAGTGGAGTCATTGATTAATAGCACTTCATGTTAATGATGAGAGTACTCAATGATCAAATTCCCCAAAAAGAGGTTGGAAATTTTTTTTTAGAAACCCTCTTATAATATGAGGCATCTGCCATGTCAGCCTATATTTTAAATGATTTGCTTCGATAAGCCAGTTAATTATTGGCAAAACAGAATGCTAAAACAAGAAATCCAAATGAGATTTTTCATTAAATTTCAAAATCTCTTCAAATTAAGAATTAAGATATTGAGAGAGTTTTTAGAATTTTTGATTTCGATTAGGATAATTTACTAAATGAAAAAGAGTTTAAAAACTTTTTGGAATACTATGTCCCAACTTTGTCACCTGATGAATATAGCAAATTGAAAAATACATTCCCTACTTAAAAAGTTACTCTTTACAATCTAATGACCTGGATGTAAGAAAGCAACTCGATGAAAAACAGCATTAAAGCATTTTAAAAACCCAAACAAGATCCTTAAGCAGACAAAAAAAGGGCTATTACTCCAAACATTCAAGAAAGGTAGAAAGAAACAACTCCAATTTAGAAACCACAAGTGCCATAGAAACCTTAATAATAATAAAATAATTATTAATCGCCTAGAGTGGAAACACCAAAGAAAGATTTGTAAGAATAGCTGAAGTTATAGATGCAATAGTAATAATAACAATAAAATTAGTAAGCAAAATAGCAACAATAATAATAAAAATAGCAATAATAATAGTAATAATAACAATAATAATAGTAATAATAACAATAATAATAGCAATAATAACAATAATAATAGCAATAGTAATAATTAATGAAACCACCTCTTAAAGATTCTCCTTAAAGAAAAATTAATCCTATTTTAGAATCTATTTTATATGAAGATCCTTAGTAAGCCAATATTTTAAAATCAGATATAAAATTCTAGAACTATATAATTTTAGACTATAACATACCAGGAGTTCAAGATTTCCTCAAGAAATTTAATGATTTATTTAAATCGAAATAAATTTTTACAGATACAGATTTTCCAGCAAATGCTTACAGTTTAGGTTCAAAATTAACACAATATTAATGGAAGCGATTAAAAGATATTTGGCCAACATATGAGGTTTTTGTTAAAGATGTGACCCAATCCAGATTCGGTTTAGGAAAATGGATTAGTCCAAAAGACATTTGCCAAGGATAATTGGGAGATTGTTATTTTCTATCAGTTTTGAGTTCAATGGCATGTAGATGGTAATTTAAATTTACAAATACAATAGGCCTGACTTTTTATTGGATCTATTCTTAACTTAATCGAAGAATCCATGTGGAATTTATGCAATCAGACTTTGCATTGATGGTATTTGGAAGGCTATTATTCTTGATGACTACATTCCTACTCAAGGGAATTAGCCTGCATTTTCGCAAAGCCCATCAAAAGAAATCTGGGTTTTATTAATGGAGAAAGCTTGGGCCAAATCTTTTGGATCTTATTCAAATATCATATCTGGAGATTCAAAAGAAGTCATCCGTAGTTTAACTGGTGGACCAACATGGAGCTTGAAAACTGATCAACCTGATTTTAAAGAATAGTTTATTGGGAATGTGTAAAGAAAATGTTTAATGACAACAGGAACATTTTCTAAAACTAATAATTCAGAAATTATGGGTTTAATTGCTGATCATGCATATTCAATCTTAAAAATTAGAACCATTCAGCATCCATCCAAAGGAGAGGTTACTTTAATTAAACTGAGAAATCCTTGGGGTAAAAAGGAATGGACAGGAGAATGGAGTGATGATAGTGCATCATGGACCAAGGAAATAAAATAATAATTAAGAGTAAGTGAAAAAGCTGAGGATGGAATCTTTTATATGTCTTATTAAGATTTTATTCGCTATTTCAAAACTATCTATGTTGGATATTTCTAAAAAAACTATATTTATACCTCCTAAACAATTGTGAGTAAATCTAATAGATCTATTTATTTCATTTTCAACATTGATGTGGCAGGTTAATACTATTTTACTGCTTAATAACGATCAGCAAGACACTATAAAGATAAATACACTAATTATGAATATTCTTCTATAAGAATGATACTTGCTTCTTAGACTAAGTAAGGTTATGTCTGGGAATACGCAAAGTAAGAATAGGATCAATAAGTATATGTAGGGGAGTTATTAGATAAAGGAAGATATGTTTTACAAGTTAAAGTGAAGTGGTAATTTTGGGATGAAGAATAATTTGTTATTAGCAGTTACGGACCAAAAGAAATAAAATTAAAGTAAATCTAAAAGGATCAAGCATTTATTAAGCAAGTTCTCTTGGATAAAGCAAAGTAAAACCCCAAGAAAGAATAAAGTGGATGTCCAAATCTTGAAATAATTACAGAACTTCCTCTATAATATGGGTATTGGAATTATTTTATTTTAGTGTTGGTTATGAATATTACAAAAACATTGGCAAGGATGCAATTTAAGTGAAAAGCACATTTTCTAAAATGGTCGGCCTAAAACTAAAAAAGCCAGAAAGAGGAAATCAATATTAAATTACATTATAACCTAATTCAGAATACCTAATTGCATATACTATTAAAGCAGAAGGATTTTAAACATAGCAATCTAGATCGTATACAACAACAAGGTGAAAAAATCTAATTCATAATTGTATCAATTATTTAAAATAACCGAAATTTTTAGATACTGTTAAATTATAATCTTTAGTGTGAAAGTACCCAGAAAGTATTTCTAAAATTATACTATATAATGCTGGGATCAATATCATTAGTATCATTATTTTTCATTCTTTATATTCTCCAGTTATCAGTCCTCTCTTCTCAAGCTCCTCAAACAAGAAAAGTCTAACTACAATATCTTAAGGTAATTCGAAAAGTTTTGGAGGTTGCCAAAATAGGGCTATTCCTTTCTTGCCCTTTTTTTCTCTTTCTTCTTTTGTTGCATTTCTAAAAGTAATGAAGTTCTTATTCCACTTTTCAAACACATGACTTAACAATTTCTTAGTCATTTAATGCAGAAAGGAACTAATAACAATTTTCTATTTACGCATCATATAGGAGAAAATGTATAGGATCTCTTTTATTCTTAGCTGAATCACTTTATTTACTGTACCTAAGGGCTATTTGATACAACTGCTTATACTAGACACTCAGATATAGTTTGAGATTGCTCATAAACTCAATTCTACTGATTTTGTGCTTCACTAATCGATTCACGCATTTCTTTACTTCATATGGTTTTTCGCATTACTTAAATTGACAACATGAGTGCCTTTGCTCTCAGTAATAAAGCAAGTAATGTTGTTTTGCAACATTTGTGTAATTATCTTTTGAGCTCTTTTCTTAGCCTTCATCCTTGAATTTTTCGCAATCAATTCTAAACAACTATACAAATATTTAAATAAATTACTATTTTCCTTACAATATAGTCCTTAATTTGCAATTAGGTCCAAATTTTTCTACTTTTTTCTTAATTTTATTTAATAATTAGATTAAAGAGATCTATTTTTTCATATTTTTAGCCACTAATTATCTTTGATTTTCTATAAATTCATTAATGCCAGGAGCTAAAATATTGATTAGGCAAACAATCTTAAACCAAGACTTTTAGACATACTCTCGATGTTTTATTTCTCTTTACATTTCTAGTTATTTTCTATGGATTTATTAGGCAATGTCATGAACTTACAATTAAGCCATTCTTTTTAGGTTTTGCTCAACTTTAAGAGTTCTAATTTTTTGTTTGATTTCTAAGTGTTTAGGAGTTTAAGGTTTGTCTAGAGTTCTCCGAGACATTTAGGAACATTTATTAAGCTCTACGTAATTCTATTAATTGGCATAACGAAGTCTTCTTCTCATCATAATTTCTTCTATTTGAAGTTCTAAATCAGGAGGAAATTCATAGACAGATTTTTCTTTTCTTTCTCTTTGCACAACTCTTTTAGTAGTTGGCCTTCCAAATTCAATGTTAATACCAATAGATAGTTCATTTAGGGCCAAAATTGCCACATAGAGAGTTTCTTCCTAAAAGAGCTCCGAGTTGGAGGTATATTTTAATTACCTTCCGCTAACCTCAACCGAAGCATTAAAGCGATTTGGCTAGATGAATTTGGGTGATGCAAATATTCTCAATCTTGTATTTGGATCACCCTATTTAATTCTTATTTGAAGAGTCAATGGAGAATATCGATCTTTTATTCGTAAAGAGGTGTAAAAGAACTGATTTCTTCTTAATATTAAATGGGATTCATGTTCTTCATCTAATTGTTATACTTTAAATCCTATTTTTTGCTCACTAAACTTCCTCTATAAAACATCTTATTTGATTTCATTTTTAATTTGTAATTGGTGTTAAGAATGCCTTATAGTGAAGGAGTCTAGCAAATTAAACTTAGTTTGTAGTTTGTTCTTCTCTTCGTTTAGAATATTTGATTCGGGTTCGATTCTGGCAGGTTTGATTTGTTTAACAATCTATCTATTGTTCTTGATATGCGTTCTATCAGTTTGTGGTCCTTGAGGATCCACCATACTCGAAGTGGGTTCTGTAATGTAGTCTATTTAGGAAAAACGATGAGTGCTGGCTTCTGTTTGAGGTAAGAGAAAGGGTTTATTAGTTTGTCTGAGATGCATGTTGAGTCCTTTTGGTTAGTAGTATGTGTTTTCATATTAATGGTCTTGTTACATTAATTAATTAATATTTATTCGAATGGGGAAAACTCAATACAATAATTTATTGTAAAATTGGATTAATTTGATTAAACATATTGACTTAGATGATATTAAATTAGATAATTCTATGAATATTACTTTCCAGAATAGTACCAATGGAATTACATCTGAAAATGAAACCGCAAATTGAATTCCATCATTACAATAAATAGTCAATATAGCTTAATTATATTTATTAAAATTCTAAATCAATTTACAATCAATAGAGTTAATGTAATACAATTATTAATACAATTATGAATTAATCAAATCTCTTGTACCAACAACACAATTTTTCTCCAATACAGGAATTGTAAGCCATCAATGAATTGGAATATGAACAAGAGTACTTGAATACTGGTTTACGAGGAACATTTAATAGTCCTAACTTTGTGATCAAGTCGCAACTGGACACTAGAAGGACGAATGAGGTTGATTAGACTCCTAAATAGGCCTTACTCCCAGAATGGACAAAAAGAGCTTAGCGTACTGGTGTTAGTTTGATGGCATTCTTCTTTGTGAAACGGTTTGTGTAGAAAATCCGAAGTCATCGATAAAAATTGCAAAACATAAACGAGAGTCACCTTTAGCTGATTGATGATCAGGGATCTGATAAGTAAATTAAGCGCTCAACATTAGTTAGGTTATGCTAACTTAAATGAAGTTTGCAAGTCCTGTTTTTTAAATTCGTAATGTCTCCCGACTTTTTCGGTAACATACATTGGTGAAACCTGAGAATCCCGTATATGTATCAATAAAAGAGAAATACCAAATGATGAGGAAATACGCATATGAGAGATTTTCAAAGATTCCTCAGTTCCATCCAGAGAGTCCTAAGAAATTGATGTGGGACTACTTCATAACATTAATTAGATTGATTCTATTGGTATTAATACCACTTGAGATTGCTTATAACCCTGGCATTTTGTTTCATTAGATTTTGCCACTCACTACTTTACTCTCGTCTTTATTACTTTTCGATGTGTTGATAAGATTAAATACTATATGCTATGTGAAAGGCCATGCTGTTTTGGATCGTTTTGAAATTGTTCGGCAATAAATATTCAGCGTGTTATTTATAGATGTACTAACTCTAACACCACTGTTTTATTATTGCATAAAAAATGGAGAAGAGATCTCAAAATATTATCTAATTATATTGCTCACATCTTTGATGCAATTCAAATATATCAGTGAAGTCATACAAAAGAGCGAAGAATCACAATACTTCAGTAAATCTCAAAAAGGAATCATCAGTCTATTGAAATTGATTTTAACCCTCATGTACATTTTACACGTGTTTTCATGCATCTGGTATTTCAACTCCAATCTGAGTATTGAGGATTCCTGGATTTAATACAAGTTTTTGGATCAGTAACCATGGTAAGCACAATACTTAGAAGCATTCTACTTTGCTATTGTCACTATGTTAACCATAGGGTATGGTGATAATGTACCTAAGAGTTCGAATGAGAAAATTGTGGCAATCTTTTTCATAATGGGGGCTTGCTTATGGTTTAGTTACAGTGTCAATACGATTGGTATTATAATCAAAGAAATCAATCAAAACATGGTTGAGAGGATTAAGAAAATAAGAGTCATCAATCGATACATGCATAAACGAAATATTCCCTATGGACTCTAGTATAGGTAATCATAACCCATAGATTGTAGAATTCGAGAGTATCTTAATTTCAGATGGAAAGAAGAGGCTGAAATAGATCTACAATAGGAAGAATAACTATTAGGCGAATTATCAGAAGAATTGAAGTAGGAGTTAAGGCAATAATCAAATAGTGTATTTTTTAGTCATTGCTCCTTTTTATCCAGTAATTTTAGCCTAGAATTTTAGAATGCTCTATCTTGTCACATTGCTCGAACTATCATACAACCTTAAAACACCTTCTCCATCTTTACACTTGGCAATATCAAGCAGCCACATCTCTGCTTTGTCGAGTAAGGTCAATTACAATACCTCAATCGACATCGTCATTCACTCAAAGGTATCTAATGTTAGGGATAATTCCTTTAAGTGTAAGATTTCGTCACTGAAAATGAAACCACTCAAATCTACTAAGCCATTGGTTACGTTAGTCTGTTGACTCTTAGTAAAGTATTCGCTTCTTCAATTTTAATTAGATCGATTTTCTTGCAGTCCTGAACAATTTCCCCAAAGACTATCAACATTATTGTCAACTCAAAGACAGTATCAAATTGAGTATCCTAAAGAAATAATTACCTTATGGAGTCTATTGTGCAGCCTGTAAACAACATGACCATGATCTCATTGGATGTCCATAGCTCAAACTTACTATTGATCGAGAAGTTGTAGTTAAAAGACACTTATACTCCAAACCATAAGAAAGAAATGAATGGAAACGATCTTAAAAAAGAACCAAAGATCTCTTCTAGACCCTAACTGATTTGGATATTATCGAATAATTTACACTCTACTTCCAGAACGAAAAATAAAAATTAATCAAATCCCAACTGCAATAATAATTAGTGTTTGAACAGGAATCTGATGAAAACCCTATGAAATCGGATGAGAATATCTCTGCTCCTCCAACCCATGACCCTAATCAATAGATCCTCTTGAGAAAGCAAGACTCCATCCTATTGTCCCAAAACTTTTCCTCCTCCAACAACTTTCCTCCGCAACCGATCAGTCCAATCCACAGCATGATTCATTCCCAAAATCATCGGCGAAAATAAGGCATCATGGATTCTTAAAGTTCCTACGATAATAATCATTCAGTCAAGAGAGGACATAATCAATATGACTTTGATCTTAAACCTCCTCCTTTTAATAAATATACCACTGCTAAATTATCCATGTATAAGAAGAACTACTTGAGCAAATACCAATAGCAGCAACCCTAATAATCTTAGCTGGACATTGAACTAAACTAATTAACTGATTTTAATGAGATGATGCAATTGTAAATTGAACAACTCTATCTAAAAATGAGGAAATCTGCTATTAATGAATAGTTAGAGAATTTCAATTCCATTTTAGATATAGAAATGCTCTACCTCAAGTTTAAATCAGAGTAGGGATTAGATTAATTTGAAATCGTTAAAAATTACGACCTCTATATGGTTAGTCACAATATCAATAAGGTCTTGTAGGAACTACGAAACAGACCCATTCATCATTTCAATTATATGAATAAGCTGATCTATTATATGTACTTTCCATTTGAGTACGTAATGAAGTTTTTGAAAATTCAATAGAGAGAACGTTCACTTAAAACAAGTAGAAACTTTGGTCGCAAACCTGGACTGTCAATATCAAAAATTGTTGAACTTAAAAATGTATTTCAAAGAAAACGTTTCACTCCTCGCAGAAGCATTAAGATTAGTTAAGTAAATCCTGATTCTGAAGGATGATTTGTATTTCATACATTAAAAAACATCTCTAACATAAAATAATAATTTTCTCATAAAGTCTAAAGTTCTATTAGCCTCTTCTATTAAGAATTTTCCTTTTATTTCTTTAGATTATTCTCAGTTTCGGCATAATCTGAAAAAATTTATTGAATTTCACCTCCTAATCCTTGATTGAGTCTCTGATTTAACTCATATTGACAGACATTCTATGTTTTATCAGATTTAATTTCAACCCAAGCCTTATATAATAATGTCTATGCTTTACATTGTAAAGTTCGCTTATTAACTCATCTTTTTGTGATCCCTTTTTCTCATCCTCTGAAAGTGTTTATTCAAACATTAATCTATTTGGAACTTGCTCCTCATCCTTTAATGTCAAATTTGGTTTAGGCGTAAAATTGAATAACGTTATTTACTGCTTTTTCAATATCAATGCCTTCAATTTGAATATTTCCTACAATTAATAGAGGATTTCTTAAATGTCCAAATTCTAATCTACTGTATCCCTATAATATTTGATCAATCTTATACATGGCTTTCTAAAACAGTTTAGTTTCATCATTATTAAAAATCAGTTTAAATGATAAATGATTTATTAATGATTTCAGAGATAACTTTAATCTTTAAGATTGTTCAAATAATTTAAAAATAGATTTTGTAATTGTGCATTTTTCTTTATCAATAATTAGTGTGGCTTTAGATGCTCCTTGCTCAGAATTTATAATAAATTTAGAGTCATTGTACATTGAACTTTCTAAGGTTTGCTGAACTTGATTATTCTTGATTTTTGCTTTTCCATATTTTTCTGGAAAGTTAAATAGTTTATTTGATAATTCAATTTGTACTAGTATATGATTAATAAAGTTACATTATAATTTATTATAATACATAATAAATATTCCGAAACCTGCAATCATAATTTATAAAAATCCCCCAAGAAAGGACAATAATTCATCGATTTTAGTGAATCTCCTATTTATATATTCTGAGAATTGACTTCTTCTTAAATAAACAATAGCATAATTTTTATCACCCTATCTTCCAATTTCTGTTAGATCTCTGTAATCTACGCTTTATCTCACAACCAATTCTTTTTAATTAATCGATCTAACCAATATGTATAAATCTTACTAAAATGGTAATAAGGAATCATCATTTTAGAATTAGTATTTTCTGAAAAATAAATTAGCTGATCTTGACAATTTTTAAGGGATAAAAGTAAAGTACATCTCTCCATCAAGATATGACTAATAATATTGTTTTGGAGAATTAGGATTAACAACGTTGTTGACTTGATAGATTTACAACTTAAATGATTCATGTGCATTTAAATATTCGGCTTACGAAGATTGGGAAGCACAAGTAGGTTTCCAATTCTAATATCCACTTTAGGTATCATCACAATCACTTACAATCACTCTTATAAAATCAAAGGAATTGCTAGTGAAAGTTCCTTAAATAGTAAATTAAAAATCTTTTCTAAAATTATCAGTCATTTAATTACTGTGGACAAAGCCATTAATTTAATTAAAGCTTATAGTATTCGGATTCGAAATCGTAATCAGGTTAATTTAAAACTAATTAAAAATGATCTAATGTGCATGGTTCCAATTATAAATAATTAATTTATTTAATCAAATTGCCTTGGTTATCTCTTTAGTAATACCTAAATTAATATGTATGTGTACTTACCTTTGTTCTATCGTAATATTGAACAGGGGCTTATCTACAAAATTACTCTATTCTATAGAAAATGCAGCCATATAATTTTATATGTTCATTACAATTTTATCAGGGTTTGGATCGAATGAGGTTTAAGTAGAAAAAATGACTCCTGTTTTTTTGAAAAATGATATAATATTGGATTAAAAGAATGCAATAAGAATGGCTATAATAAGTATAGATGACAATCCTCCAAAAATTGTTGTATATGTTTTCTATCTGTTAATATTTAATGTAATAGACTATCCAAAGATATCCAATCCCTTGATCACTCTAGATTAATAAATTCGTTACTTGTTATGAACAAAGGTATTTAATTATAAAGATTTTGCATAATTTAATAATAATATTGAATTTCTTAATAAAATATATTTGAGAACCTTTAATTATCAAATTACATTCCACATTTCTTCAAAAGTTTAACTACCCTAATTCGCTGGCCTTGTATCCTTCTGGTGTTGAAACTAACGAAGGTGATATTTATATAAAATCTCCCTCAATCGTAAGTTTGAAGTAATTTAAAATCTATGAGTAGATGTAAGTGATAATCAATCCACTTAAAATGGAAATTGGAAGGATCTAGTTAATCTACATATTGTATACCTTTCCGAATGCTTCTGCGTAAGTATTTTAATATTTGATTAAAATTATAGGAACCAAAGTAGAAAGCAATAACAGGAATATCAATACTCTGCTAAGTTTCTACCAGAAGTTTAGCAACTTATAATTGATACTGAACTGATTTTCATTGTAAATTCCTTTACTTAACTTGATTCCCAAGAGAAAACTAAAAGGAAACCAAATATATAAGCTCAAACTAAAACAAATGTTATGTAAAACTTATGGACTGTTAATGTTATAATGAGTTGTTTGATTTTCACACTTCTAATACAGAGCATTCAACCACCCCTCCACTTCACTTTCATCAAGAAATACTTCATGATTGAATTCAAAGAGTAAAATTGATAAACATGTCCATCCAAAAGCAAATAATCCCACTCCTTTAATCACATTACTGGACACTCCTTATGATCCAGGCTGTAAACATTACTTGATGTAATTGGAAATTGGAGTGTGAAAATAACGCAAATATATTATTATGGTATAGGCTGTATAGACCCAACCGAGTAGGATTTATCCGAAGGAATGAACGCCCATGAAAACTCTAGACAGTCCAGTCATAAATGTCCAAGCGGTGACTATAGAAATGATAATTACTCTAAAATAAAATGGGTATTTGTAACTATTTCATAATTTCATAAATTTGAATTACTTTGATTGATCCTTTAAAATGACAGGGAATATTATACAGGGGACGAGAAAACACATAGCTGATGATGACATTGCATGACCGGAAGGCTTCCCGTATTCTTTATTGCACTCATAGGGTTGTATTTGATCTTCGATAAAATATGGTCTTGCTTGATGGTATATGTTTTTGAGAATTGAATTCTCTGCAAAGACTGCTTAAATCAAACAAGCATAAAGCAAGGCTCCTAATTTATTGTCGAAAAACAAAAATGCTATTAATGCTATTCCTGGCATTGCAAATAGAGAATATGAAAAAAACAGAAATAGTTCTTTTTCCCCTGGAAATTAGTGTTCCTATAAATAAACTGTAAGGACAGTGTTAGCCTCCCACATTTGATTGTTTAATAGGATATCAAGTATTATGTATAAACATAATGCAAGTGTAATAATAATGAAAAATTTCATTAATTAATTATTACATTTATTGGGTTAGATTGTAATTGAAAATTACTATATTATTATAAATGATCGATAATAGTAACAATGTAAAGATTTGTAACTTTTTGCTTCAATCCAACAGAACTTCACTTTGGACTCCAAGTAGTAAACCAGTAGACTCAAGTATAAGTGGCTGTTTTCATGTTTCCCACAAATTAGGAGTCTTTAGGGAAACTAGCCTATTCTTACAAGGTTAAAACCTCTATAAATGCAGGAATCACGTAATACTATCCATATAGATTATTATAGAAGTGGAAAGTTTGTGATATTGGAAATTCTCAATTGGAAATGGTGAAGCATAATGTATTTGGAGAGGGATGCAAATTAGGATTTGGATAAAATCATATTGAAATATACGGTAAGATAGAAGAATTGTTGGATAAACTGAAAAAGTAGTGCATTCAATCAAATTTCACTCAAAAGTACTCCATTCTCAAATTAATGGGATAAGGTACTTATGGAAAGGTATGTATTCCTTTTAGAACTTAGGTTTATAGAGTAAAGAATAAGAGTAACTAGAAGGAGTTTGCTGTTAAGACTTTTGAAAAATCCTTGTTGATACTACCAAGTGATAAAATTGCTTTGGCCAAAGAACTGGAAATAGCTCGTCTTTTTGAGCATCCCAACTTAATGTAATATTATGAATCCTTTGAATCTGAATAATTTATATTTGTAGTTTTTGAATTGTTGTTGGGAGGCAATCTGCGATAAGAAATAAAAAAATCAAGACTTAGTGAAAAAAGAGCTTTTAGCAATATTCGTCAATTACTAGTTGCTTTGGATCATATGCATAATCTTGGTGTTCTACATCGAGATATTAAGCCAGAGAACATCATGTTTAGGAATTCAGATGAACTGGTATTAACCGATTTTGGTTTGGCAGATCATTATAGGAAGGATGGCCAATACCTATTTACAAATTGTGGAACACCAGGCTATTGTGCTCCAGAATTGCTGTAGAACAAACTATATGATTTCAAAGTTGATGTGTATAGTGCTGGAATTGTGCTCTTTTAGATGCTGACTGGACAAAACCCGTTTGATTCAGATGATTACAACAAAAGAGTCAAATTGAATAAACAAGGATTGATCGATTGGAGTATTGTCAATGTCAGCGGGGATGCCTTGGACTTCCTGCAAAGTTTGCTTGCTAGAAATCCTTTCCATAGACTTACTGCAGCACAAGCTCTTAATCATAAGATTTTCAATTAGGATCATGGAAGATTTCAAAGAAGTGGAGTGAGTAACACTTTAGTAAGCACAGGCTCACAACTCTCTTCCCCAAATACTAAGCAGTTATAAATAATACCTAGCCCTTTACAAAGCCCAAAAATCAATAGTTTACATCAATTCGAATTTGATGAGCTGGATAACTTAATTTTGGAACAAAGCAAAAAGGATAAGTCTTTGGTCAATTATCCCATGTTGGAGAGAAAACAAAATTAATAGTTTTAATTCAACTATAAACTACAACACAGGACTACAAAGTCAGAAGTATTGCTATTTTTTTAAGAATGATATTAGTTATTAATTATTAGTTAATTATTCACATATCTATCTAGGACTTTGATCTAATATTTGGAAAATCTTTGAATTTGGCTTTCACCACAGGAGCGTGTTTCATCTTCTCAAGAAGAGTGTTACGTGGACTCTCTGGGAGGTCTATCAATTCCTCAGCAGAACTATCTTTTCTGATCTATAATTCTTCAAACTGATTTAAGATGTTAATATTATCCTTTCTTATCATCTTCCTATTTTTGCATAGATAAGCAATGTTGATGTAATTAATAACATATTATTCATGAAATCTTGAATTAGTTTGATTGTCAATTACATTAGAGATGTTGAATTTAAGCTTTTAAGATAAGTTAACCATATGTTCTTATTCGATCTTAGTCTAAGCAATAGTATTCTGATTTAATATTTGTTTTTTGTTTTCCAATATCAATTACTTAAGATCATGGGAAAAAAAAAATCTTTTTTCTAAGTAGAATCTATTCTTGAATAACAAATTAATTTGGGTTATGAGTTAAGGCAAAAATGTAGATTTATAATTCCAACCATACTTAGCTTTGCAATTCAAAAGATACAGTATTTATTATATGCACATCTTTGCATGTAAATCTTAGGAGGTGTCTATGAGTAGATTAATCTTATCAATAACTAAGGGAATCTATTTTGATGACCTCAGTATTTTTAAAATCTCACTCAGGAGATACTCAAGTAATTATTCTCCACTCAAAATACTCGCATCAGTTGTATTTACTGCTGAGATTTCACTCTCTTATCTAGCATTTGATCTGCTTCCTAAAGTAATCATTCCGTGAAATTTATTTGAGTTGTATGTTAAGAAGTGAAATCTCAGGTAGCATTTCTCGTATTTTAAATATAATTTGACAAATCTTAACTGAATCATTTAAGTCTAATAGTAACGGGGGATTTTGTTGTAGCGATTGACGATAAAAGGGTTAGGTCGGTAATTTTCTAACAAATAAAAGATGTCAACTGACTGTTATCTTTGAAAGAGGATATGCAAAGGAGTGTTTTTATGAATGCTGTCACTTTAATCGACATTGCAATGTTTCAATGCCCACTTAACTCCTTCATATGCATTTAATCTGACTGCTATATGCAAACAGTTTTCGCCTTAATGCTTAATCTTAGGATTAAAGCCTTTTTGCGTCTGAAATTCCATGATGGCATCAATATTGTGACTGTGCTGCAAGAGTGTAGTATAAGGTGTTTAACCTTTGATAATCAAGATCTTGTGATTACAGATCAGGTCGAATTTGATGGGATAATGTAAATTGATTGTGTACTTGGATAAAATTTAGATGATAAAAGTTTAATTTGTTCTTGCACTTAATATATATATAACATTTAATAGCTGGGAATCATTCTAATTTAGGAGGTCTATTAAGTAATCTATAAATTTAATGTTCTCTTTAGTTCCTGGTTAAGAAACAACAAAAATTAAACTTTTCATTGAAACTTCAATTTAAAATTCAAAAGATAGTTTCAGGATACCCAATGAGTGATTGTTGATTATCTTTTCCAAATTGTAAGAGAATTAGGAGTTCATAAAGTATTCGTAGAATTGCGAAAAAGTACAATCCTGAGCAAATACAGCCATTAATTTTTTGCATGTTTATTCATCCATAAAGTAGGAGAGATTACAATAATTTAACCAATCTAGTTCAAATTACTCTAGTTTTTTGATGGCCTTACAAATATCTTAAGGAATCATAGTGAAGGCATTTTTAGCAATACCTAAGAAGAACAACTGTAAATCAAAGAGTTGACGAGGCAATTCATCAATCAAATTGGAATTAAGGTTTAAATGATGCAAGGAATTCAACCTAATTAGGCTGGAAGGCACCTTTCCTTAATAGTTAAATGAGAATTACTTATGTAATTATAACTAAGATCTAAGTACAAGAGTTAAGGCAGATTCAGAGATGTTTCTATGTTGTCAATCGTATTATCTCGCAATATGAGTTTTTGGAGTTGCTAAATTAAATTGACTTGATATGGGATGGTCTGAAATCTATTCCCACTCAGATCAAGGATAAGCAATTGAGTGGGAATTTCGTTGGGCCACGTATTGATATTCTTGTTGCGTAACATGAGAGTTTGATCGCTATCAGTGATATCCTTGTCTTTGAGAAATAAGGGTATATGAGTGAATTATGTTTTCATTAATTAAATACAAAGTCGATTATGCTAATTAAAAGTAATCAATCGATAATTCGTATCACTCAAAACGGTAATCACTTTATAGGATTTGAGAGTTTGCTGGAGGGATCATGAGAGTCAAGATGGTTATAAATTTGTAGACTCTGAATAAAGATGGAGGAAATTTGGATGATTAGAATGAATAGCTGAGTTATTTGAATATAAAATAATTAATTTATGACCATAGTTGGATTATTTGACGAGATTGCTATGCACATAAATCGACTAAATGTAGTTGGAGTTCAGGCTGACCAATTTAAGTTGCTTGTGCATTTTGTAATGATTTGAGTGTATGTTTAAAGTTGCTTGTTTTTCCATTGGGGATTATACTACGATACATGAAAAGTCCCATCATACGAAAATCTTACACATTTTTTTGGGGACTCTTCTTTATGTTGTACTTGGGAGCTTAATGGATAGAGTTGGTTATGGCATAGACACTTGTCATATATTTTATGAGGTTGCTGAGGAGACCATTCATCCCCATTGCATCAATCAGCTTTCTCGTTTTAGGCTACTTACATTACGACCGCATCATGGTTAATGGCAAACTATCAGTAGAACGCAGACTCGTCTTGGAAGATGGGATTTAACGTAGTGCAGATGATGTTGACATGTCGATTCGTATACGTGGGAGTTGCTGCTTAAGATGGAATATCCTTCACATTTCTCGATTACATCAGTTATGTGTTCTATTTTCCAAACATCATCGTTGGCACAGTTCCCTTTACAGCCTACATTGATTTCATCAATCTGAAGGGAGTCTATGCCAACATGGGTTACAGTTTTAAAATGGCTTTCATATCCCTATTTAAGGCTCTTCTATTTGTGGCAGGTACCTAATTGACCCGCTATGATTAGCTGATCAACTCATAAGACCTAAGTTCAGTTTCGCCTATTTTGGCACTCAGTAATGGGAAGATCATTCCCTTTTGACTCGTCATTTGGTTTGCCAATTGATTTCATGTTGTGAGAGATTCAAATACTTTCTTGCATTTAACTTCTCTTAGGCTTCAATGGACGCAGGAGGAATTACATTTGATGGACAAGGTACAATATAAATAAGTAACAATAGAGTTTTCTAATTATCGTTTGGCCAATTACAAATTTGAGATTGAGTTTTCGCCTATAAAAAGAACAAAGCATTGGAATTCAAGTGTTTAAGCATGGTTGCAAACTTGTTTTTATGATAGATACAAGTAACACAAATCAGCTCTGCTCCTCACTTTTGTTTTGAGTGCATACTGGTATTATATTATATTATGTAGGCATGGGTTCTTTATTGCGTACTATGTGTTTTTTATTGAATGGGCAATTTTCAATGAGATCACGAAGTAGGTTTATAGAGCAAAGGATAAATTTAAATTGTAAATTCTTATAATTATGTCGAAAGCATCCCGATTCCAATTCAGAAAATCATTTGCGCCATTTATGGTCAATTGGCTGTTAATTCAACTGCCACTCCCATTGGATTGCTGAAATGGGATAGAGTGTTGAAAACAATGAATGATCTTGGATGGGTGGCACAGATTGTGATGGTTGTGGTTTGGGGGTTCTTCAAGATTACGAAATTTGGATAGGGTAAAAGGAAGGAGTGATGAAAATACAAATTTATAGATATTAAATTTAATTTATTGAATGTCTCGTATATTCGAACGAGTGGATAGAGAGACTTTGTTAAGAGATGAATAATTGATAGATGTATTACGCAAGATAAGGGAAAAAGTATTATCAGGACATATCGTAGAGCTGAAGACACTAAGTAGTGAAGTAAGGCCTCACAATGTCAAAATAGATAGACAGAATGTCTCGAGACGAAAAACAATTAGTTCCCATTACTGGTAGAACTGAGTTGGATGGACTAATCACATACTCGGAGCGGGAGAACGGCGCTTTTCTTGATCAATCTTTTTCTAAGAAGATTCAAGGTCCCCTTAATACGCTGGCTCAATTAACTTAGCATTAGCACTCTCAAAGCGAATCGGATTTCTCTCATCAATCATTCTACAGTGATGAAGAACCATGGAATATCGAGTACATCACCAATAATCTCGACTCCGTAGAACGAGGTTTGAATTGCGATAACTCCTCTAGTGTCGTTATTGCTTTGAAAGCACTCTTTGAGCAAATCCGATTACTCTTAATTAAGAATGTCAGCAAGAAATAATTTCTATACAAATACACTGTGTTGGCCCTCCGTTCTTTATACATCTTGGGAAATGCCATGAAACTCCAAGGTGATTATTAGCATGCAATTTTATATTATGAAAATTGCTTAACCAAGTTTGATATAAATGAGCCAACTTTTAAGGGCAAACTATTAATCGAGGCAGCTAAAGTTTGTTTCATTTCAAAAAACTTTTAGAAATGTTAACAATACTTTTATGATGCATTATTACATTACGAATAACTTAATTGGCGTCTTGACATTGCCTATGTTCTTACATAGCTATCAAGATTAAATGGATGGATGAGTAATTATCTGCAATAATTTAAGAAAATCCCGATACAGCCAGTAAATTGTGTTATGAAAGCTTAGCTATCTATAGAGATTATCTCCCAGAAGAGGATGAACGTATTGCTGATACCTATTTCATCTTAGCTGAATTAGCCTATCTCCGTAAAGATTATGATGCCTCATTTTAATTTGCTGAACAATCTATTCAAATTTATGAAATGAACAACAATAATAACAATAATAATAGTAATAATAACAATAATAATAATAATAATAATAATAATAACAATAACAATAAAGAATCTTGTACCATCAACTCAGAATTTAAAACACAATTATCTCCAGTCTATAATTTACTTGGTATCTTGTATGCACACACAAACGATTACAAACAAGCATAAAAATACTTCCATAATGCCTTTCAATGTGTTAAATAGGAGTCACTCAAAGCTGCACAAATACTCATGAATTGGGGTATTATGTAAGCCTTAGAATGTAATTCTGAATTGGCATAAAAGGGCATTCTGAAAGCTAAATAAATATCTTAAGCCTTCTAAAACAAAAGTGATTTGTCCAATAGATTAGAAAGGAATTACTAAGAATTATTATAATGACTTTACTCTAATTTTTGTTTAATTTAATTTTTTTTGTTTTACTATGGATGATGAATTAGCTTTTTAGAACCTACAAAATGGTATGACTCTATTTCTTAAAATACTCAAGCCATCGAAAGCATGAAGAGAGAACGAGATGAGCTCTTGCAAGAATATCAAAAAGAGAAAACTGATTTCCAAGCATTTGATGCATAAATCAGGAAGATGCAAATGGAATTAGACTTGAGAGTTGCTATTTTGAAAGACAAAGAATCCAAATTGGCTAATTACAATAAGATGATAGAAGAGACAGACTTAACATATAATCGAGTATAATTTTTAACTGTAACATCGAATAGATTGTTGAAACATCTAACAAACTAGCAGCTAATTTAGAGAAAGAGACACAGTTCATCAAAGAGCGTTTCAAGCGTCAATTATAAATTTGAATTTATAATAGATTATAAACTAATTCAACTAGTTTTCTCTTATATTCATTGCATCTACTCCACATTTAACATATAAATATTTAAAATAAAACGACTATTCTTCATAAAATTAATATCTACAATCGTAATTCAAATGCTTATTCTAAATCATGCTATTCAACAAAATACAGTGTTTGAATTATGTTAAGAAATTTGATTGAATTACCCCATTTGTGATTGTTAAAAATTGTTATTGGAAAATAGTATTGCAATCTGAAGAATTCTTAATTAGAAACTTATATATATTATTGTATAAAAAATGTAATAATAATATTAGGATGCTGAGTATTTTAGAAAAAAAGATGAATGTCGTTTGAGGTCCTTTAAAAGGCTCAAAGATCAAATTGAAAATAAATGTAATATTGTCAAAGGAAGAAGTAGAGAGATTACTGTCAAAAAAAAACTTAAGCCTTATAAATCACTAGAAACTAAATTTTAAGAACACTCAGACACTTTTCGTACTCGATTTGTGAACTCGCAATTTTCGAACATTATCAATGAAGTAAGCCACACTTGTGAGGATATTGTATCGAGTATATCGAGAATCAAAAATGAGGATAGATAACGTAATCGTGACATTCAAGCTTTACTGAAAAAAATAGATAATCCTTCTGAACTCAACATCACCAGATGGCAGACTGATAGCAAATATATAGAAATAAAAGAAGAACTGATAAAAATGCAATAAGAATAAGGATTACCCGATTATTGCAAATTTTGCTTAATAAACAGTAAAGATTCAATGAAGAGGATGAACAGATCCAATCAGGAAATTAAGGAAACGAGACTCTTGTTTTAGATGAAGGATAAATTAACACCTAATTAATTGAAAAAGTACATGGAACAGTTATTGAAGAAATATCAGAGAATCCAATAGAATCAGGAATTGGAACCCAATGGAGTGGGATGGAAACTCAAAACCAAGTTGTAACCATATCAAAGTAGTGATGATTGGGTTGTTATTCGAGAACATATGTTGGAGAAGAAGTAACCATCAATGCAAGACAAGATGAAGAAGGCAGAGAAGACATTTAAACGACATTTACATGAGTAGAAATATAGAGATGCAGCCTTTAAGTAATTGAAATCCTAGAATGAAGCAATTTTATAATTCGAGAAGCGAGTGTTCAAAACAGAACCAGAAGAAGATCTGAAGGAGCAATTTCAGATTAGACTCCAAGATGCTAAATGGTTTTGTGAAGAGAATGCTAAAAAGATTGACAATTGCAAAACTGATCTGAAATAACAATTATACTAAATAAAACGAGAACATGATCGAATCTATAAAAACGAAAACAACTATATAAATCGACTACTCTCTTCGTGAATTTCATGTAGTCGCATACTGTATACATATTTTGATTAATATATATACATATGATGCAATTGTTAAGTAATCCTAGAATATAAAAATGTCAACAAATTTCTTATCATTAATTAAATATAATAACATAAACAGACAGATTAATTAATCATAGGATTAGTAATGCTCATAGGATGACTCACTTAATATGTTTCTGAATGGATTTAATCTATTTATACAGATCTGTGTAGATTTCTAGATTTTCCTGATGTAATTGATCGATGCTTTCCACTATTGTTTGAATGTTTTCATTGGGATTGTTGTATCTAAGATTGCTTGAAATTGTTGGTTGTGCAACTCTTTACACAATCTTTTTGTCTTTGTCTGATAACTAAAACTTAAGCGAGAATGTGTCAGTCTCCTAAAATTGCAGTTTCAAGGATTCCATAAAAATCCTGTCTCTCATTTTTTTTTCTTCCATTCTTGTCAGTAAAAAATGTTCTTCCTCATTGAGTTCTTTACCCAATTTTCTTACAATTAAGTTATCCCTTGTCATCTAGATTGCATCCATCAATCTATTCACATTTCGATCACTCCATAGATCTACAACTCCCATTGAACCATCATTGGCAACTTCACCAAAAGCATCCTTTACTTTTTAAATCAGAGGTTAAAGATAGTAATTATTCTTCTTTTCATGAGTTCTAAATCCAAATTTTAGAAAGGTAAGTCTTTTATTTTTTGATTTTTTGTTGGCTTTACCAAAAGTTTGATCTCTTCTCACTTGTATTTCAGTTTTTGGTAATTCTCGACCCTACTTATAAGTCAAGAGACCTCTGAGATGTCCAAGTGCAAAACTTGATTTGACGTTCTCTTTAAGAATATCTATGTTAGGCAGGAGTGAGGGTTCACTTTTTTGTTTGGCTTTGTATGATTGAGAAGTCTGAGACAATTATTTCATTATAAATAAAAATGAATATCAGCATAATTTTATTGATGGGGTAGTTATTATTGAAAAACATTGTGAATATTATAGAAAGAGGCAGTCAAGATGAAAAGGATGCTATAGCATTAGGATTGAATTCATGTGCATCAGTCTCAATACTTGTGTACTATTACATGATTTATCATATTGGGAAGTAGAAATTGATTATTCACCTACTAATTTAAACAATTATAGTAATACATTATGAGATTGCATTTTACGAAAGGAGTACTATTTCAGCGCAAAGTGCAATAATTTACATGATGTAAATTCAGCTATATCTATAAAGACAAAATGGACTCTTTGACTACTTAAGCCATTGTGCACTAATCTATGCTGTTCTCAGATTTCTCATTAGGGAATTCACAAACTTATTGGTTTCAGAAATGCTTCTCATGTTCTTATGGCAACCCCTCAACCATTATTTGTTATATCTGCATAAATCCAAGAAACCCCAGAAGAAAGAAGACATCACTACCTAAGTTCACTTTCAGACCATCTCTTCTCCCCAAGCCTAACACACACAAGGAGTGGATGAAATAGTGACCAAGACCAATATGACTGAGGACTTTTTCGATTATATCCCCGAAGGATTAGTAATACTTGATGAATACTTCAATATCATTAAACATAATTCCAAAATTTTGCAATATTTGCAAATTAAGGAACCTTCAACAATTCCTTCATCTTTGGATAGTTTACTCAAAATGTAATTTTATTATTATAATTAAGAGCACAAAAAAACAAAGTCCCAATGAAAGAAAAAGACAGGAAGAGACCTTTGCATTTGAAATCTATGAAATAAAATAGTGAAATGCACTTCAGCTACACAGGTTCATTGGCGTCTTCTTTGAAGAAATAATTCTGGACTTCTGATAGATAATAATTAAATTACAGCTTTTAGAAGGGAGACTCTATGATGTACCCCTCTTTGTAAGCTATAATCAATGAGTTTAAAATGAAGAACATGAATGATAACATAACAATAAATTCTGAATCTTGTTGCATTGTTAAATATCAGATTAACCAGGAATCCTCTATCAAATACAAATATATCTCAATCAAAATTTATGAAATTAGAATGCCATCCAATCTAAAATCAACCTTCTTCTTATTTATTGTGGAGAACATCACTAATAAAGAACAATTAAAACAATTAACCAATAGATTTATTTTCCAATAATAACTTTTGAATTCATTCAGTCATGAATTAAGAACACCTCTTAATTGCACTCTTTCCTTATTACAGGCACTAAAAAGCAAATTGAAGAATGATGAAATTAATATTGATTATCTAAATCCAGCTATGGTTACTAGTCATCGTCTATTGTATTAGATCAATGACATTTTAGATTATGCTTAAATTGAATGTCAAGATTTTAAACTTAACATATGTGAATTTACTGTTGGTGACATATTCCAAACCTTAAAAGATTACTTTATACAAGAATGTGCACAAAAGAATATTTAAATGATAATTGAAATTGATTGTTTAATTGTCATCAGAAATGATAAAGAAAGAATAACTTAAGTGTTAATTAATTTAATAAGCAATTCAATTAAATTTACTCCTTAAGGTGGAAGAATTGTTGTCAATGTTAAAAAAAGAGACAACTTGTATCAATTTACAGTGTGGGACAATGGAAAAGGAATATCGAATTAGACTATGTCGAATATATTTGAATAATAATAACAAAATATGATCTCAAGCAACAAAGTAAATGATAATTAATTTTATTCAAACAAATTAGGAATTGGTTTGAAAGTCAGTAGAGGCATAGTTAAATATCTAAGCACTAATGGTGATTTAATAATCAAAAGTTAATCTGGATGCTACACCTCAATTAATTTCTTTGTTGAGGATAAATTTATGAAAATTGACGAAGATATCTCTGAAGAAACTATCTTAAGATTAGCCAGTAAGAATACATTAAAGAAATGTGTCTGTCCATAAGTACTGATTGTTGATGATATACCTTTTAATCACATTGCCTTAATAGCATTACTCAATAGTTTCAATGTTACTTCAGAAAGTGCCTATGATGGAGATTAGGCAATTGAAAAGGTGAGTGAAAGAATAAGAAACTCATAATGTTGCAAATCTTATCGTATAATCTTCATGGATTTAGAAATGCCAGGAAAAAATGGATTCCAAACCTCTTCTGAGGTAAGATTCAATTGATTTATAGATAGTGACAATCTTGAAAAAAGTAAATGCCCACTCAGTCATCGTCATGCACTCAGCCTACACAGGAGAAGAAAATGTTGAATAGGGACGACTATGTGGTATGAAAGAGTTCATACCAAAACCGATATCATTTAATACATTGTAAAACTTAATCAATAAGTACTTTTCCTAATAAGCTTGATATATTATGAAAATATTTAACATTATATATAATATTCATTACACAGTTGCACAATTAAATTTGTGAACTTGATATTTCATTTTTGTTCCTTTCACCAAGAATTTGTAGACAATCAACTTATCTTATCCTGGCTTAAGTTCAATCTCCACTAAATTACCAGCATGAGGTTTCTTTAGTTTTATCTCTCCTTCAAATACTAAATTGAAACTGAATGTCTTTTCTTTGGATAAATTTTAATAATAAAGGTAAGGATATCTAATTATTTAATATAATACCCGTATGCTTAAGATTTATTCTTCAATACAACAAGTTCAGGATGAGAAGGATTCAGAGGTTTAGCTTCTGTTCTTTTTTCTTTTGCTTCAAATAAGATGGATGCTTATTGAAAATTTGATATTTTCTAACAAAATTTCATTTCAGTTGTATCTTCTCCATATGAGGCTAAAGGAACGTCATTTTAATCCCACCCTTCCATTATCCAATTAGCTTTAAGTTGAAGAATATATTGTCCTTTCTACAATCTTCCATAAATATTAAAACTCATATCTGTGTCAGTCTTATATGTTAAAGGTTAAATGGAATTATTCTTATTCATTTTAGATAATATCAAACGCAATTACGAATAGTCGTATTATTGTTATAAGTCTTTTGATTATTATCTAAACATTCTTTATGATTTTTAATATGCAGAAAAGTAATATTCTCCATCCTTTTTAATATTTACTAAAATATATGCTGATTTCCTTTTTTGACATTAAATTGTAATTTAGCCAAATTCAAAGTAAGGATTACAGAATCCTATGTATGCATTTTCAAAATGCTTTCTAAAATCTTCAATACACATAAAGAATATTCCATCTTCTTCTTAATTCTGTAAGACATTATCTTTCAGCTCTTAAGTCCAAAGAGGACTTTTATCACTCCAATCTCCATTCCATTCTTGATCATTCCCATATGGATTCTTCAATTATATGAGTTAAACTTCTTCTTTGCTTGGCAATTTAATAGTTCGAAAGTTCAACACCGAATAAGCATGATTACGAACTAAGCCCATCATTTCTGATTCTGGCTTATCTGAGTATGTTCCTGCACAGACGATATAATTTTGATATGAATTCATAATTTGTTTCAATTTCTCAATAAAAGTGCTTTCGTCACTACTGATACACCAAGTGGGTCCTCCTGTAATACTTGCTATTACTTCCCTTGGATCACCACTAACAATATTCGCATAACTTCCAAACAACTTAGCCCAAGCCTTTTCTAGTAATATAACCCACATTTCTTAAGAGTCACTCCCACTAAATGCTGGTTGATCATCATAGACAGGAACATAATCATCTAGAGTAATCAATTTCCAAACTCCCTGGATGCAAAGCCAAACTCCATATATGCCATAGGGATTTAGAATAGGAGTCTAAAATAGATCAAAAATCTTATCAGGACTAAAAATTAACTTATATCTTTTACTGTTTACTAGCTATTGATCCTAAAGAGGATAAAAAATAGCAATCTCCAAGGGATCCTTATTTAATGTCTCTTGGTGACACCAAAGAATGAACTCCTAACTCATTATTGGAATGATATAGGTCTTTTTAGAAGATTTACGCATTTTTCCAGATCTCAGTAAGTCTTTTCCATTAATAATTGGGTCCAACATTTCCTAAACTTGTTTCATCAGGTTTGAAGTCTGGATCAACGAAAATTGTTTTGTTTTCTTTCAATTTGAAGTATAGATTTTTGAAATTAATAAACGATTCATAAAAAGGAGAATCTTAAGAAAAACTCTATTCATCAAAAAACTCTTCTTGATTTCCTTTAAACATCCCATATTCATCATAATATTAATCATCTTCATCACTGTCACTTAGTTCATTTTTATCTTTAACAATTACAATTTCGGCATTAATATTTTATTCAAAAGATAATAAAGTTTTAATATTTTCGAAAGAAAATTAAACTTCATTATTATTTTTCATTAGTATTTTGATATCTTCTTCTGTAATTTCTGGATATATGTATTCTAAGAGTTCTTTCATTTCATTTAATTGCATTTTGCCATCTCCATCATAATCAAAGAACTTATAAATCCTTTCTAATGAGGCTTTCTTCGATTGTATCCCTTCAATTAAACTCATTACAACATCCTGTCTTCTTTTAGGTTTCGGTAAATTCTCTACTAACTTTTCTAAGATTTCTTAGGTAATCCCAACTCGACTATCAAAATCTGTTAGTATTTTGTAATAATATTCTTCAACTTCTTTATTGATTATGTTCTTATTGAATTTCTTTATCAATAATTAAAAGTTCTGTAGAGTGAGCACCTTTGTGCCAATTGTAGCTATTATTTCAGTAACAGTTCTCAATTGAATTGCTTAAGACAAGCATCTCTCTATTTCTTCGACTGCACTCATAAAATATTATATAAAAAAACACCTTTATAATTAATTAAATATCTCAACTTTCATCCTAATCTGCCTAGCTTGTGCTTTCTTGATTTTTAACAATGTCATTGGTTTCCTTTTAACTATTGATCTCATTGATATCACTCCCATTGCTATTTTCTTTCTTTTAAATCTAGCTATCATTATTGTTGTCCTCAGGATCAAACTGCTTTGAAATAACATCATTGACTTAATTTTCTATGACTTAGGGGATCTTTTTCTTTTCTGATGGCTGTTGCTCCTCTGTTGGCATCTCAATGTCTTCTTGAATTGTGTCTTGCTTCTTTGCTCTGCTATACATCATGAATCGGCGTTCCCTTTAACTAATAAAACCTTAAGAGACTCGTTGTTGCTGATCTAAACTATTTGATCTGGAATTCCTTTGACTTCTCATTTGCTTTTGCTAATTAATCTTTAATTGTTCATTTAAAGCTTACTACTCGAGATGCTTTGCACTTTTCAGATCAATTTTCAATTACAAAGGAGGCATCAATTTTCTTCCAGGATCAAACAATTTGTGTAACATGTAATAGGACATGGTCTTCTTCTCTATCATTTGCACCTATGTGTATTGTGAGAGAGAGATCTTACCTCTCTGAAGAACTCAAATATCTCAATATTTGAGGCCCTAGAGTTGGTGTCCAATAGAGCAGAGAGAGAATTAATCAATTGTCTTTGAAATTGCCTCAATTCACTATAAAGATTGCAAGCCAATTTCTTCAAGAGAAAGTCGTGTGGGAAGTTGGAGAGGGACGTTTTCAGTTAGGGGACAAGAGACAACCCTTAATTGACGAGGTTTTCCAATTTAAAGCATTCAACTACGAGACTTAAATAACTTAGAAGCGAATACTTCGATTAATGAATAGGTTTTCTGAAGTGATGATTTTTATAACTCTTGATCTCCTGCACATTCAAAGCCAATTTTTACAAATACTGGAGGAATGGAACCTAAAGATTTTCCAGCAACCAGACTTCATTTGTCACTTGCTTAAACACAAGGGTTTCTGGTTTTTGTGAAGGTCTGCTAGTATTCAATCATTGATTCATACTTATTAAAATATGCAAAATTTATTTTAATGAATTATTACGCGAATTCGTCACTGATATTGAGTACCTGATGAATTGTTATAAGCATTTTCATTTTTATAGTATAAGGTTGACAGTTATCTTCCTGATACACCTAAAAAAATTCGATTATATTTTGGTCATCAGTTAAGAATGGTACCAATATTTCCACATCCTCTTGTTTGTATACAAAGTTATCTTTTGTGAGACTAGATTTTGTTAGGAATGATTGGAACTCACTTTGACCCTGAAATAGTTTCTTGAATCTCTTAATCATTTATATTAAAATAATTGTTGTTGTTTATTATTGCACATATATTCTTAATTATCTCATCAAATGGAGGACAATATCAAAATATTATATTTATAATCAATTTACGCAATAATGAAGATTTTCATAGCAGCAACCGTCGTTTTCATCACCTGTTTGATCCTTGATGTAATTTATGATCAGCAACTCTGGGATTTTAATACAAGGATTACGAAATACATGTAACAAAAGCAAACCCCTGGGTTGTAAAGTATGTTTAATTTCTTCTCCAATTGGATAAACATTTTTCCTGGAATAGCATTATTAATCTTTATATTTACAGAAAATAAATTGGCCTCCATCATATATATGTGCTTAATATAATTTACAATTTCATTTAACTCAGTTCTTAAAAATGTATATCATCAACCAAGACCTTATTGGATTGAACCCGATATTGTGGCATTGTCGTGCAATAAAGAGTTTGGTAAACCGTCAGGACATGCTATGGGTTCATTATTGATGTGTTTGTTATTGCCCTTGATGGTTCTCCCTTCAAGCTTTGTGAAAAAGCCAAAACTAATTAAAAGTATTATCCTAGGTTTTGTTTCCATATGGATTGTTATGACTGCATTGTCTCGCATCTATTTAGGGATGCATACAATAGGATAGATTCTGCTGGGTTGGATGTATTCGAGTTATTTTATTTTAATTTATCTCTCCTATTTGCATTAACCTATACTGGAATATTTAAAAAGTAGATTGTCATCTGTTGATCTAACTTGGAAATTTGTATTTATGGTGGGTTTATCAACTTTAGGCTGGTTAAGTATTTCATTTTTATTCTACTTTTTGGATAGAAAGAATCTATACTTAGACTAAGCCAAACTTACATAGTGGGCACAGGTCATCTATATGAAATGTCCAAATCAAACTGAACTTCTTTCAATATATAGTTCTTAGGTGTTCCAGAGTTTTTGTTTGAATAAATGCTTCGAAATAACTTTTATCTTTTTCATAGTTTTGGGAATCAAACTCAGCCATGGCAAAAATAATGAAGAAGAATTCACTCAAAATTATGCACAGTTGAATTGGAAATAAAAGTGTTTTCGCTTTTTACTTCTAATAATTCCATTATCAGCTGTGAAATGTTTAGACTTTATTAACAGTGACAATGTCTGGGTGATGATTTTCGGTTATGTAATTAATATAATTTAAGAAAGACTATCCCTTGGAATGCCTTTTGTGGATTCATCCTTACTTATGGATATGCAAAACTATTAAAATATTTTAATTTAAATATTGATGGTGATTTTCTCAATATTGATTAAAATACGAGTATTTATCTAAATTTTTGAAATGATGATTAGCTTTATAATGAATATAATAATAAATATAGATTGTTTGTTTCAATTTCTTTTACTGTTACAAAACAAGCTATGATTACTAATTATTTAGTTGATTGGAACTTTATTGAATTCACCCATATCCTTCTCAATACTGAGATCATCTTTTTTTGCGACAAGTACTCTTTTCTTCTTAAATTTCATCATTTAAAGATATTCGTAGTTTTGTAGATTAAAAAAACTTGTTTAGAACAATATTTTTTCTTTTTTTGAAAAGCAACTATAGAGCCATTGATATAGTTAATTTTATGAAGAAAATAAGTGAGATGCATAGTTATTTATGTCATAGACTAGGTTTACACTCAATCTGGTTCTGAGATCATTTATTAGAGAGAGATCAGAAACCTATAGATCCCTATTTAAATTATAGGATGAACATATAATTTTTTATCTGGACACTATATTTAAAGCTTTAGAAATTTCCATTTCTATTTATGCATTTAAAATGGTTTGAACATTTTTGAAATATTTATCTATGATACTTTGATGATTTACTTCTAAGGTCTGTTTTTAACGATTTAAATTGGTATTCATTTAAGATTAATTATACATCCTAGCCAACTTTCGATTTTAATTCAACGTTTTTTTATTTGAATTTTAACTTTAATAAGGACAATTGATTTTTATATTTGAGTCTCTCAGCCACACTAATCTACTCATACTGCAAGACATTCTCTATTTTCTTGATTGCTGTATCAATATTGCCACTTCTCAATAATTTCAAAATGTCAGGATAATGGTCAGAAAATTCAAGCGATGACAACTGTTAAACATTCTACTACACAGAAGTACTTGAATCCTTTTGCTGATTAAGTTATTTTTTAAATATGGGAGCGGACTCTGCAACAGTATCTCTGACAGTGCATTCGCTTCCTACTTGGAGACTAAAATCATTGTAACTTTCGATTGATTGGTCATCTTCGATTTCTTCTTAGTCTGCATACTTCTAGATCATATTATGATGTCTTTAAACAATATTCTTCTCTATTTAATGTCTCATCTAATATACATTTCTAATTAAATGAGTTAATTTACTTTTCTTATTATTCCAATAGAGATTTCTCTTTGATCACATTATTTAAAATGTACCTTCTTTCTAGTTTTCGAATATTCTTTAAAGCCACTAAACTTTGAGTAGCCAAATTTCTAGGTAATTTGTTAGATTTACTGATGGGGAAAAAGTCTGAATTGATTGAAATTAGGAACTCCAAGATTTCAACATTTCCTACCAAAACAGCAATGTGACATAGACCCTAACCTGTGATTGATGATTAATGGGAAAAATCAAAGAATCTATTATTAGCAAAATCAACATGTCGAGACATATTGAAGTCATTTCCAAATTTAAGACCCTTTATTTATTATTTCCTGATTGCCATATCAAGAGGAGTGTAGCCCTCACAATTTTCAACGTTTGGATCTGCTCCATATAATAATAATATCTCAGCAAACTCTTGACTCTATTCATATTTATCAAAATTCATCATTAATTGATGCAATGGAGTATTACCATCGATATTCCTCATCATCACTAAGGATTCATCATTAATCGGATGTTAAATGTTAGTAGTCCTTAATTGCATGTTAAAATTTTCCTTTATTTCCAAAAGGAACTTTAAATTCTGCACGTCAGCTCTTTGACTCATACAATGAATGGTATTCAAAGAAAATCTACCACCTAAAGTCTTTAATAAGCTCACTGATCTTTATTATTATGAAAACTAACCTCATTTTGCCTTCCATATAACAAACTGACAAGGGTGTATTATTATCAAAATCAGTTTTGTTGATATCCTGAGGAATGATGGAATTTAAACAATACATCACTCCAATTTCATCATTCATCCCTGCTTGACAAAACAGGTTCCTCTCCTTGTAATCAGTACTACTAAAGTTCTATTCATTTTGACTCAATAACTAGATGAATTCCTAGAAACTCAAAGTTTGTTTTGAGAGTGCTTTAATTAGTTTCTCTTAAACCAATGGATATTTCTTGAAATTGAGTTTGAATGGCAATGGAGGCTTGCAATATTTAAACCAATCAAATTCTAATAGATTCATATTTGCCAATGCTCTATGAAATGATTTCGGTAGATGAGTAATTGGATTCATCTGAATACAGAGAACATCCAATTCCCCAAAATAAGGTTGCTTAATACAATTACAAGCAAGATTGAGCTGTCTTAAGCGTTTGATATGAACTTGACAATTCTAGATTAAGTTGTAAGACAAATCCAAGACTTCTAAAAAATTCAAGGATTCCAAAAATTGTGGTAAGTTTACCAACATATTCTGACTCAAATACATCTTTTATAAATTGATCATTTATCTACTTTTATGATTCATTTTACTTCACATCTTCTGGAATTTAATAGAGCTTGCATCTAGATAAATCAAGAAGCTTAATATTGACAAATTTATTCTAATCCAACCAAGTACTAACCAAACCCTTTCCCTGTGCTTCTAATTTCTCTTCTGTGTAAATGAACTCTTGAATCTACAGTTGATTACAACAAATACAGTTTCAGAAGCTGATTTCATGTCCAGAGGTTCATTCATGTTTAAATTGGAAAATTGTACTTTATCCTCCATGGCAAAGCAATCTGGTTGAAAGTGTTTTTTATGCTCATCAAATTAGGATTCTATATACATATCACTTTGATCACTTTCATCCTGTAACATTTCCTTATTCATTTATATATAAAGTTTTTAATTATGATTAAATTATAGAATCATTTCCACAGACCCCAATCCCATAATTGTTTCCAAGTATTACTTGCTTAAATATTAACCACCAAGAATAATAGGTCTAGTTAACGTATTTTTATTTAATTTTATGTAATTTTTTAAATATTTATTGTTTCTAATATTCAGTACATCTTATAACATTTTGTACATTCTAGAACAAATATTATTCAATTATTTTGTTTGAAATCATTTTAAATAAATGATTTAATTATATCAAATCCATTATTTATTTTCTATAACTCTTATCACTCCTTTTTGATGTCAGGCTTTTATCAACTCAACCTTTCAACACACTCTCACTTCACCTATACAGATACTCCTCAACACATCAAAACCAAGTATCAACTTCATTAATCACAATAGACCCTTACCAAGTCCTTAGGCAGAAGAAATTGAAACTTTTAGTTTGGATGATTCTTGGGACAGCAACATCTCTCCAACAAATAAAAAGACATTCAAAGTTGATAAACCCATCTTGGTTATCCAGTATTTGGATTGCAAATTAAGAGACTAATTTTGATCTTTGTATTAGCATTTACAATATTTATATAAACATTAAAAAATCAAACTCTTATTATATTTGAGCCCTATCTCTTCTACTTCAACATCTTGCCTTGATTATAATATACAATCGGCAAAGGATCATAGTTTAAAAAAGATAAATCGAATTTCCTTACTACACCGACCATTGGATTACCATTCTTTTCTGTCTTCTGACTCATACTACGTCTCCTGAAATTTGCATTGACTTTCAATTTAGTTTTGATCTTTATGGGTCGTTGAGTTTTCATTTAAGGAACTTGTATTACCTGCATGAATAACTTCGGTGGCTCAAGAGTCGACAGTCTCTACTTTTAATATCCAGTTCTGTAATTTTGAGAGCTTTCAGAATTAATAGTATTCTAGCGTTCTTTCAGTAATTTTCTCTCTTAATTTAGACGAATTATAGCCACGTTGATCTAATCTGACATAATAATATTGATTATCTATTTTATTTACTCATTCTTATAAATAATATCTTAAATAGATGAAAATTTGTACAGAAATTGTTTCTATTCATTAATAGCGTCATTCTAAATAGAAAGGATCAAGTTATTATTAGATAAATAGTCCATTTTTTAATATTTATAGGAAGTTCTATTAAAACTAATACTTATAAAATTATATATTTATTAGTAGATTCTTAATTAAATGCTATTAAGCATAAAATATGAATAAGTAATCAATTTTATGCAAGAATGGATTGAAAAAAAATAGTTGATTGAATTTCCTTTCAATTGTATCTTGACTAAAAATTAAATAATTATGATAAAGTGGAAAATGCAAGGCAAGTGTGAGAGAAAATTTGATATGGACTCGAAGGATTCAAGGCTTTATAGATAAATTAAGTGGGTTGGGTAAGTTGATAAATATAATGGATCTATTATCATGTAAAGGAAGATGAAAATAGTTTTATGGAAGATTTATTATTACTCAATTGTATTCGATTTGAGGGAAGAACATAGTATTTAATACGGCCTTAAGGCTATGGCGTTAGGATTTTGAAAAGAATGATATTAACATAAAAATGGATAAATTATAAATCTAATGGAAATATTAATAGGTTAATGGATTAATGGAAAATTGCTAACAAAAAATACGTGCCAATATGCCTGATTATTTAAGCTTGTTAATAATCTTAATACCCTAAAAAATCACATTCCTGCTTTACTCTTTATTCTACATTCATCTTGAAATAAGATAATACTTTACTCAATTTAGACTTGCACCAATCATCGTTAGGATCAATTGCTAAGGCTTCGCTATAAAAATTCATAGCCTCTAAAAATTTCTTTTATAGTCTTAAACAATCCCCTAATTGTATAAATTCTATTTTACCCATTCTAACTAAAGATAATGCATGTCTGGGATTTATTTACAATGCTTTTTTCAAGTATTTCATTGCATCATCAAATTTTCCAAGCAATCTATAACAATCACCTATTAAAATTGTTTAACATTAATATAATACCCAAACCACTTATTGATTCCAAATGATTTTAATTTAATTATAATGCTTTATTATATTACTTTATCGCCTCCTCATCTTTCCCTTGTAATCTTAAGAGATTAGCTATTAAAATTTTATTAATATAAATACCTAAACCCCAAATTGCATCAATATCATTTTTGTCTTAATTTAAAATTCTTTCAAATATTGGTCTAGCTTCTTGAAATTTTTTCAATTTTCCTAAACAAAGAGCTAAAGTTTTCAATTAGATTTAATACCTTTGCCGATCAAGGCTTATTTATTGTTCTAATCCAGTTCAAGTGTAGCTTCATAATATTCTAGTGCATCATCATATTTAGATCTTTCTCTTAAGCAATCCCCTAAATATAAATATCAACTCATACCTAATCCATTTAATGCATCCTTGTTCATAGGGTCGATTTTCCTCACTCTATCAAAAGTATTATAAGCTTCATAATTTTTTGTTTAAGAAAGTAGTAGTTTGCCTACAATTTATGTTAAAAGAAGTACCCTTCATTACTAATTAGTTTGTTATTTCGAGATCTTAAGTTTAGGCTTATATAATATCTTAATTCTGTGTAGAATCATTTATAAAACTATAAAAATCTCTTTAAAATTGTTATTAAGTCTCTAAAGATATAAAATATTAATAACCTTATTGTGAGCTTTCTTTTACTTTAAGTTAATTAACAGCAATTTAAATATCATTTTTCACTTATTTAAGTGAAACAATCACATCATCTTTATGTTAATTAAAAATTAAGAAATCTTACATATAAGAGTCTATTTGTTCATAAGTGAAGAAGTTATTTTATCTTTATTAGAATTTTTCTTGTAAGTTTTTAATTTATTCATCTATGATTTCAATTAGTTGAGATTTAAGAATAAATAAATTGTCAATAATATGTTAACATTTTCCTTGATATACTTTTCTAAGTTCATCTAATTGTGAAATTTCAAAGACTTGATGATCTTTGTGTTTACCTGTATTGATGCATTACTAACAACCTAATCTACTCTCTGTGCATAAATTGTTAAAACAATAATACTTAAGTTTCTCATTATGTTAATCTTCTTTACACGGTATATTTATCATTTATATAAATAAATATAAAATATTTATATGGATTTATTTCTCATTATTATTTATCAATTACTAAATGACATTATGAATTCTGATAAACTTTAATTTGAAGTTAGCATCTCGTGTTAATTTTTTGCAATCCTGGAAAAATTTCAAATTAATTCTTTTGACTTAATATAACCTTTATGTTTTATTTATACATTTAGATTCTTTAATTGAATAGTATTTTTCAAAAAATACTCAATTTGTTTTAGAAAGATTACCTAAATTGTAAAGATTACTATTGTAATTTTTCATTAATAACTTATGCAGATACTAATTTGGTGTTATATTTAGAAGTATTTAGTTTATTGTTCATTCTTTCCTATTTTCTATAAATGATTGTTTTTTGACTTTAATGATAAATAGATATTAAAACTTGAATCATTACTTATTTCAAAAAAGCTTATAGTTTAAATTTCTTAAAATCTTGAAGAAAAATGAAAATTAGAATTGAATTTCTATTAATTCAAAATTCCTTAAGAACAAATTTAGTAAATTAACAACTTAAGAATTACTTAAAAAGTATGCATTATTAATATTTATTGATCATATCTTAAATTGAAGTAATATCAATTAAAAATGAAAGTAAATAATTGATACTACATAATTTAATTGAAATTCGTTTTATCAGGATTTAATTAAAATATTTAATGCATAACTTTTTTGACTCTCAGTACTACGAGATCGAAACATGTTTAGCATCAAAGAAACAAATCGTATTTCTCAAAGTTGAGTCAAATAACTTCCTTAGGTGTTAATTATTGTTAGAAAATACAATTTTAACGTTGAAAAAAATTGGAGAAGAAACAGAAAATTTGGAAACAATAAATATTGCTAACGCATATCTAGAATTTAATGATCATATCTGTATGGGAAGAGGTGTGAGTATTCGATAGAAAAACAAAGAACTTCTCATCTTTGGTCTAACTTCTTTATTAAAGCAAACACTGAAACTTTATGGAATTCAAAAAGATTTTGCTAGTTAATATAAGGTTTTGAAATAAATAGGAAGTGGAAGTTTTGGAAAGGTATTTGATTAATAATTATAAGTAGGTTTACAAAGTAAAGAGTGCTTAAAATGAATAATTATATGCTGTCAAAATGTTCGAGAAATAATTGTTGCTTGATCCTCGAGATAAAAGTGCTATCCTTAAAGAAATCTAGATTTTAAGATTGATGGATCATCCCAATGTTCTATCCATTAAGGAATGTTATGAAAGTGACTAATGTATATTCTTGGTGGAAGAGCTTTTTGACAAGTAAATGGAGATCAGTCAAGAAAATATCCTTAAAGAAGAGAAGGCAATCAATTTGCTATTGAAACTACTAAATGGACTTGAGTACATTCACTCCAAAAAAATAATTCATCGGGATATTAAGCCGAATAATATTTTATTTCGAAATTTTGAGGATCCTGTCATAGCAGATTTTGGGTTGGCAGATTTTTACAGAACTGATGGATGTTACCTGTTTTAGAAGTGTGGTACAAGAAATTATGTGGCTCCTGAGATCATTAGGTGTCAATATTATGATTATAAAGTGGATATTTATAGTTTGGGAGTTGTGTTCCATTAATTGCTCACTGCCTAAATTCCTCATCCTTGGGACAATTTTAAGCATTCTCCAGATTGTTAAGCATTGTTGATCGGAATGCTGCATTCTAATCCAAGAGAAAGATTCTCAATCTCAGAAATAATGTAGAATATCCTTGTTAGACGAGTACTTAGAAGAGGGTAAATTCTTGATGCCATGGGAAGTCTATCTGATATTGCTAAAACCAATTGGAGCACTTCATAAGTTTAGACTAAACCATTCTAACTTTATTCAGTATGAATATAAGTTATTATCGAGTATGATATTAATTAATTATTTTAATATAATAATTGAATAGATCCCTTATCGATTTATCTGAAATTCTACTTATAATAAATATTCAAATCACATAATTTCAATAGCATCATGCAAATCTCCTAATCTAACGGTGAAATAAATCAATTTAGTTTGGCTTAATGAAATTTTAATTATTATGGGCTCTCCGTCATCTATGGTTATATGCAACTCACTTTAAAAAGGCTTGAACTTCAACTCCACATAACTTCCATTATAAAAGCGTTTCCCACACTTAACTTTACTCTAGTTCTCAGAAGTAATGTAACCATGAGAATTCAGAAAATAACATCCTTCTGAATCCTTTTGATACAGTTTTTCTTTGACTCTTTTTTAATCACATATTCCTAAGGCCATAGGATATCTTATATTTTAATTTTAACAGGATCTGATCAATAATTTGAGATTACTATCTCGAATCAAACCATTTCCATATATTGATGGACCAATCAAAGCCAAATTGCCTTCAGTATTTAAAACTTATTTGACCTGCTTTCCTTTAACTTAAGCTCCAATACCATGGTACTCAGAATGAAACTTATAAGATATTTCTCTCATCGGGGGAGGTGGACTAGGTTCTCCAATAATCGGTTTTCCCTATGAATTTGGTCTGTAATATTAATTGGACAAAGATTGAGTAACAGAAAGTCTGTCTTCAAATGGTTAAGGAGACAAGGGAGAACGATCAAAAGATCTCATAGTTCTATAGCCTTCAGTGTTGATTGAGTTATTTCTAATTTGTCTGTAGGTACTACTTGTTCTAGAGGCTTGTACTAATTATGTGTCCTGAATTGAGATTTTTAAAGTGTCCTTAAAATTTGTAAGATTCATCAAGAATTAGGTAATTTATGGCTGTTCTTCTTTTAATTACTCAGTTCTTGTGATCAATTACTATGCTCTAGGGTTGTATTCAAGTTTGAGTAACAATTTTTATATAAGTTAGCCTAACAGCTTTTCCTCATTAATCGATGCCATAAGCTAGTATGATATAATAACTAAATTTACGATGCCAACGTACTTTTATCAAATTTGAGTTGTTATTCAACCAATTCTCGTTGTTTTTAAATTGCCTAATTAATTTGTTCTTGCAATTTATTTAATTGGGCAATCTGCATCTCCGAGTGTTGAGATTGGTGTAGAGTGTTCTTGAAAATGTAGATTATGTAATAGTTACTAACATGATTAAGGATTCTTGTTTTTTAATTAGATTTAGTAATTTCTACAGGGGAATCATTTTGTGACCTTTGTGTCTTTCGTCTATGCAAACTACGCAATTTAGAACTTCTCCCTTCACTATGCAAGTACTATGAAGACAGACCATCTCCAGATGTTCATCTCATAATGTATGGCAACTCATTACCCTTGTGATAACCACCTTATTAACAGTACATTAAATATATTTTTATATACAATCATTTTCCAAATAGTATTTAATGGACACTCAATTTTGTTGAAATCAACAACGGAACTTACCTAAGTAATTCTACAGCTGCAAAAATGATTGCCATTACTATCAAAATAACATATGCTGGCAGAGTGAAAAACAATATGAATCTCAGCACTCCCTAATAACAGAGACAACAACTGATATAAATATTGATATATTGATATGACTTCAAACCAATGTTGAAAACGTATAAAAGTGGTAATAACAATATTGATAATGTTATTGCAAACATAGCTGCTTTTATTTACATATCGGATTTTTTATTTTATACATTTATTCTAGATAAGTATTTTCTATTTCTTAATTTTCTTAATCTCTTAATAAACAAAGCAATATCAATCACTATATACCATTTAAATAAATTTTAATTCTTGAATGTGCTCTTACTTGCACCATTCAGTTATCTCCCCCACCCTTAAAGATATTTAGATGGAAATTTAGAAGTTCTACGTTTTGATCTCAGAAGATAATTGAAACGAATACTTAATCTCCTTTTTAAGTATATAGTTGTTCCTTGACTCAACAATCCCAAAGGAGGTTCTTACATTAAATTATAAATAATATATATCATAATTCTTATTAATAGATCTTTTATTCAATTTCTAGGGTTCTTAATAATTATGGCAGTTACAATATCAATAGCCAAGTATTTATCTGATTCTTCTACATCTTAAATCGCTTAAATCAACTCTTTTCAGTTACTAGGAATTTTATGTTGGTTATTTGGACTTCTGATTAGTGGAAGACTCTCGAAATTTTAGTCATCTGTAAGTAAGAGTATCTCTATCTATCTGTTAGTTTCACGCCTTCTTAAATATTAAAGTTTACTAGCCGAAAATGATTATGGAGATCTTACCAAGAACTTTATTCAAATCTACTTCAATGTAAGCGATATTTTCTAATTTAATATGATTCATTTACAGAGTTATTCATCACTCAATTTAGAATTGCTTTTAATATCATATTTCATTTAGCTTATTTAAATAGAAGGATTAAAATAAGATTGCCTTGATATATANTGCATCTCCGAGTGTTGAGATTGGTGTAGAGTGTTCTTGAAAATGTAGATTATGTAATAGTTACTAACATGATTAAGGATTCTTGTTTTTTAATTAGATTTAGTAATTTCTACAGGGGAATCATTTTGTGACCTTTGTGTCTTTCGTCTATGCAAACTACGCAATTTAGAACTTCTCCCTTCACTATGCAAGTACTATGAAGACAGACCATCTCCAGATGTTCATCTCATAATGTATGGCAACTCATTACCCTTGTGATAACCACCTTATTAACAGTACATTAAATATATTTTTATATACAATCATTTTCCAAATAGTATTTAATGGACACTCAATTTTGTTGAAATCAACAACGGAACTTACCTAAGTAATTCTACAGCTGCAAAAATGATTGCCATTACTATCAAAATAACATATGCTGGCAGAGTGAAAAACAATATGAATCTCAGCACTCCCTAATAACAGAGACAACAACTGATATAAATATTGATATATTGATATGACTTCAAACCAATGTTGAAAACGTATAAAAGTGGTAATAACAATATTGATAATGTTATTGCAAACATAGCTGCTTTTATTTACATATCGGATTTTTTATTTTATACATTTATTCTAGATAAGTATTTTCTATTTCTTAATTTTCTTAATCTCTTAATAAACAAAGCAATATCAATCACTATATACCATTTAAATAAATTTTAATTCTTGAATGTGCTCTTACTTGCACCATTCAGTTATCTCCCCCACCCTTAAAGATATTTAGATGGAAATTTAGAAGTTCTACGTTTTGATCTCAGAAGATAATTGAAACGAATACTTAATCTCCTTTTTAAGTATATAGTTGTTCCTTGACTCAACAATCCCAAAGGAGGTTCTTACATTAAATTATAAATAATATATATCATAATTCTTATTAATAGATCTTTTATTCAATTTCTAGGGTTCTTAATAATTATGGCAGTTACAATATCAATAGCCAAGTATTTATCTGATTCTTCTACATCTTAAATCGCTTAAATCAACTCTTTTCAGTTACTAGGAATTTTATGTTGGTTATTTGGACTTCTGATTAGTGGAAGACTCTCGAAATTTTAGTCATCTGTAAGTAAGAGTATCTCTATCTATCTGTTAGTTTCACGCCTTCTTAAATATTAAAGTTTACTAGCCGAAAATGATTATGGAGATCTTACCAAGAACTTTATTCAAATCTACTTCAATGTAAGCGATATTTTCTAATTTAATATGATTCATTTACAGAGTTATTCATCACTCAATTTAGAATTGCTTTTAATATCATATTTCATTTAGCTTATTTAAATAGAAGGATTAAAATAAGATTGCCTTGATATATACTAAATACGTGCATTTGATAAGAGTTTAGTATATTATGTCTTAATAAAAATCTATAAATTCTATATATGAGAATTGGATATTTTATAAGGTAATGGTTATTAGTGGTTATGTAAGTGTTATTAACTAGTTCTCAAAGTTATTAGATCGCCACTCTATTCTATTTAATTGCGATGCGAATAATGATAAATTAAATCTTTTGTAGGATTTCTTCTAAATATAGCCAATCTTATTAAGAATGCATACTTATTTGTTTAAAGAGTATCCTCTTGAATTATTAGAAACTTGTAGGATTATTGCCTTTAGTTTTAATTAATGAGATTGTTATTTTGATTTTCATATAATTCTTGAAATATTGAATTTAACTATCTATTCTACTTTTGATCAATTCCGAATCTAATTCACTTTTATGGTTTGATGTAAGTTGAACAATGTTCAGCAATTAAATGATCATTTATCTAACTTAAAATGTTAGGAAATTAATTTATTACTGTTGATCGAGATATTATGTTCAATTTATTAAAACTATATTATTGTGATGATTTCCTCATATAGATTTTTGATCTGATTTACAGTTCAAGAATTTGAGGCTGATTTCCAGATTTACATTATTGAGAATGTAAATTGATAGTCAATGGTTCTATTTATCGGAATATTGATTTATTTTAGCTTTGAATTTGGAAAAAATGCAGCCTTCTTGATTACTAGAAGACCTTCCTAAAGGATCTGCTTATAATTAATATCTATCTATTTTAATCAATTAGAGTGAAGTGAACTGGCAATAGATACTAATTGAATAGAAACCTGTGATTGATAGATCATAGTTCTTAGTTTGAGAGTCATAAAGATTATTTAATTGGATTTCTATTTCAAATGGAGGTTGCTCAAATTAAGTAATTCTTGATAAATGTCGAATTGTTGAGGTGAATATGGAGGCCTCTTTGTATGAGAGTGAGCATTAAGTAAGAAAAAGAGAGTATTTAAAAACTCTGTTTGGAGGTTAAAGGGAGCTGATTTAAGGTCTGTGTTTGATAATTTAAGTAAATTATTATATCACTTTTTAGTGGACTTCTTATCTTTCTTCTTTGAAATGGTTTTTTTGATGGGCTTATTTTGTAAATTAGCTAATGTGTCTTCTAATAGTTTGATTTTGGCATCCTTTTCTTCAATTATTTATTTCAGCCCTTCAATTTGATCCTAATATTCAGCATTCTTGGCCTCCATCTCCGCCACACGATTTCTCAGCTCTTTTAGAAATGAAAGTACTTACATCGTCATTCTCTTAATAACACTATTCCTGCAATTACTTACATATATGATGTGGGTCCATTTATTATTTTTAAATTATATAAAATTCCGGGCAAAAATATTTATATTGGAGAAAACTAAAAAGAATATAAGTAATAAGAATATATAATTCATAGATACTTAAATAAGATTTTTTTAAGGGCTTTCTATTCAACAGGCTTTTGTAGGTATGCCGTCATTCCTACTTTTAAACATTCTTGCATCTACTCTTCTGAGTCATACGCCGAACACCCAATAATAGTTGTAGATGCTCCCAATTCAGCACACAAAGTAATAATAGCTTAAGACACTTAAAATCCATTCATAATTGGCATTTCTAAATCCATAAGAATAACCTTATAGAATTCCTGATTATGCTTGATTCTTTCTTTGCATTTTTGTATTGCTTGATACCCATTCAAAGCCCAATCGACAGCTGTGTCTTGAATCATCCGTGCAATCATTTCTACATTTAATTACACATCGTCCACAATCAAAATTTTAGGATCTCCAATCGAAACTTTAGTTGATGCTTTGATATTTTAATTTTTGGTTATAACTCTCAATTATTAAGGTTTGTCATCATCAGGAATGATTAAAGAATTTTATTCTGAATTTTCACTTTCCTAATTACGTTCTTCTAAATCATGAAGCGAAAAGGTCTATTGTACATCACAAATTTAGATTGTAAAATAAAAAGTAGATCCTTTATTGATTTGAGAATGAAGTTTTAATCCATTTTGTATGTCTCCATTGAGATTTTATAAGATTTAGTTGCTGATCAATAATCCTAAGCCAACACCTTTTGTGTTCATCTTCTTACTCTCCTCACTACTGCCTTTAGCGAAAGCTTTAAATAATTTGACTTTATCATCATCAGAAATACCTATGCCTGTGTCAATAACAGATATGGTGATTCTCTTTCTATCCGAACCTTAAGTGACTTCCAACGTGATGCTCCCTTTTTCAGTGAATTTAAAGGCATTTCCTATTAAATTCATAATGATTTATTTGATTCTGTTAGAATCTTGTTCTATAATCTTAGGAACATGAGCATTGTAATTCAAAGTCAAGACTATTTATTACTTTTCAGCAGTGGCTGAGAATAACTCCAGACAACTCTTCATCATGTTCTTTAGATTGAACTTTTATTTGAGAGCTGTAAATTTGCCTTCTCTGATTTGTGCTAAATCTAGGAGATCATCAGAAAGATTCAACAGTTATTTGGCTGTATGCAAAGCAATCCTCACATGTTTATGGATCTCCTTATCCTTCTCACAAAAGATGGTCTCTGATCGATTTCTGCATTCATCTTTGAGACTCTCATTCAATTGATCTATAATGCAATTCAGAGGAGTTCTGTATTCATGACTCACAAAGGCCAACATCTTGGATTTCTAATTGCTGTAATTCTTCAAAGTTCGAATGTAATCTCTATGAGTTATGTCTCGAGCAACTATTAAAATGTAAGGACAATCGTTGATCAATGTTATATACAACTTAATTTCTATTTACCTTCTTTTTTGTTTCTCTGATCGAATATACCCCAATACCACTATGTGTTCCTACACATGAGTAGTCTTCATCAAATTCTGGACTTCCTTTCTTTGGATTTGCTTCTTCATGCACTGCATCTCTTATTCAATTACCTAATAATTATTATGATCTTCTTACGCAACAATCAGTAATAAAAGTATCCTGAAGTTTCAATGTATCTTATTTATGCTATGTTTAGGCTCTAGGCAATGGTCTCTCCTTCAGCTACTATTATATCACAGTTCCTGATGACTTATTTTGAGATCTAGCTGCACTTATGAATTATGTCTTCTGAGTAGGTACAGGCTGAAATGTTGAAAACGAACTCATCGATTGCTTCGGTTGCTCTATTGATTATTTCTCTGCTTACTCCACAACCTGTTGCTCCTCCAAACTATATATTGATTGTAAAATTGATTGCTGACTTCCCCCTTAAACAAAAATCTTTTTCATATTCTCATTGCAAAACTAAACATCATCGTTTAATGCAACCAGTGCTATCCCCTAAGGAAAAAAACTCAGCAATTCCACCTGGTAAGGATCGTTTTTGGGAGTTGGAGGCTGACTGTCAGAATGAAAATTGCGATCCTTTGACATCCTGTAAGTAGAGTGATGATTGCTATCCACGAACAAATTTTCTTAATTGAAGTTAAAGTTTCCATAATGTTTAGGTTAGTTGATCAATTATGTCAATGTCTTTATGCCTATCGATACACAAGGTAAATAGATTTGACTTATTTCATCAGGCATAAATAAAAATAACACAAGCATATCTGCTCCTACCGAGTACATTATTATTAACCATTTGTTCGTGAATTCATTCTCGAATATTAAAGTCTATCCAATCTACATTACACACATGCAGGAAAACAGATTTTTCTAACTACTAAAATACAGAACTGTCATGTATCCCAAATATTGTATGATTAGTAACACTTAAAATTAAGATGCTCCAAAATACTCCCTGGCCATACGAGCGAATTGCAATAATAACACCGCAAACAAATAGTAGTATTCATCTGAACCAAAAATGCATTGAAGAATCAAAAGCAAACTCATTAATAGTATAACAAGCTGACTTTTAATTAAGTTCCATAATTTTCCCATATTAATTAATTTTCTCAATTAACTCTCCTCTCTTTGACAATACTATTATTATGTCTCACCTATTAATACTATTTTCCTCAACAATAAACTTCCTAATTTCTGAAAATTCAAAATCAAAGATAAGACACTTTGCAGTTAAAAATAACAAATTCACATAAATATCAATAAAAACAACACATACGCTAAGCAAAATTCAGAACTTTACACATCTTATATTACATAATTACAATTTATAAATAAACTCTAATATACTCACAAATCATCTGTCTTATAATGTATCTATTACTATGCTGCTTTTTGAAAAATAAACCATTCTATTAAATGGCTTTTCAAACAACAATTTTTAATATTTATATCACTTTTATGCACCTACTAATTAACTCTGTACTCATCAATTAAATTATTAACAAGAATATTTAAATAAAGCAAATATATTTTGCATAATTAAATTTATTAAATAATTAATTTATAATAAATAATTTTCTTATCGACTATTATCATTTATTCTGATTCAATTTTAGATTACATAGTCCTAAAATAATTGAGATGTATGTTAATTAACGAGAGGTAGTACTTCTAAAGTCTATATTGATATTATTGATAGAAAATTTATGAGTATCATGTCATTTAAAAATGCTAACCTAGAATATACATGGATTGCTAAATTCTGAATCAAATTAAAATTATTGATGAAATCCCTTTAACTTTTTTATAATATTTATTGTTTTCTGTAAAAGAATCTCCATATTATTGCCATTTAAAAAGAAAGATATTATCAATTTTTAAATGATATATGAATCAAAACATTATGCTTCCACAAAAAAAATAACATCATTTTCAAGCATAAAAGTTTTAATAAATTCTCAAATGACAAAAAAATGAATAGTAGTTTTATGATTTTTAGTTGCCAATTCATAAAATTACAATACTTTTCATAATGTCTATTGAGAATGAGACACTAATTTTATATTAAGATAAACAAAAATATAAAGGTAACGTACAAGTTTTATCAATATAAAATACACTAATGTACATTACTTCAGGCTCTTTTTTTTGCAATAATTCTTTAATTTTACATAGCTGGTGACTTTACAGATGTCATCTTGTTTTCTTCATCTTTATAATATTGTGAAACTCTTTTGCGTTAAGGCCCATCCTTTTTGAGTATATTACTGTTCGATAATGCTTAGGCTGCGTATTTATCTTGAGAATTGACTCGCACTCGTTCGTCTAGCATTTTAAGATTATTTCTTTGGTATTGTTGCTATGGGACTTAATTTCTTCCTATTGAATAATTCATTTATTCATTATCTCTAAGAGAATTGACTAAATATTATTATTCTGGACTTGGTCTTCTGTAGATATTACAATATTTATTGGCTATATATTAAAAATGAGAGGAATCCTAAACAAATATGAAATGAACTACTTTAAGATGATTGCGTTGAGCTGATTATTATGGATTGTATTGAATTTATTATTATTGCTGTTAATCTTAGATTCTGGCTAGGTTAATTGTTGATAAAGGTACAACCTTTTTCAAAATACACTATTATTATTTATCCTTATTTTTTAGCAATTAATTCATAAGATTATTTTTGGCTGGACTTCGACTGCAAGAACGTTGTTCTAGATGTTATCTACGAATAGATTGCCATTGCATTTCAAGATTTTCGATAGCCTTGATAATTATGAGTAGCACTTTACTTCATTCAATTAACTACGATTGCTCTGAGGTGTCAATGTTATTCTTATTTAATCAATATTTAAAGTACTCTTCATTTTTGTACATTTTAACATGCATACGTTCTTGTGGCAATTAACGTAATTAACTCAGACTTAAATTCTACGCATAGAAAGTATTCATGGCTTAACAGTTAAAATTTAATAATAAAATGACATTTAATCAACAATGATTATTGATTCACTGCAAATCTATATAACAAATTTAATTATTCTTTAAGTTAACATACTCAAAAAATATGGATATACATGAATCCATATATAATTTAGATTTCTATGGGAAAATTGTAATCACAGGTATCTACTTAATCGGTTAATATAAATTACTTAAAGACATCTCAATCCAATCATTATTTACACATTTGAACTTATATTAACTTCTAAAACAACTGATGATTAAATAATTTCTTATATAAATGAAACAATCAATTGTCTTTCAATTTATAAATCCACATCTTTTTTATATCATTCTCTTTAATACTCTAGTATTCTTAATCATATAGCTCTACTTCACTTTATGAATAGCTTTGTGTCTTCTCAATGTATCTCTCGTATATATGAAGTATAATGATGACGAAAATCATATAACCTTCACACAAGTAATTCTAATTCTTAGACAAATGATAATTAAGCAGGATAATATTGTTGTTTTGATTTTGATATTCAATTTGCTTGATCGTTATGGATTTGAAACACAAGATTTTATATAAGAAAATAATAGTTTTGTAGGTTAGATGACAACATTCATAAATATTAATAATTGAGTTGGTTAAATGGGAAATTGTTAGCAGTGTAATGATTCCGCCCAAAATAAGACACAAGAGATATTGACTATAAGGTCAACAAAGAGTAAACAAAAAATTGAAAAGAAGTTAGACAAATAAGAATCAAAAGGACTGATTAAAATACAAGCGTATTTCAGAGGCTATTTAATTAGAAAGTATAATCTTAATTTCACTTAGAAAATTTCATTCTAAATTATCTAGATCAACCGCTCAAAAACAAAGTTCTTCAATTTTAGATTAAAAGAGTTCTCATAATGGTTTGATTATAGAGAAAACTTCATAAATTAAAAAGAATACTATTTAAATACAATAATCCTTGAAAAGATTGTCTCAAAAATAGGATGATAAGCAAGAAAGCAATGTAAAATAGTTTTGCAATGCAGATATTACTTTACACATAAATAGGGACATTAAAGATGATGCTAGTTCCTTTTCAGAAATTAGCAGACCTCCAAGTACTCCTATAGCGATATCTACAGAAATGAATGGGTTATGTTACATACCGTTACAAAAAAAAGACTAATTATTAGTCGTAAACAAGTAATAGCAGAAATGCCCTTGCATCTAACTCTAAAATGGATGTTTTTATGAGGGTTAATGGAAGAATGGAATGATGCATGGTTTTGGTAAGTATATTTTATCTGAAAATTCATTCTACATAGGAGATTTGTTTGAAAATAAACCAAATGGTTAAGGCACATTTTAACATTCTAATGGAGATTTATTTTTAGGTACTTGGGTTGATGGACAGGTTTAAGGCAAGGGAAAGTATACATTCTCTAATTACACGTATTATGATGGCGAATGGTAAAATGATCTACCAAATGGACATGGAATATAAACGTATTCTGGGGGTTGGACATATGAAGGTAAATTTGAAGTGTATTCCAAGGCTAGGAAGTTTTATAGATGGATTTAAAAGTGGGTTGGGCAAATTGGTATATCCAGATGGATCTATATATTAAGGAAGATTTGAAAATGATTTGATTTCAGGATTTGGAACTTTAATCTTCTTTGATGGAAGAATATACACTGGAGAATGGAAAAATGGCTTTAAAAATGGTAAAGGAGTCTTCGAATGGCCAGATGGAAGAAAATATGATGGCCAATATGTGAATGATTTGAGAGAAGGATATGGTGTTTTAATATGGCCTAATAGTTAATAATATTTGGGATTTTGGAAAGCAGGACTTTAACATGGAAATGGATAAATTATAAAATCTAATGGAAATATTTTTAAAGGTTAATGGATTAATGGAAAAATTGCTAATAAAAAATTAGGAGCCAATACTCCAGCGAAAGTAGTTAAGCTCACTAATCATTGATATAATATTCTTGTTAATAATCTTATTATCCAAAAAAAATCACTTTCCTGGTTGGCTCTTTATTTTACATTCATCTTGAAATAAGATAATACTTTACCAAATTTAGACTTGCACCAATCATCGTTACGATCAATGGCTAAGGCTTCGCTATAAAAATTCATAGCCTCTAAAAATTTCTTTTGTTGTCTTAAACAATCCCCTAATTGTATAAATTCTATTTTACCCATTCTAACTAAAGATAAGGCATGTCTGGGATTTATTTACAATGCTTTTTTCAAGTATTTCATTGCATCATCAAATTTTCCAAGCAATCTATAACAATCACCTATTAAAATTGTTTAACATTAATATAATACCCAAACCACTTATTGATTCTAAATGATTTTAATTTAATTATAATGCTTTATTATATTACTTTATCGCCTCCTCATCTTTCCCTTATATTCTTAAGAGATCAGCTATTAAAATTTTATTAATATAAATACCCAAACCCCAAATTGCATCAATATCATTTTTGTCTTAATTTAAAAATCTTTCAAATATTGGTCTAGCATCTTGAAATTTTTTCAATTTTCCTAAACAAAGAGCTAAAGTTGTCAATTAGATTTAATACCTTTGCCGATCAAGGCTTGTTTATTGTTCTTATCCAGTTCAAGTGTAGCTTCATAATATTTTAGTGCATCATCATATTTAGATCTTTCTCTTAAGCAATCCCCTAAATATAAATATCAACTCATACCTAATCCATTTAATGCATCCTTGTTCATAGGGTCGATTTTCCTCACTCTATCAAAAGTATTATAAGCTTCATAATTTTTTGTTTAAGAAAGTAGTAGTTTGCCTACAATTTATGTTAAAGAAGTACCCTTCATTACTAATGAAATTTTGTTATTTGGATCCAATATTAAGGTTTAATTCATAATATCTTAAGCCCCCATAATATTGTTATTTTCGAATAATTAAGTCCCTAAAAGATATTAAATATTAATAAACCTTAGTTTTATAGATCTCTCACTTTTTATTGCATTTCAGGAGGAGCTTAGTAATGCAAGCTTTCTTTTACTTCAAGCTTATAAACAGCCTCATTAATATTATTTTTTGCTAATTATAGAAAAGCAATCACATCATTATCTATCATACATTTATTTTAATCAAAATCTAGGAGCCCTTACAGATAAGATTAGAATTGATCATTAGTGAATTGACTTAAGTTATTTGGTTCTTATTAGAATTTTTCTTGTATATTTTTAATCAATTCATCAATGTTTTCAACTAGTTGAAATTTAATAATATATAAAATGTCAATAATTTCTTAACCCTTCTAATAAAATTCTTGTACGTGTTGACTCACATTTGATATTCTAAAAACTTTATGACCCTCATGTTAATTTGTGAGACAGTTAAAACATTTTAATCTATTATCCTTGCAGCATTTGTCTAGACAATAATATTCAATTGTCTCTGAATTATGTTTAGCTACTTTGCAAGACAATTAAATCATAGAAATATCAAAGTTTTATTATAAATAATATGAAATATAAAAAATCAACTTAAGTATTTCTAATGAATTTATATTATCTCATTTCTTATTATTAATAAACAAAAATGACTCTAATGATTTTCGATAAATCTAAATGAAATATGTTTTTATAAAACTCATCAAATTAATATTGTTTGTGATAGAAATAAAATATAAATTAGAAACGAAATTCGTATAATAAATGGTAATTTTGATTAAATACTCGGATATCTATGATTGATTTATAACTTTCATTAGCTCTTTTTAATTATTTGACTTAAAGAGTTATCAATTTCAATCTTACATTTAATAAATGTAAATTACCATAATTATAATAAATATAATATATAATTCAAGTAAATGATTAGTCCTATTGTTCTTCCTCTATTGTGAAAAGATTGTACTTGGTGTTACCTTACTTTGTTGGTTCTTCATCTATTTTGAAACACAAAAGATCCTCAACTTCTTTAGTTAAGATCTCTATCTCATGATTTGGTGGTTCCTAATCTTCGTTGAGTAAAGCTAATATCAAATTAAGAATATATCAACAATAATGTACTTTGCATTCTTTCCTAAAAGCTTTAAATCTCATCCTCATTCTAAATGTTGTTCCATCTTTATTCGAAATCCTATTTACAAAGTTTCAGTCATTCTTACTTATTTATCTTGTAACAAATCACTCTATTACTATTTACTCTATATCTTGTTCTATTTCATTTTCTCTAATCTCTAACTTATATCTTTTATGTCATCCTCTAATTGTTGCTTCTCCCTCAGTAACATGTTCTCACTATCTAGTTTCTTCAATTTCAACTTCGGCTTCTTTGTTTCAATCTCCAAACTCATGATTTATTATCTCAGTTTATCCAATCTTATTATTTTTATACCCTCTTCCTCTCTCGTATTCTTCTTTTATCTATTACTCACTATTTATCCCACTTATCTATTTCGATTACTAAACATCAATTATTCAATTCCTTGTTCCATTTTCAAATTATAACAAATATATATTATATATTAAATGGCCATTTTTCATCATCTACTGTTCCTTGCATTTCCCATGATTGTTTTTGCTGCCTAATCCAAAATTGAAGGCAAGGTATTGTATTGTAATGCACTCTCCTTTATTTTTTAAAGAATTACAAAGAGAATTTGTACAGGATGATCCAATTCTCAAAGTAACACTCAATTATGGATAATACGAAACATACACCTAAAAAAATGGGATCTTTGCATTGTACACTGTTCAACATTATTGTTAGTTATAATATTCCAAATGGTAGATACTTCTTAGAGATTCATTCTAAATATTTTGTTTATGAATCAGCATTTATTGATGTATACACAAGCAATAAAGGTACAAATGTTTCTGTGTCAAAAATTCACCCAATATCAAGATAAAAGCCTAAATAACAATAATAAACTAAATAATAAAGAATACAAACAAGGGATTCAATGCTATTTGAGATCATCTAAAGAAAAGATTACTTTGAAGTAATTGCGTATAAAATATTTCAATAGAAAGAGGATGAGTTGAGCTTATCATCAATCTATCAAAATTAGTATTTCTTCATGATTGCAATAACTATTGCAATGTTATTCTTTGTTAAAAAAATGCCAATAGGTAAAAGTAGATTTAATTAAATACACTAGAGGAATTACAATCAGCAGAAAGAGCTCCATAATAATAGTGATTATTAATATTGTATATATATAAAACGATGGATAAATAAATAATAAAATTTACTTATAATTCAATTAATTATATTGGGTTCTTCTTTGACTTATAATTGTGAAATATTTTTGAAGTTCTAAATTAATAAAGATTCTAGGTTACTTGAATCATCATCAATAATTAGAAATTAATTAATTTTTATTGAGCCAATTCTCTTTAGCAAAGTGCTAAAGCTATCTAAGCCCCATTATTATCTAAATTTGGAGAACTCATCACGGGGAATATCGGTTAAATTTGTGGTATTTAAGGTTTCTATTCTGGAGATATTGCTCTCATTTATTAAGGCTATTCTAGGTTATACATAGATTAAATCTTTCTAGGGGAACTATTTTCTCCCGATTCCTATTTGGTCTTATTCCTTTCTCTTGTTTTTTTCTTTCCAATTCTTCCTTCCTTTCTATAAGTTTGCAATATTGCTTTTGCAGTTGAAAAATTAACACCAAACTCTTTAGCAGCATCCTTTATTGTAGCCTATTTCGAAAGTATACGGCGTAGTAATTGAATACGAATTGATTAATCAATTATGGCATATTTTTTGGAGTCCTTATTTTTATGTTCTTCAGGGTTTTACTCTTATCTAAAGATAACAGATGAATATTACGATTCAGGCGTAAAACTATTTATACTCTCCTCTTCAGAATGTATCATTGAAATTTTATAAATGAAGATAAAATTATATAAAGTATTCAGGATCTCACTTTAAATATTTTGACAAATTTTCAAACTACAGAATAAACTAGATATTTGTATTTTTCTATTTTATGCAAGTATCAGACTTAATGAGAATTATGTTTAAAAATTATCAACGTCAATACTAGATTTACTTAGTACTCCATCAAATATACTCTAGACTTACTTATAACATTGGCATTTTAAATAAAATCAATCTAAAAAATCGAAAATCTCAATGGTAATTCTAAATAGAGTTATATACAAAATGAATAGATTGGAATTTTTATAATTTGGGATTTTCAAAATATTTACTATTTTATTTAATAAGGTTTAATGAATTTTATTTATTACATAATCAATTAGTATTAATTGAGGTTGGAATAACATTTCAAGTTGATCCGCCCTTCAAAATGAGGTTACTCCTTAGTGAATTATGTAAATGAATAGGATAATTAAGTTACTTCATTTGATAAAAAGAAATGCGTCTATTTTAAAATTGTGTTCCTACAAGCATCCTTGTTGTCTAATTGATAAATTAGAAATATAAATTAATTAATTTTAATAAAAAGAGGCATAGATTGATTTATGTTAATATTTATTTTTATTATTTATACTTTTATTCATTTCATCTTAATTAATATTGCAAATATATATTAAACCAATTGATTTGAAATCAATATCTTTCAATATTCTTTCTAAGTTACTTTTTCTATAATTGAATAAAAATAATTTATTAGTAAACAATTTAATTTCGATATTCTGAAAATTCAAGACTGCATCTATTAGAGGCTGTGATATGAAATATTTAATTTTGTATATTGATAACTTAATTTTTCATCTGTATGTATAATAATATCCAAGAATTGAAGATTTTGATATTCAGTACTCAATTCTTTGAACAAAATTGATTATATTTGAATGCACATCTGTGATAATATATACCATTTACTTTTTGATTTTTATTAATAAAATTGTACTATTAATTAGTTTATTGCAATTAACTGGTTTAAGTCAAATTGATTATTATTTATATTTATAAAATTGATAAATAAATAATAGTCAATTCAATTTGAATGTTTAGTTGAATTTATATTAGGGAGATTGAATATTAGTAAGAGTTTTTGCCTGTTTAAATGAAAATCCATTTGTTTTAGTTGGAGTAGAATGAAACCTATAACAAGTTGACTCTTCATCTATTTGAGTTAACAATTTAGTAACTTTAACTCTTGATTTTAAAGTTGAAGCAAACTTCTCAATACTAAAGCCAGTCAAAGTATTACTTTTTCTCTTATGTAATACCTAATCCTTTGCAAGATATTTAAGCACTGATTTATCTTAATAATTGATTTCCTTCTTTAATCCAGTAAACTATTACTCATTGTTATCATCCTCCAAAGTCTATTTATAATTGACCTATTAGTATCGATCACTTGAGATTTTATTATGATCATGATGTCTCTTCAATCTAAGTATCATTTTTTTGAATTGAGGTGATACGAATGATTAAACTTTCCTATTCTCCTACTCATCCTTCAATTACAATATTGGTAACTATTCCTTCTATTCATACTTCTCATTCAAATAACGCAACAACCATTTTGCTGATAATCCATGTTCTATTACATCTACAAATTATTTAATTGGAATCCTAATTATTTTGGAATCACTTTTAACTATTGATATAGTTCTTCTGATCAATTTATGTTTGTATTTCTTATTTAAATACAATTCATAATCTCCAACAATTTGTCCTATTCCAAATAAACCAATATTTTTGATTCTCTGTTACTTCTAGAAATTTACAAAGTATTTTTGTTCTTGAATCTAAGCAGCTGCATTATCAACTAATTCTTTAATCTGGACCAACACTTCTCCCTTAATCACTAGATATAATGCATCTGCATTCTATTGTTCTCTATATAACAAACAACCTCCTTGTATATTGAGTTCTTCATAATTGTGTAAGATCTATTAAAACTGTTATTCATTCAATAAACTAAAGGGATACATTCTAGCTATCACCACTTGTCTTAATTACAAATTATCTGCCTATAATTCGCTTAGTATTGATTAATATGCATCAAAAGTTATTATTGCCAAAGTACAAGGCTCTTTAGCAATTACAGTAGCTGTGCGAGGAATCCTTTGCTCAATTGCTATTTCACCGAAATAGTCATATTATTTTTTATAGGCTACAACCCTATAGTTTGAAAATCTATGCATAATCAATTCATCGAATGTCTTTGTGCCCCCTAAATAAATCTATGAATTTACGTCTTCTTTTATTATCCTCTTTTAGAACTATCTCATTTTGATCATCTGTCTTTATAAGCACAGCCACTTCCCCTTTTAATATGATATACATTTTTCTCCCAGTTTCTCCCTAATTAAATACTACATTAAATGTAGTAAATTATTCTAGAGAAATTGTAGCCATTAGTTTAATAAGGATTTAAGTAGTTAGCTTATTACGTAATTATGAAAAATAATGGACATTTGATTCGAGAGTATCACAAAGAAACTTCAATTGTTGCCAAGTTCTTTATTTAGGTTCAATTTATAACGTAGCAATTAGTACATCAATTTCAGACAGGTGCTTTCTTTACCTATGTATTTAAATTTACTCGGGGGACTCATCACTATCATCTGAACTTTATTCACCAGATATTAGACTTAAATTCATTTTTATAATATAATTTTATTTCTTATATCAATTATTTGTCTTGTGTTTTGCCTTATGAATTCGATTAATCAAAACCTTCTGCTCTCAATAAATGGGTTAAACTCTATATTCAACTCTTTTTGTTTTGGGATGTTCAGATTATTCCCCAAATTTATCTTTCAATTTAAATAGATTATTCACTTTTTATCGCTAAAATTTCTCAGTATATTAGAAACATCTTTTTGAAATATATTTTAATTTACATAGTCATCCTCGTTTGTTGATATTTCCTATTTCTAATAGACTGTATTCACAGAGAAAATACAAAGAACTAAGAGCTCCAGTAATTATTTAAAATGAAATACAACAAATTGATTTTAATTATATAGCTCATTTTATTTTCTGATATAAAGACTTTGCAATACTTTATAATATATTTTAATCTTTATTGCAATTGCAACTTCCTTCCTTATTGCCACAACCAAAGCAAAAAGAGTATTTGCACAAACAATGTAATATTTTTTCATAATCCAATTACTTAACCCACAATTAACACTTTGGACATTCCTTGTAATTATCACCTATTTCAAATTTAGGAGTTTAGATATCAGCTTTACATTGATTGATTGGGTGATTCTGTGATTAACATTTTAAACAAAATTTCTTTTCGCATTTTGAACATCTATAAATTTCTTGGCCAATATATGAAAACTAATTTTTGCATTGAGGAGTAGGACAACAGGAAGTCTTAAAATTTTTGTTGGCTTTAAATTAATATTCGATATCCTCTTGCAAGGTGGATTACCCACATATGGGACATATAAACCCAATTTTAATATTTATTCCTTGGGCCAATACATTATCCACACATTATTTGTGAAATTGATGTTAGCAGGCAGCGTTAAATTTGTTTTCAGAATTCTTTTCAATATTTTAGGAGCAAATTTTACAATTATTCGTTTATTATTTTAATTGTTATTTTTAGCATTGTTTTTATACACTCAGGAGGATTTCTTCTAACTGCATATATTTGTAATAGTTTTTACCTTCTCGTTCCTATTGAGTACTCTATCAAATATCTCATCCCTAAGGAAAGGGGAAGAAAAACTCAGATCTATATCACGTTTCAAATTTGATAGAGATTCAACTATTTAAACTATATTTTCATGGTTCTAAAGGTTATTTCTCCCTATTTCAATCCCAATAATCAAGGCATCGATAAGCAATTCTACCCCTCTCTATTCTGTGTGTTTGATAATTTCGATTATAGAATAAATATTCATTAATTAATAGATTAATATTTATGCATTCATAATTGACAATAATTCAGATAATCTTAATATTAAAAAATCAATAAATATAATTTAGATTCATAAAATTGGATCTGCAAAATAATGCCTACCAGTGCCATGATAGTTTTATGGTGGTTATTCATTACAAAAGACTTTATCATCTAAACTGTCAAATAATATATTTTACAATCTTATTCTTGTCTATTTTATGCGCAGACTGAATTAACATATTACTTTTCCATTTTACAACCACAATAATAGCAAACCAACTATTACTTCTTTAATTCTTATGAAAATTTATCAACCAATTTACTCCATTCATTTATTTCCTCACTTGCTTGTCTTTCCAATTCTTGTCTATTAATTTATATAGATTTGTAGTTTACTTTATTGTTTCTTCATCAATTTATTTTTCACTTAGTAATTTCCAAATGATTTCATTTTTGAATTCGATCAATTATTATTAAGCAGAGGCCCTTTGTAATTGCAATCTTAATTCAGTAAGTTCTCTTGGTAAATCATATGGGTAAACATCAATTTACACTTTGAATGGTTTTGCAACCATATATTCAATCAGATCATAAATGTTTCTTGATTTCAGAAGGAATGGACAAGGATCAGGAATCTCTTTGAGATCATAGAATTAGGATCCCACTTCATTGATTTTATCCAAATCTCTAAGAATGACAATAGATATATACCTTTATAATTCAGATATCTCATGACTCAGGATTGCCAGCTTTTATCCTTCACTCTATTTTAATCTTTCCAAGACTCCGCCAAATTCAGCTCTTGCATCTCTTTCAATGATGGTTTTGACATATTTAATCTCTTCTATTCTATATTCTATCTAAAAAATGATTAGTTAATTTACTCTATGAATTTATGCTAACAGTTATTCCCTTTTCCCTAAAAGATTGGCTTTTATTGATTCTTCAATTTTAGCACATCGCAATTTGAATGAATCACTTAATCTATTAATTCTATGTAGTTAAGTATTGTGAGGGCCTAGGATGGTGCATTGTTAACAAATTGGATCTTCACATGCTTCACAGAAAAACTGGAATGGGAGATTGTGATGAATGCAAACTTTGACTTATGTTTAAATGGGAGGAGGAATAAAGGGATCATGCTATTGATGGTCATCAATTTGAAGATCATGTTATGAATCTAACATTTGAATTGTAGTATACTTTATTATTCCAAAATTTCACCAGGAGGCTATTACTTCTTAGATTTGACACTGCCTGCTTGGGATTTGTCTTATTTGGAAGAGACAGACTTTTTCTTTTTTGGTACAGGGTCCATTTAATAATAATATATTATTCATTTTCTCAATCGTTATTAGTTTAATTTGGGTTTGAATTGAGTATTGGTTGGTTTTAGAGCGAGTTGTAATTTTCGACCAGGAACAGGAGGAACAGAAGTTCTACGACTCATGTCATCTGAAATTTTGATAGGATTGTATTTAGTTTAAATTTGAGTAAGTTTTTAAGTAAATGAAGCATTTGGTTAAGATCTATTGATGGGTTGTCGAGTGACAGACGAACGTTTTCTACTATGTGCATATCCATTCTTAGACTTAATAATAAATGGTGAAATGGATCCAGTGTGTTCATTTTTTTCAATAGCATCAATATCATCAGCTGAAATTCTGGCAAAGCATAAATGTTCTTTTTATTCTTTTAGTAGATCATCTCCAAAAGAAAATTACAATGATTCATTTTGCTTAAGAATCTACACTCAATGAGATTACTATTTACTTCTTTGATGATTGGTTCCCGTGAAAGCTGTTTAATAGCTTGATCATATGCAATGCATGCAGTCTCATCATTGTCTAAAATTATTGTCTATATCTTTTTCATGATACGACTTAGTTTAATACGTACATCGAAGATCTTATCTTGACTTAGTGCCAATATGCTAATGAAATTGTTGAGATGGAAATATCTCTTAGAACATAGATCAATAGTTTAAGATATGAATTCAATGTAACAGATACGCATTCTGAACTTGTTACTGTTCATACACAAGTTTATCATTTGACTGTTTATAGATCTATGACATAGAGATGTTTCCATTACTGATCATGATAAGCAAGATATGCTAAATTCTGAGCTGACAATGTTCTGATATTTTAGGGATCTGCTGACAATAAATTCATCAGGGGAGACAGCAATAACAGATAAGCATCGCATTATTGGAAGAACTCGTGAAGTCTCTGTATATATAATGCAGTTTTACTTTAGTAATTACTCTAATAACATAACACTGGCCTTACAATGAATCTACTTAACTAAGTCTATGAGTATATCATTCACCAACATTTTCTATGTCATTTTAAATAATTGTTACTGATAGAATCAATTGTTCCTGTTAATCATAGCTTGGCCAGAGAGCATAGATTATTGAATATAGATTGTATTATATTATCGGATGATCTAGCATTTTACGAATCATAGGTATCAATGATTGAGTCTTATGAATTTTTAAAGTAGAGATCACATCTGGGATGCTTGCCAGGAGTAAGTTCCTAACTTGAGTCGATGTATCAAATTGCAACAATCGCAAATAAGTTTCTTTTAGTTAGTCATAGTAATCCCCCTTTAAGATTTGGAGAATGGCAGGGAAATTGTAGGCAAAGTTAATTCGATATTCCTCATTTGAGTTTTCAGCAAATGAAATGAACACTTTTAGAAATTTTTAAATATCAGGTTTTACATCCATGATTTCCATTAATACTTTCCCACAAATTCTTGACATTATTGTTATAATTTATACATTCTGGGAACTTAGGAATTCAAAGAATTATTTTGTTATCATTTTTTCCCTATCTTATAAATGAGATTAAACCATAAAAAACATCTCAATTGCTGCCATCCTTACTTGTACTTCATAATCATAAATCAACTCAAAAATCTTCATTGTTATATTATTTATATACCTTCATTTACAAATAAGTACTAAACTTCTCAGGAGTAAAACTACAGTAAACAATCTAGATTGTCTTCACAATCTCAAACCTTACCTGAGGATCCTTATCCATGCAAAGTAATTGTATTCTCTCGATCTACGGGATGTACTGTAGCAATCGAGCTCCTCTCAATCTCCAATATGTCTCTGCCTCAATATCAGTTAACTCATCTATCAATCTTATTGAATTGTGAATGTCACAACAATACAACATTTCAAATAACTCAAACCATCCTTCTGCCAATTTCAAATTGTAATTCTTCATAAAATGAAACGTCTAATTGAGCAACATCTATTGCTCCTACTCTTTCATCTGTTTTGCAATCATCAACAATTCTTTAATAGCTATTGCAATCGTGTCTTCATCTTGCTTCACTAAATCCTCATTGATTATCGGAAATAACAAACTAAATCCGCTCACCTTAAATAGCTTATGGAGGTTCGAGTAAATCTAATTATAATCCATCATACTGCATATTTTTAAATTGGATGACCTCTCTAAAGAATGTATTGTGCTCTTCTCAACTCCCCCATGTTCTCATCCAATGTTAGTTAATTGAGTTCTTCTTCTGTCTGTCATAATAAATTATTTTACATGAGTACCCGATCTCCGTATTTCATTTATTGTGAAATTCATTATTTTATATATTAATCATCAATATATTTACACAAACTAAAATATCATTACTATTCCACTTCCTCATCTTTATAAACTATAAATTTAATTATAAATTAGAGCTAAATCCATTTTTCTTGATCTACTTCTAACAAACCAAAACAACCTATCATTTAGAGCTATTCCTCTCACTACTCCCAAAAGTAACTGAGATTCATAACTTTATCTTAGCACTTTAACAAATTTAAAGAGATAAAAATAACTCCTAACTTTAGTATTTTTTAAAGGTGGCTAAAAAATAAAATTAAGCGATTAGATTTGTACATCTTGATTATCTTTTGCTTTTTCTAATAACTTTAATATAAAAATAAAAATTCAATTATCAACATTTTCAGNCGATATTCCTCATTTGAGTTTTCAGCAAATGAAATGAACACTTTTAGAAATTTTTAAATATCAGGTTTTACATCCATGATTTCCATTAATACTTTCCCACAAATTCTTGACATTATTGTTATAATTTATACATTCTGGGAACTTAGGAATTCAAAGAATTATTTTGTTATCATTTTTTCCCTATCTTATAAATGAGATTAAACCATAAAAAACATCTCAATTGCTGCCATCCTTACTTGTACTTCATAATCATAAATCAACTCAAAAATCTTCATTGTTATATTATTTATATACCTTCATTTACAAATAAGTACTAAACTTCTCAGGAGTAAAACTACAGTAAACAATCTAGATTGTCTTCACAATCTCAAACCTTACCTGAGGATCCTTATCCATGCAAAGTAATTGTATTCTCTCGATCTACGGGATGTACTGTAGCAATCGAGCTCCTCTCAATCTCCAATATGTCTCTGCCTCAATATCAGTTAACTCATCTATCAATCTTATTGAATTGTGAATGTCACAACAATACAACATTTCAAATAACTCAAACCATCCTTCTGCCAATTTCAAATTGTAATTCTTCATAAAATGAAACGTCTAATTGAGCAACATCTATTGCTCCTACTCTTTCATCTGTTTTGCAATCATCAACAATTCTTTAATAGCTATTGCAATCGTGTCTTCATCTTGCTTCACTAAATCCTCATTGATTATCGGAAATAACAAACTAAATCCGCTCACCTTAAATAGCTTATGGAGGTTCGAGTAAATCTAATTATAATCCATCATACTGCATATTTTTAAATTGGATGACCTCTCTAAAGAATGTATTGTGCTCTTCTCAACTCCCCCATGTTCTCATCCAATGTTAGTTAATTGAGTTCTTCTTCTGTCTGTCATAATAAATTATTTTACATGAGTACCCGATCTCCGTATTTCATTTATTGTGAAATTCATTATTTTATATATTAATCATCAATATATTTACACAAACTAAAATATCATTACTATTCCACTTCCTCATCTTTATAAACTATAAATTTAATTATAAATTAGAGCTAAATCCATTTTTCTTGATCTACTTCTAACAAACCAAAACAACCTATCATTTAGAGCTATTCCTCTCACTACTCCCAAAAGTAACTGAGATTCATAACTTTATCTTAGCACTTTAACAAATTTAAAGAGATAAAAATAACTCCTAACTTTAGTATTTTTTAAAGGTGGCTAAAAAATAAAATTAAGCGATTAGATTTGTACATCTTGATTATCTTTTGCTTTTTCTAATAACTTTAATATAAAAATAAAAATTCAATTATCAACATTTTCAGTCGTATGACAAAAATTTAATACTCACATAATTTAAATATTTTTTACTTTTTTATGCAAAAATTGGAGGACTAATGCCAAATCCATGTTAAATGTAACAAGTAACAGGTTTTTCAAAGATTCAAATTCAAACCTCTCTGGATAATTTAAACAGCTTGAATTTGTAAATTATTCGGTCACTAAAAATATTCTTATTATAAATAAAATAGTGACCTTTTGTTAATTAAGTTGAATGAAATTTTAATGATTTGGAATTCTATACAAACTCAAGAGACTATTAATACAGTCTATTATATACAATACCCATTCAGACTTTCTATAGATAATTTAACAATAAAAATGTTGAACTTTGAATATTGTAATTTAATTAAAATGAAGATTAGACTTGAATAAATAAACATATTAACATTATATCTAAATAAATGTTCAGGATTGATCATCATCATCGTTATCTTCTTCATCTTCTTCATCATCATCTTCATCATCATCAGATGAATTTTGTCTTTTCCTTTTTTAATTTGTTGCTCCTGTTGTACCCTCTACCGCCTTAACTGCCTATTCAATGTTATGCAAATCATACCTCTCTATATTTATTTAAATAGAGTTTTAATATATCAACATAACTTTCAAAACCCAATGTGTTAATAGCATACAATAAGTCTTCCCCATTTATTGTTTTCCTTTTCTCATTCTTACATTTTTCGCAAGCCTCTGATGTTATGAATGATATGAATCTATCTATTTAATTATTGCTTACTCTGAAACACATTCTTAAACAGTTTCTTTAGCATCTTTGGCAATCTTTGCATTTTCAGGGAGTGCCTTTTTCATGATTCTGTTTATATTTGCAATGGGCAGAAACCTACTATAGTTTGGTATTTGCCTTCTATAAAATAAAAATTATATTAAACATTAGATTATCATCTTAGATCTCTTATTTTTAATTATCTTCTTATCGAAATTGATTCATCCAATCAGATTTGATTTTAATTTATAATATATATAAAATTAATTAGAATATAATTTTTATTAGGTTTCTATGTTATGCTTCTATTAAATTGCAAATTTGACTAAAATTATCCTAATATTAAATAAATCACAAGTTTTCGAGATCCTTCATAAAATCTTAAAAAGCCTCTTCTGGTTTTTTCTTAATTTGACTTTCTTTTACAATCTATCTAAAATTATTTTAGTTATTAACAATTTATTATTGCTTTATTTATTACTACTAATGATAATATTACTAATGTTATTGCTAATTCTAATTTTATTACTATTATTATAATTGATACTGTTATTGCTATAATTATTATTGCTATTATTGCTATTATTATTATTGTTATTATTGCTATTATTATTATTGTTATTATTGCTATTATTATTATTGTTATTATTGCTTTCTTTATAAATGAAGTGGTATCAAAGGAACTTATTATTTTGTTAGATCAATCTTGCATTTCTTTACAGTGCTCTCTTTTACAATCACATCTGGACAAATAGGCTTTTCTTCTTTTTCTTCATCTGGTAAAAATATTTTTTTCACTGGCTAAGGCTCCACTTCTTCCACCTATGGTTATTATGGAGGTTAAGGTAATCTCTATTCTTCTAAATTCTTAATATAATCAAAGTTCATCTATTCAGTTACTTTGCTAAATGGATCGTAAGTAGAAAATTGTGTTTGGAGCTACTTCTATTTATATCCAATTTTTATTTTAGAGGGATCCATTTTCCCCCCAAATATTTTTAAAACTTCATCTGTAATAATCACTCCATCAGCATCTAAATTAGATCAATAATAATTTTTACTTTTATATATTTTCTCATTAGGCTTTGCTTGGTACTCCAATAATTTATCATTAATCTATGATGCAACTTTTGTTTCATGAGATGGAACATATTTTCTTTTTGAAGGATCCAAAAATGCTCTATTTATTTCAATTGCTTTTTTTGAAAATTCTTAGGAATAACCTGGTACTTTAATTCTTTCGTCTTTTATTTACTCTAAATTGATAGGAGGCTCATTAATAATTGGTTATTCATTTTCTTTAACAATTATTTCTTCTTATTATTCTCCATCTGAATCCTACTATTTTTCAGCATCCTTTTGTTACTTCATTTAAAGTTTCTCTTATTTCATTCTCTCATATTTTTTGTGTTTTTCATGAGCTTCTTTTCGCTTTTGCTGTTTCTATTATTTTAATTTCTTATGATATTTTAAAACAGGATTGAGGCTTTTTTCCATTAATATTTAATATTAAAATATTTAAAAATAAATTTATGGAACTTGATATTTAATATTTTCAAATATGATCACTTTAATATGATGCCTATTATCCTATTAAACTCAATTTAATAATTCCATTGCTGATATTAAAATGAAATGAGAATTAACAAATTAAACCAATCTTTTACGCTTAATTAGATTATATCAACTAGATTAATTCGCTGACTAATAAGAATTCATTATAGAATTATTTTCTAAACCTCTAAACAATAAGCAAACACAATTTAAAATGATATCCTTAGATAATTTCTATATTTTGGCTGTTATAATTGAAGAAATTCTCAAAAATTGAATAAGTATGATAATATCAACACAAAAATTAAGAAATTTTTATTCTTAAACTTCTTTGAGGATTGGCTTCTTCATTTTTCTTACACTAAAAATTTTTTGAATGGTTGAAAAGTAAGACAAATTTGACAAAGGTTGCCGCTCAATCAGAAATTAAATAATTTAGAGGGTCTAATTTAAGGATGATTTCATTCAACAATCTTTTAAGGAGAAGTTTTTGCTAATTTAAATTTATAGATTCACCTCATATTGAATTAGATAAAGAATGATTCTCAGGGAATATTTAAAGATGGAAAAAGAGTATATATTAATAAAGAAATTGTAATTTGAATTTATAAATTATTTATAAAAAATAATAAAAAGTTAAGATTAAAATAATCAATAAATTTAATTTATATTATTATATAGATAATAATAATTGAATTTTTGAGAATGAATTTATGACTTATCATAATACATTATTTTTATAATAAGGATAGAATAATAACCATAATTCCATTAATACTCGTATTTCTTTAAAAATGAGTAATTATGGATAAAGGGTTGGAATAAGAATTGTAGAAATTCTAAATTATAATTTAAATTTTGGTTGAAATTGAAGATTGCTTAATACAATTAAAATTAGTGATATGATAAAACTCTACTTATTGATAAATTCTAATGTTTAATTTAATGAACACTGACTTTTTCATAATTTTTCGGAAATATTTTTTTTAATAAATTCATTGTAATTTGATTACGTCATGGGCTCGGTTGACTAGACACAATTCACCTTCATAAAGCATCGCCACTTTACAAAGAAGAGAAAACTTGAACAAAAACCAAGAAATTACACTTACATTAGTTCCGAGGCTAAGTTATTGTTCCTCCAGCTCTTTTTATTTGAAAGCTATAAAATCCAAGATGTAATGTTTTGTTTAAATTTGTGATTAGGCAGCTAACAAGGCTGGCATAAAGTATTCATCGGCTAAGACAATACTTTTTGCACATCGAAAATCTTTTAAGAATGAGTTGATAAGAAATAAATTGGCCGCAGTATAAAATTAAATTATATTCTTAAATAGAATTCTATAAAGGCAAAATGTTGTGGATACAAAGTTAAATAAAGTGGAGAGCAGGATAATATTCAAATAATTAGTAGAGTTGGAATGTGAATGGGCATTGGATACCCCCCACCTTTAAATTGTATATATATGTGAATAAAATTTTTAATTTAATATTAATTAATTTATCCGTTAACAAAATGAATACTAGATAACCACTCTAATCTTATAATTCAGTAGAGAGAAACCCTGAGAAATCATGCAAATCGATTTCAGAAATCGAGACATTCCTTAAAGAAATAGACAGATTGTAAGGAGAGAATCAGAAGTTGAAAGACCGTCTTAAATAATAACCATCCATATCAATGACTTTGGAAAACCAAAAGGTTCTTGCAGAGAATCAAGACTTAAAAGTAAGATATCAACAGTTATTCGTTAGAATTAATTGGAGTTGCTGTAACATAAAAATGAGGTATAAGAGAAGACCCATGCAGATGCCTTAAGACAATTGGATATCAATTGGAAATAGGATGTGGCTACCTTAAAGTTTTAATTGGAACAATAAGAGATCAACCATAGATAAAATTCAAGATAAGAAATTATGTAATACAAATCCGAGATAGCTAAATTATAACAATCTCTTTCTAAGATTTCTAGTGTGGAAAATAACAACTAGAACCTTGTTCAAGTTTTGGTAATCAGTTTATTTTTATGTTTAGGAAAATGAGTTGATTTAAGTTAAGTAGATTAATAATGGTTTGGAAGAAAAGTTAGAATAAGCTATTTCTTAATTTGACCTCTAATCAAAGGACTAAGAATTTACTTTGATGAAATAACAAACTATTATAAATTCTTAAGAATAATATCTGAATGAATTAAAATAAAAGCTTCAGATTTAAAAGGATTATAATCTTGATTTGTTATCTTCAGTAAAGAAGTTGAAGGAGGTAGCTGACAACAAGACTGCTTAAGCATCCACTTTAATCAGTAGAGTCAAAGAATTGGAGAGTGATTTCAAACATGTTAGTAGTACATATTAGGAACACAAAGCCTAATTGTAATAAAGAGTTGATGAATTAATATTATCTACTGGAAAACAAGCTGAACAAATATGTTTACTTCAAACCTAATAATAAAGAGATCAAGAATTGATTAAGAGATTACAAATCAATTTGGAAAATGAGTAAAAGAATAGAGAGATGGAAGTGAAAGAGATTCAGGAATCTAAGGCAAAGTTAATTCAATTTTTACAATCGGAGTTATTGTAGCAAAAGGAATAGAATCATCAATTGAGAAGTGATAATCAGGTCTTAGATAAATAATTAAAAGAATTGAAACAATTCTATCAGTACAACTTTAGAGATTTAGAATGTAAAACTAACATGTTGGAAGGTGAATGCAATAGATTGAATAACATCATTGCTTAAAAGGATCAAGAATTAGTGATAATAGAAATGTAAATGAAGAGTACTTCCAATTATTAAGAGAAAGAAGAAGAAAAGATTAATGAAGTAATTCAAATCAAGGAATAAGAAATCAATTTATTGAAGTAATAAAATGAAAGTTTGATAAATGATCTGTCAAGATAAGCTGACAATTATAGACATTTGGCTTTGTAGCACAAATAATATTAGAAATTTGCAGAGGATGTCAAAATGAATAATATCACCATTAATGAATTATAAAGCAAGTGTGAATTATAAGATAAGGAAATCGAGAGACTGAGAATGAAAGTTCTAGAAAAATCATAGCAACTTGAAAAAGTACAAAAGGACAATCTTGATTATTAGGCCAAACTCAAAACCAGATTGAAATGATTGTATATACTATATAATAATATAAATATGTCAGTGTCCTAATTGTTAATTAAATTATACCATCTAGTTGCAGATCATAGTGATATCACCTCCTTCTAAAATTTTGTGAAATCCCAGAACTTAATTCAATAATTGACTATCATTATCGAGCATATTTAAAACAACTCAATCAAAAAGGATTACAAAGAATTAGAAAAGTAATTGCAGAAGTATGAATCAGAAGTCAGAGTCCATATTAGAGTAAACATCTATATTACATTTCAGGAATCCTATCTAATGAATTAGAAATATGATGATATGAAAAACTAAATCAAATAGTTAGAGTAAGACAGAGATGAATTATTGAAAAACACAAAAAAGACTATGAATGTATTATTCATTCGATATTTAGTTTTTAGAAACTAAAAAAAGAGAATGAGGAACTCTATCGGAAAGTTAACATCTTCTAAGAAGAGTTAAATTACTACAGACAAATTGAAATATGTACCCAACAGTCAACTAAAATAAGTAATTCCAAAACCATTGAAAAATCATCTAAACTCAAAGACAAACGATTTCATACTAATATTACTCCTCAAAAGACAGCCAATCAATCTTTCGATTATTTAGTGAATAAAAGATTAAGCTAATAGATTGTTCAAAGAAAATAAAGCTTCTAAAAATATATGTCAAATAAAAGAAGATCATGCACTACTGATTTATCTAAAAGTATGTGAATAATGTTATCAATTTATCTTATTAAATATTATATAACCACTTTCTGTCTACACAAACTCAGATTTAAGAAATTTTAAATGATAGATTTTTCAATATTTATGGTTAAACCGTGTTATCCGTAAGAAGATTTAGGGATAGTATGTTAGAAATCCTCAGTAAATCATATAATCCCTTTAATAATAATTTCATGTAATTTTGAAATATAGTTTAAATTTAAAATCATATGAAATAAATTGAATAATTACTTTGATTTTCTTCAATTCATTGATTAATAAGGTTTCTTAGGAAATACACCATTCTAGTTGGTGAAAATAGAATATGATAAATGTGAGAGAAGATTGCAATTTACAAATAAGAAAATCAGTAATTAGCAGAAGCAAAGCTAATCAACTTTAATATATTATTTAATTTAATTATGATATTATAACATTGTAATATATCATTATTCTTACTCTTATTCAATGATAGGATTGACCTTCAATTAGAATTATGATGTTGTATCTACACCCATATAGGAATCACAAATGGCATATATAGTTAAATCATAATCTCCAGCTTCAGGTGCTTAAAATCTAAGATCAACTTTAATGCTCTATTAAAAGGAGACCTTCTTGTTTCCAAATAGCCTATTGGTGTTCCTATCAGCGCATAAAACCCACCATTACTCTTCCTTCTATTTTGGATAATGGGGAGCTATCACATAATCTGTATAAATGTTATCTTGTCTGCTTAAGACTACTTAAACATGGAAGATATCTCCTTGCACAATTTCCTCTTCAGCAATAATATCTGAGATTTCAACAGAAGGTAATCTACTATAAATAAATAATATACCTGTTGCCAGCTTAGGCGATGTCATCAATTTGTTATTATGTGAATTGACTTAAAACTTGAGTTCTATCAGACTCATCCATATCAAAGAAATCAGCCCAATCAGATACCTTCATTGATTTTAATTGTTCAATTGTATTTTTATTAAAATGAGGTAATTGCAATAATACACTGTCATCATCCTTCCAAAGACTTTAAACAATCATCTAGCAGATTTGCATTGATAAAATAGCAGGCTTTAACCAAAGATTTGAGGAAGCAATATCAACCATTGCAGTACTTAATCTGATTGCCAATTCTAAAATAGTTAAATCAGACTTCAAATCAGAATTCAATTTGATTCTGCTGAAATGAGCTTATAATAAAATCAGTGCTTTTGTATTAGGTTCATTTAGTTTTACATTGGTAGGTTAGAAAGGTATCTTCTAAAGTAATTAAGCCAAGAGAATCTCCTCTCCATTTCTAATATTCAAGATTTCAAACTCTTTAGCTTCAGATAAGATAAATAGTAAATCTCTTAGTTTGCTATTGGCATTAATCTTCTCTGAAAAGTTCTTGACTGTTTCAATATTAATATAGTAATAGTTGGCAATAATACCAGAATTAATAGCTTCTAGCTCATTATCCTCTTCAACAGCTATGCATTTACTCTCATGTAATTCATCAATAGTGGTTTCAATTAGTTCACTTAAATAATTATTAATGGCTACTCCATTAATCTCATGTAAACTGTAATAATTTGGATTTTAGGTTAGTCTTCTGTACATAAAAGTCCAGGTGATCCAATCGATGCAATCTTATGTATTGTGAATATTTTTGGCAACGATTTCAGCATTCAAATGATTAGCTAAATTATGATTAAGATGAGATTCTATTGGCATTGGTTCATATAGGAATTTCTTATAGTATTCCTTCTTTGGACTATAGGTAAATACATGACATTAAGAAGTAGTACTTTCAATCATTTCTAGCATCTCAGCAATTGTATAATCAACATATCTCTTGTCTATTCCATCATATTTTTAGTTATCCAAAATAAAGACCTTTCCTTTAAGATTATAGTACAATGCTAATTTGTAGGTGACCACAACAACTCTTAATTCTCCAGAAGATATAAACCTGAGAACTTCACCCTCATCTTAAGGATCCATACATTCATATAGAAATCCAACTGATGCTTGGAGTGTATGTTAAAGATATTAATCCTCTTTGATTGAAAAACCTGATAATGAATTATTATTGTTAATCATAAGTTCTAAAGCACATACTCTAGCTAGTTTGCGATCAGATACATAGATGATATTTAAATCTGTATTTGAAATATTAGTCTTTAATTATTTGATCATCGCTTGAATCCTCAAAGGTCTCTGACATTGATCAAATGATGAAATTTGTATTTGAATATTGTTAGGTCTAACAATAGGTTGAAAATTGAAAGTGTGTTTGCTTCCAATCCATTCACTCATTTCCTTATAATCAGCTACGGATAAAGACAATCCAACTACTCTGAATGGAATTTCCATTGAAATCATTCTCATTCTTGATACTATCACTTCTAATACACTGCCAGATTATCCAAGAGTATGTAAATCATCAGCAATAAATACTCTGATATCTTTGAATCCTTTTTTGGCTCTCCATCTTCTACTAATGATATCCCAATTAATGGCATTTGAGACTATGATATCACACTACTCTAAGATTTTATTGTCACTTTAAGTTTGTCCAGTCAATTTTCCTACTTTTAAAGACATAGTTTTATTGAATATTTAAAGGAATTAATTGTACTTGATATCGCAATTAGTTTAGATTGATGAAACATATATAGCCTTATATCCTTTCTAAATGTTAATCATTTACAGAATAGCTAAAATAGGGAGTATATTCTTAGATTAATAAGTGGATGATCCAATGAAGATATTGTCATTTGATTAATATATCTGTTAGAACACTTAAGTTTGAATCTAATCGAAATACCTATTCTATAATATCTTTTTGGCCAATATATTCTCAATCTATTGATGCTTGATTTAATCAATTGACAATAGTGTTAGTTATAATAAGTCGGTGCATCTATTAAATGGTTCTGGTAAGATGAGATTTTTAAATGGAATTGGCTATTCACTTTCACATGATATCCATTTGTCTGATATCACTTTGATATAGTAGATTGGATGCATTACTTCGAATAACGCAACTGTCAAAGTGAACTCCATTTCTTAATTCTTCTGTTTCATTAAGAACATTTCATGATACAATATTTTCTCTCCATCTGAATCCAATACAAAGATATGGAATGGTTCCTATCTACCATGAATCTTCTCATCCCATTAGAAATCGCAACTCAAATGAAGATCTATTCTCAAACAGGATCTAGTTATAGGCTAGGCAAATGCTTAGATTTCGATCTTAGGGAATTTGTGAATATATTTGTGAATCAACTTTGTCATATTCTAATTCTAATATCTAATGAGTTCTCCTAATTATTATGATGACATCGCATATAAGTGATCCCATGTAATTCCTTCCTTCTTTTCTATTCTTCTTAATAAATCATCTGGTAATCCTTTAAATTATCTAAGTGGAGTCATGCAACTCCACATTCTTTTCTCGATCATCTTAGATAATTATAAACATTGCAATGCACTCTAAGCCCATTCTTTCTGTAAACAGATTTCATACAATGCTCTCATTATTCTACCAGCACTCTAAGTAATATAAACCATGTCTGAATTCAAAGCATATCCCTCTAATTTCAATCTGCTTATGTAAGCTTACAACAATACATTGATCTTTGTTGTTGAATCCTCAGGGGATCCTTTTATTGGAACAGGTACACTCATCATTAGTTTTTACAACTCCATCTTTTCCTCTTCTCTAATTGGAATCAATTTGAATTCATGTGATAATGAAAATACTTTGAAAATGTCAATCATACCCATATTCTATTTTAAATGCTGATTGTAAACTTGCATACTTGGATATTTAATGTAATAGTTACTAGCAATCTTACCAAGGATAGTACTCTCGATATTTCCAGTCTTCTTATCATAAGTCACCAAACTATTTTTATCTAATAATAAACATGCAGAATGAATTAGATCAGCACGATATTTTATTAATGCCTAATCATTACTATAGTCTGGAATATTATACAATTAAGGATTTCTAAGCATTCTTACATATAAATAAGTATATCCTAACCAATTTACTCCATCCTTCAGATTCTTGATATTACCTTAGGCAACTTCAGCATTTAATTGATCAGCTAATTAAGATACAAATTAGGATTCTATTGGTAATTGGACATTCAATAATGATAAGTAATATTTAAGTTCTTAATATGTTGTCAATATTATCCCCTCCCCAGATGTATCATATCTAGGTCTACCAGCTCTACCCATCATTTATAAAATATCTTAAGGACTTAACTCTATCCATTTTCCTTATTCTGGTGAATAAATTTGTGTTCCTTTTATGATAACTGTATGAGCAGGAAGATTCACACCCCATGCTAAAGTAGATGTAGATATCAAAATCTGTATATTCTTCTTTTCAAAGAGACTTTCAACTAAATCTCTATCTCCTCTGCATAAACCAGCATGATGGATAGCTATTCCACTAGCTAACAACTCTTTGAGATCAGCTGATTTGATATCTTCTTATGCAATTACTGTCTCAAGGATCTTCTTTGAAGAACTTTCTTCTCTGATAAATTTAGATAATTCATCTTTTGAAAATGCCATTTCCTTAAGTGTTTTAGCAGTCTTTACTGTTTCTTTTCTAGAGTGCACAAAAACTAAGATTTATGACTTAGTAATTCTTTCAATGACTTTCTCATATAAAATTTCATTGGTTAATAACATTCTTCTAATTGGTTTCTTTTCATTGATTCCAATATATTATTATTATAATGGAACTGGTCTATAGGAATTATCAAAAAAGAACACTCCACTCTATTTGACCCTAATAAAGGTTGCCACATCTGAATAATTTGGTAGTGTTGCTGATAATCCCACAATTCTTACTACTTCTTGTCTTTCTTCCATTAATTTCAATTATCTTGCAATTATTGATTCAATAACTGGCCCTCTACTATCATGTAATAAATGAATTTCATCAATGATGACTAACCTTACTAGTGATATAAAATCATTTTGTTAAATCTTTCTTGTTAAAATATCCCATTTCTCTGGTGTGGCTATCAACACTTAGATAGTATTCAACTAATGCTTAGTTAAGTGAGTATCTCCAGTAACCTCAGCAACTTTAATGTTATAAGGTTCTAATCTATTTTGGAAATTGTGTACCATTTCATTTACTAATGCTTTCATAGGTGCAATGTAAATAATTTTAAATTTCTAAATATCCACAATACCATTTTGATAATATTCACCAATAGTTTATAACATTGTTAAAAGTGCAATATTAGTTTTACCAGCCCCAGTGGGAGCACAAATTAGCATATTCTCATTACTTAATAATGCCTTTTAATAAACTACACTTTAAATAGTATTGAGTTCTTTGAATCCTCGGAATGCTTGTTAAGCAAACTCAGGTAACTCACCTATTTATACCAAGTTGTCCTTATGAACATTAGGCTTTGGGGCAGGAATGTATATTTCTTCATATCCTTTCTTTGTTACTTTGAAAGAATGAGGAGGCAAATGACATTTCTCATTTGACATTAAATGTCCCTGAGATACAAACTGTAATTACTCTAGATCGACAATCTTTTTGGAAAGTCCTTAAAGATCTTGATCAGTAATATTTATAGACTCATAATATTATTTCTCGTTTTCCTCCTAAATTATTTAAAATTAAGCATCATTTTTCTTCTTTTTCTATAATTCCATTAAAATTTAGAGACCCTCTTATGTCTATCTCATTTGAGAATGGATTTGTTCTACTTACTCAGCACTCTAAGCTTTGCTTAATAGAGTACAATAAAATATCTTATGTCTGTTGGCATGTAATAATCTGATAAGATCAAAGCGATCCTAGCCAAACAATGAAACCAATTAATTTTCACATTCAATATCAGTCTGTAATTTCAAAATGTCCAAGACTGTCTATTCCATTTATTATGCAACAATAGGGTCTTAATAGATTTTCTGCAATTCCCGCTATAACCAAAATCCATCTATATCAACTACTTTGTTTCTTGTCTCCTCAACCTAAACTTTTGCCTTGATAGTTTATTCATTCTATTCTTAAGAATCGTCTTCTTCTTCTATTATTTCCTCCATGTCGCTTGAATCTTGCTCTTCTTCCAAATTCAATGGCAATTGCATCTCATCTGTATTTCCTTGAGTTATTTCAGGATTATAATCAGTAATTGCTTTACTTGATAACACTATATCTGAAAATAACTCATTTGTCAACTTTCCAATTATTGCTTCTACTTCCTATCTCTTCTCAGAGTCTTTCAAGTTATCATTTTTCATTATCGCCAATACTTCATCAACTATAGATTTTATCACATCTTATGATTATTCCTAAAATAGGCCATAAACAATGGACAATAATCGCTCATAGTGTAATCTATTGTCCTTTGTTTTTGGAATGTACAATAGATTTTCATAAGTTGGCATTCCAACTCCTTCCTCTATTTCCATGTTCACTTGCTTTCCCAAATTTAAACTCTGCTCTCTCTTACTCTTCACTGGTTTATCTTTCACAGCTTTTGTACCCATCATTCTTGGGTTGATCTTTCCAACTAATGATTCAGGCTCACCTGTTGGCTCATCAGTCCTTGGTCCAGATTCTCTCTGAATCACAAGATTTGAACTCTATAGATAGTTAGCTACAAAATATTTACATAAGTAAATTTATTCTCCTGCAAATGCTATTCAGACATTAATTAAATTTATTCTTATTATAAATATTAATATTGCTTTCCCATTAAGATTCATAAATATATTTATTATTTGCTTATTCATATACTCAGATGAGAGAATGTTTATAAAATTGTTATTTTAGAAGAAAAGCCATAAATATGAAATATGTATTTAATTAGATACAATAAATTGCTCTTGAAGTATGTATCTTTGCAATTGAATTGTATTCAAAAACAAATGTAAAATAGAATGTCGTTTAAGCAATTTAAGAAGGTATAAAAATATATCAAGACATTTAGATTAAGTTAAAGGATGGCTTAAAATAAATTGGCTGATAATCAATATTTTACAAGTTGTTATTCTATAAATACATTTCTAGAGACAAAATTTATGAACTTTAAGATTCTTTATTCATCTAAAGAAAATGAATAGATTAGTGGAGCAAAAGTATGTATAATTAAGTAATTTGAAACTTTACAAAACCAGTTCTGTTAGCAGAAAGGTGTAAATTATTAAATTAAAATGAAGCTTTGCTGGTGTATATGTTGCTACGAATGAAACTTAAACAAAAACAATATTTGAATATCCATATCAGGGGTTGTTTAAGCAAATATTGGTTTTATTGTATCAATATATTTTATGCTAAAATATTTTATTAAGATTGGTTTGTGTGCCTTTGATAAAGCAAATAAGAATAATAATTGAAAACAGAAGTTTTTATTTGCATCTCTATTTATGGCAATCAATACTTTTAAATTACAAATATGTTCATAATCTCGAATTACTTTATATTTTTTCAATAGACTATTTTATCTGATTTTGATGAAAATATATTATTGCTAATAAAGATGTTCAAATTAACTACAAATATTGAGTATATTAAATATAATTTAATTATTAATAATTGGGGATTTCAAGTAACCAAAGTTATTTGGAATAATAGAATAGATTGAGCTTAACGACTTCTTATATAAAATTAAAATTGGAATAGATTAAATCTCTCAAAATAAAAGGAAGAAAAATACCTTTTTAATGTTAAGTCAGTTCAAAGAATTCATCTATGAATGGACCCATTTCTTTTAAATGATGCTGAACTTTTATCACTTGCAAAAACAAACTTAAAAATAGGGATTCCTGAAGAAAATTAATAATGAAGGAGACTATTACTTTTAAATAAAATATTTGAAATATACAAACTATTCATTGCGGTTAAATATGTTGTATGCTAAATGGTATAAATTCATTAAATTTCAATTGATTGAAGATTTCTAAATTAACTTTAACTCAATTGTGAATAATATAATCTGAATTGAAAATATTTAGATTAATGTAAACAACAAGACAAGTAAGTTTGAATTAACTAAATTACATCTACTTCATATTGTTCTTACCAATAAAAATTTTATTAGTCGAATCAATTCATATAAACGAATTTAATTAAGCAATGAAAATTAAAAAAATAAAAATATCTATATATATATAA